AAAGAGGAGATCGTTTTTGTCAAAAAGTATTTTTAGGGAGCCTTTTCCTTCTGACCACCTACGACAGTGGTTGTGAACCGCAAAATTATCATTTTCACTAATCAGGTATCAAGAACATAGAATGATTAGCAGCTCTTCATGGCCGAAACAGTCCAGCATTATGATCGAATTGTCTTTAAATGAAAATGCTGAAATGGTGGATCACTTACTGGGATGTTGACGGGTGCAGGATGATATCTTCCTCAGCGCAGACAGAGCCAGAGAGGCCGTGACAGGTGGTAGGGCTCTTATAAAAGCTACTAAATTACATAAAAGATCTCTCGACAGAGTAAGGTGATATGAGACGCAAACTGATGTTTGCCTTCCGTTCGCAATCTGATTTAGTAATGTGCATGTGTTGTAATAATTTTTAAACTTTTTTCCAAATTTACTCTATCAGCTGACAAGAAGCCAAAAATGACGTGAGAATGGTTATGGATTCTTTCCTGCCAGTCAATTTTTTGTAAATTACTTGAACAGTTGAGTACATTTGTTTGAGTTATAAATTGGCACGTTCTTCACGTCATCTATGGAATATTGTTTGCTGCTCTATTAAACATAATTTGAAATATGTTGTCTATTTCTATTTTTTTTTTTCCCCCGGTTGTAGCTTGGATATAATGCTTTATTTCCTTAGTAATCTTATTTGTTTTAGTACCTTGAGCCATAGGAAGATAAAAATAAATGATCAGTTTCCAGATAAAAGATGCAAAGTCAAAGCTTATTACTCCCGTATTTTGTTCGGTGATATGCAAAATTAATCAAATTGCATAATAACAACAATTTGATATCTAGACTAGATATAGGATCAAGAAAAATTACTTCCTCGCTCTGACAGGCTAGAACACCACACCACTGACAGGGATCAACCCGGTTGTCCAACGAAAAAGGAGAGAAATTTTGTTCATGTGAAGACACCAGATTCCAGCAAAGCAGCAATTTCCGCACTGCCTTGGTAGGTTCCATCTCAGTAATGTATATACAGAGCACTGCACCATCAAACTTGAATAGAAAACATAAAATGAAAGATCGAAATGATTGGATCAATAGTTAAAATCAATTTAAGAGGGACGAAAAATCCTCGAGTATGAACAATTTCGCGACGGCTTGTCAACTATGTTAAGATCCATTAGATGGCCTTCAGATCTGAATGCAGCACTATCGAACTGGCAAGGCTAATAACTTGTCAAAATGGTGTGCTTGTTCATCACTTCTTTCAACTGTGATGGGCAAGAATCAGTAATTCCAGAAGTAGGTCAGCCCACTTCCTGGATGACCTGTAATAATTAAAGAAATTAGAAGAACTTCAGAGGACTAAAGGAAAATGCTACATAGTCTTGTAGAACTTTCTCACTCTTTGATTTGGCAAATGTCATACATATAGACCCAATCCCACCTGTGAGCTTGGCATGACAAGGGAAACAATTCAATGAGAGTAACATTATGCAGTAACTTTTCCAGTTCTGTAACATTTAATTCATACAGAGTTATAACTCCAACTCAACAAACTATAAAAGTGGAGAATATACGGCCAAAGGGTTCTCGATAAATTAACTATGGAAAGAACCAACAAAAAGTGTAAATTAAACCCATATCTGTTTTCACTCTAGCATCAGTAATATGGTTGCTAAGATTTGAAATTTGGACTGAGACGAGGCATCATGGTGGGAAATTGCTACCAAAAGAAGTAATGCCACTGTGATCAAGACAAAAGGCAATCATGCGGAAATTGTTCACAAAGAAAGTAATGCCACTTATGATCAAGGACTAGGCATCATGTGGAAAATATGTAAATAACAAAAGAAAGTACTGCATATTTCAAAATTTTTCCAAACAGAACTTTTCACTATCATCTGCCCTTATAAACTTGAAGGTTAAATGACAAAAAAAAAAAAAAAAAATGATAATGTGGCTCCAAAGGTTAAGTAGCAATTTGACAAGATGCAATGTGATACCTCCATTATCAAATTCAATAGCGTTCCCACGACCTTATTAGGAAAAATCCCAATGTGTAACATATGCACTTATTCTTGATGCTCCATGGTTGGCCAATTACTTCTACAAAATCAGGAGGACAAATGGAAAATTTCTGAAATTCAACTAACATAAGGTTAGCTTTAAAAAGAAATCTTCTCTCGTCTCTCTCTGTCAATGTAAGGAGGTAAACATCAAAAGAATAAAACCTTAAATATGTTTAAGAAACAAACATTCACCATTTACATTTCCCAGCAAAAGTAACTCCCATGTGGCGATACCCAGAACCCAAGATTTCCTAAATGTTCTTATGTAAGAATATTTTCCCCACTCTTTATCATGTTCAACATTTTGTATTCCACAAACAAACATGCAAGTATGTGTGACATTCATAATTAGAACCTCAAACATTAAAAGGAATGGTCAAGTAACAGTAGAAAAAAGAAATCCGTATAGGCATCAAATACCTGGCATCCAACAAGAGTGCCGGCCCTGACTGAACCCAAATCATCAAAATCACATATGTTGTCTTCCTTTGAGGTTTCCCCTCCTAATACGCACGATTCTTTGTTCCTTTCCCTGAACTTTAAGCACAAAACAAAATCTGTACGTAACGGGTAAAAAAGATTTGCACAGGTCAGCCCAATGTGAAGATAAAAGCAAATGATAACTTACAAGATACATATGAAATTTGTAGAAATAGATGTAGAATTACACATGGATGATATAATATTAGAACAGAAAAAATATTTAGTCGCACGCTTTAGGTTACATAAACAAGATGTGAAAAGTAAGCACAGAAAAAATGAACTGATAAATTCAGTGCAATACTCTAGATGTCCAGCCTGATAATCAGATTCCCATCGTAAACTTTTTAGGAAGAAAGCACCAAGTTTGCCCAAATGCAGTTTCATTAATCATCTAAATGGGAATAAATAAAACACTGTAGTACACAAGAAATGCACAAGGATAAACAGAAGGATAAAATTTAGAAATCCACAGAAAGGAGGCATTGTCTCAACTCCAGATATGACAAATGCAATTACAAACAAAAACGTATCAAGTTATGCAATACGTGGGAAATGCTGCAGCTGCTTGTGAAATCGTTTCCATGCACCATCATCAGGAAATAGCTATTGCCTATCTGAAAATTTAAAGGAAGCACATAATTTCAACAGCCAATGAGAAATAATAATCAATGTCATCAAAAGAATAATCACCAGCTAACCATAAAAACCAATTTAAAGTAAATAATTTGCATCATGAATAGTCACACCATATCAGTACTTTCATGAAGACACCGATCAAAAAACAGAAGCAACCAATCCTAAAAAAAAGAGGAATGGATAAAAATTTATGTCTCTCTCTCTCTCTCTCACATGCCTACCATAACAAAAAGCCTTACAATTATCATAATCAAGGGAGCTGCGAGCCGATTTTAAGCAAATGGTATCACTCTCAAAGCAAGGTAAAATATTATCACAAAAAGTAGAATCTCTCTGAATTCCAATATAATATAATAATAATAACTAATATGCATTAAATTGGCAAAAAAAAAAAAAAAAAAAAAAAAGGCTCAAGGGAAAAAACCCACAAAAGCACAAGTAACCAAACAACAAATATTAACCAAGAACCTGCAGAGGCATGGATATCGAAAGTCACTATCTAGTAGGACCTCCCCTTGAGTTGGTATGTTAGACAAGATCCTAAGCTAGAGTAAATGCAGTGCAACATCTTCCTTCATCTTCCATTCGCTCAGAAATGTTCCAGTGGGAAAAAAATGGAAGGTACATAGGGTGAAAGAAAGAAATGAACAATTTGGGCAATGCTAAATTATCGACAGCTGCTTCAAAAATCACTTTTGGAGAAACTAAAACGAGGCCAGAAAAAGCTAACGTGTTGCCCGCGAATCGCTTGCGCATTAGGTATAAATATTGGGAATACATCTTCAACAATGTCCTACATTAATTCACCATCTAATTTATCGAAAAAGCTATCTCATTCACGTCATTCAATGTAATAGAATGGAAATGATAAACGATAAATTATAGATCACCTCCAGCTGATGGACGCAGTCGATAGCGTCGACTCCCCCGCGACACGCTCGGCCAATGTGCCCTAGTCTCGTCGCAGTAGAAAAGTACAAACCTTTTTACATCTTGGAGGCTGATTCAGAAGCAGAAGAGCGGCCATTGAAAACAGAAGAGGAAAGGGAAAGAGAGGAGCTTTGAATTGAAGAATGTGAATTCGGTTCCGGAAAGAAACCCGCGTTCAAATTTTGCGGAGATTATCGCATCTTATAATGATACGGTTAGTTAAAGATTGGGTTTTGATAAGTTGACTGCAAAAGACAACAAATCCTTGTGATTTTGGCGGAGGCAGCGGCGGTGTTATGCAGTAAGGTTTTTGGTTTGGGATTGGAATGGTGAAGTGGCCGCCATGTGTGGCGGGTGAGTGCTAGGGTGGGCTCTCCTCAGTGTATATGTTATGTGGATTTTAGAATCGTAAAAGACGCAATTGCAGTTGAAGAATGAAATACTTCCTTCTGGTATATAAAGCACGTTTTGCGTTATTGGTGACTCGCGTAGGGACCGTTTCATTTTAAAATGTCTTAGATATGGGAAATAGAACACGGAAGGCGGCAAATAATTATCCTCCAATAGAATGATTTCGAGGGGGGGGGGGGGGGGGGGGGGGGGGAGGGGGGGGGGGGGGGGTGAAATGACCAATTAAGAAACATCTAGAACATTCTTTATTTCAAAATTGCCTAAAGCTACAAAAATTACAATACTTGAAATGAAAATAAGAAGAAAATATAGCAAAAATTGCAACAATCAATGGCTAAATAACAATGAGTATCTTTTCTTACGGTTATTAACAATAATTTTTTCTTAAATGTTTGTTGTTTTTTAAAATAAATTTCATTGATTATTGAGAGTTATATATACACATCGACTAAACAATGTGTTTTGATAAAGGTGAGCGAAACACAAAAAGGAAGATATAGCGGGAAATGTGAAGCTAATCAGACACATCATTTATCCATATAAGAAAAAGAAAATATATGAAAGAGCCACATGTTATTATTTTTTTCTAGGAATGTTGTTGTTCGTTAAAGAAACTTAGTGCATAATCAATCTATGACATCCCAACTAGTAATGCGATCTTAAGAGGGCGGTAGAGCGAGTTCTGCTAAGTTTTTAAAGAATGCATGTTAGCTATGAGTAGTAAAATGCGGGATAATATGATATAAATCAAAAATTGAAAATTAATCATCAAGGCGCCTTTTAATGGAATGGTTGAGAGTTGAAGACTTCAGATTTAAGCGTGCTCATTAAAAAAGTCCTAAAATGGGCTGAACAATTTCGATGGAAATTGACTTGATCCAAGCCGATAAATCAAGTATATAAAACTATAAATAATATTGTTATGTAAAAGCGTTAAGAGGGAAAAAATGAAATTAATAAAGAAATTTGGAGGTGAAAATTTTGTTTTTGACCTCAAAAATAATGAAAAGGATGTAAGAACTTTATAAGAACATTCATATATGGAGAAATTGATCCAAGTTACAGTGGCTTTCTTTATGATAGTTTTTCAATTATAGTCCGAGCTTTTTTTTTTTTTTTTTTTTAGTGATGAAAATCGTCGAATCAAAATTTTTTTTTTTTTTTTTTTAGTGATGAAATCGAATCTAAATATATTATCAGATTGTATATATATTTATTATTAGACTGTGCCTCAGTGTGATGGTATGAGCTTTCTCATGATATCGAAGCTATTGCTCTTAATCATGTAAGTCTTTATTTTTTGAAATAAAATTATCCTTTCCTTCAAAAATGATAATAATAATGTCAAAGTCCGCGCAACATTTTGGTAGAGCTTTAAACAAAATAGTAATATCCCTGTTGGATTCTTATGGGTATGATGGTGTGGCCCCTATTCTTTAGTTGGGCCTCCAAGTTGATGAGCTTGTAGAGACAAGACTGGACCGATCTATATAATGGGCTCAAAAAAGTAAAAGTTGCCACAGGCATAGTTGTTCAAAAGAAAGCCCAAGTAAAAATAAGCCTGTCTAAATATTTGGGCTTACAAGGTATCTATCATTAGAAAATAAAGCACCACAAGTGGCAAGTCTGCAATGACCCTTTTTAATTTTAAAAAGATTAAAATTAATAAAAAACAATCCGCTGGCTTTATGGACTTTTTAAACATTAGGGAAAACATCCACGGCTGATAGTCAAATTAATACATGGGATTTTTTATTTTAAAAAACTGCCTACGAGATTAATAATTTTGATTATTTCATGCAAAATAAAAATATTAAAATGCTAATAAAATCATAAAATAAGAACTAAAGTATCATAAATTATAGGTTTCATTGTTAATTTGACTATAATTCAAAATTCAATTTCGTAATTAATTGCCAATTAAAAAAAAAGAGACTATTTTGAATGAAATGATGAAATTGTTAACAGAATTATAGATTAAAGACGTTATTATTAGTTTTTAAAAATAGAAATGCTCGCATGTTAATTAATTATTTTTCCTAAACATTATTAGTAATTAATTAATTATATATCCATCTTAAGGTTATCGTGATTAGATTGGTATCTAATCCATCCATGTCAGTTGTTTATCTATAAAAGGTTTAAAAAATGAATTCCATTTATAATATTATAGGCCTGTCCAAAGAAAATGAAACATTAGTAAGAGCCAATTGGATTAGGGAAATTATACTTTTATCTCCAACAAATTTTTACCTCTAATAAATGCTAAAGATAATATTTCATGAAAGACTTTCAATCTCTACTCGTTACTTCAAATATTACATTATAAAAATTGTGTTCTTAACATTATTATAAATATTATATTACATTTGTTTTAATAATTATATTCAAAATATTAAACTTTTATTTCCGAACATAGCAATTAAATTCAGTTGCATAGGTAACTCACGCCGATGTCAATATTTAGTCTCTGCAAATTCTGATAGAGACATTGCAATGATAAGACAATAAAATCCCCGGACCAGGAACTCGTTATCGACCAATAACTCATACTTTGAAGCTACACCACAATTACTGTATCAAAAAGTTTATCCTTTTGTTTCCAAAAATCAAAAGGACTAAATAATCCAATCTGCCATTTTTCAGTGGCTCTGGTGTTGCCATTGTGTTTTTGTCATGCCACATAAATACTAATATTATTTGGCTGACACAAAAATACTAGTAATATTTTCCAGTTACACGTTCTTTCTCTTGTGGATTAGAGAAACACTTGGCTTTAGTTCACGGGAGTTCACTGGAAAACTCGCAGCTGACTTTGCAGGTACCGACCCATTTCTACTGTATATCTATTATTATTATTGTTATTATCAAATCATTAATTTGAATCGTTCATCTCCGCTATCAGATTCTTGTAGTAGTTGGTGATCGCCAACGGTTAAATGGGTGTTTTTGGGTTGTGGGAACTCATACGTTGCTTGATTTTGAATTCTGAATTTGATATTTGTTGTTTTTTTCTTTTTCTTTTTTTTTAAAAAGAAAACCTACATGCTAAAAAGAATGGGTAGAGATCGTTGGTTTGTTTGTTATTCAGTCTGATTTTTGGAAAGTTGTAGTCTTGAAAATTTGGATTTGAAATTTCTTATTCTATTTTTGTTCGTGTGATTATTTTCATCTGTGTATATTGTAATGCTAGTTGTTTGAGGTATTTTGGTTCAAATCATGCTAGTGGGTTCTTGATGAAAAATGGATTTTTACACTGAGTCATTTTCTTGAGGATTAAAAGAGTAGTGCGGTATGGTATGGCCGTATTTGTATTTCACTTGATGGCTTGTTTTGTTTATATTCTAATGCATTCCAGTAAAATTTTCAGGTTAGGAACTGAGTTTCCTGTTTTTCTCGTTTTTTCAAAAAGGAGGGTAAACTATTATACACCATGGCGCCTAAACCGTTAGACTATGAATCTTTGAATGAAAATGTGAAGAAGGTTCAATATGCTGTCAGAGGAGAGCTGTATCTTCGAGCTTCTGAGCTTCAAAAGGAAGGAAAGAGGGTACACATATTTGATATACCTGAGCTATTTGATACACTCATACACTTGAGCTTTCTTAAGGAATGTGTTTTTCATTATTATTTTTTTGCCTTTCTTGCTCTTTGAAAAATTGGTCAGCCTTGTCGTTTAGAGGCTTTCCATTAGTCTTGCTTCAATTTGCAATTAACTAGAATATGTGGATTTTCTTTTGAATTCATGGGAGAATTGCATATTTTGGTATTAGCATGGACTCCTTATTTTGGCATTTGCTTTTATGCTTATAATCTGCATTTAATTTGATAATAGAACTTAATAATTGTTTGCAATTGCATTTTGTTTCAAAATGGAAGACTCAAATTTCTAGCCGAAATTTTGATATCATAGTAGTGTAGTAGAATATTTATCAGTTTTCTTTTATTCCCTTATAAAGACGACTTGAGCAAACAGTATTAGAATTGTGCCTTCTAAATTTTAATGGTTAATTAGTTCAAATTTCATAAACAACTTGATTATTTCACATTAAATGATATTATCCTGTCTACATGGTTCTCTAAGCCTCACCAGTTCAAGTTTCCTTCCATAGATTATTTTCACAAATGTGGGCAACCCCCATGCTTTAGGACAAAAGCCGCTTACTTTTCCTCGTCAGGTACATTTGCCATTATTTTTATCAGTGTATATTAGGCATTATTGTCTATGCTGTCTGAGTTGAATAAATAAATATTCTATTGTTGTCTATATTCTATTGTAGGTTGTTGCTCTGTGCCAAGCTCCATTTCTACTAGATGATCCTAATGTAGGACTGATGTTCCCTGCAGATGCAATTGCAAGAGCTAAATATTATCTTTCACTGACTTCTGGTGGTCTAGGTATCATTTTGGCCTGCTTTGTACTCATGTTATCATAGAAAAAAAGATTAAATGGTCTGAAGCAACACTGCCAAGTCTCAATATGTCGTATGCAAGTGGAGATGGATTGTTGTTATGTAACTTATTTAATGAGAAAATCAAACTAATTAAACAATGGTTGTGCGGATAGTCTGACTTTTTCTATTATCCAATTTGTTAAGAGCCACATTTTATGCTGAATGGTGATAATTTTCCTTGATTGGTTCTATTTTTTTCCTCCACCTTGATGACCTCTTCTTGCAGTCTTGCATGTACTTGCAAAGCATTGTTAAAAATCCAGCTTCCCCAATTTCTAATTCTCTCTTTGCAATTCCCTTTTCAGCATGCCTTAAAGCAAGTTCATGGTTGTCTCTATTTCTACATATCTATCTAATAGAATGAAATTCCACCATGATGAAGCTCTTATGCGAATTATGTGATGAGTACATTTTATCATCTGTTTAGGTGCTTACAGTGACTCCCGAGGTATGCCAGGAATAAGAAAGGAGGTGGCAGAGTTCATTGAAAGGCGTGATGGATATCCAAGGTAATATACACTTATTATTTTTCTTCCTATTCCTTTTATCTTTGCTACTAAGTTGTGAGCTGAAGGGGTTTACTGATCCTGCTTTATTGACAGTGATCCAGAACATATATTTCTCACCGATGGTGCTAGCAAAGGAGTAATGCAGCTCTTGAATACAATAATCCGTGGTGAAGGTGATGGGGTAATAGACTTTCCTATAATGAGTGAAAATATATATTGCAACTCTTGGTAATATGTGTTTTTACTGTTTCATTTTGTCGTCCTTCTTTCATCTTTGATTATGCTTGATCTTTTCCTTAAACTCAATGCCATTTCAGGACATATCCTTCATGAAAATTTGTTTATTTTTCAGATTTTGGTTCCAGTCCCACAATACCCACTTTACTCTGCTGCCATATCTCTGTTTGGTGGTTCCCTCGTACCATATTACCTGGAAGAGACAGCAAATTGGGGTCTTGACATTAATGACCTGCGGCATGCAGTTGCTGAAGCTCGTGCTAAAGGAATAACTGTTAGTATGCTTTGACTCCTTATGTAAATATATAAATATCTGAAATCTATTTGGAACCTAAAGATGAAACTTGAAAAGTGGATAAATGGATGGATAGGAGAACAGCTTTGTTCCTCTTTTTTAAACTCTTCAGATTTTAGTTCTGGCTTGTCTTGCTTGGTGCTTTGAACTATCACCCATTGAAGTTCATGTATTGAAGATTCTTTTACTGTTCTTCTGCATTTGATATCATCTAACTTTCTTTTGGCATGTGCTTTTATTAGTTGAACTCCTGAGCCAACTTTCTTGTAATGTTCAGTATTGCTGACTAAATCTCATATATTTTGGAATTGATCACTGATCAGGTAAGAGCAATGGTGATTATTAACCCAGGTAACCCCACTGGTCAGTGTCTTAGTGAAGCTAATTTGAGGGAAATTTTGCGCTTTTGTTACCAAGAGAACTTGGCCCTTCTTGGAGATGAAGTTTATCAGCAGAACATATACCAGGATGAGCGCCCCTTTATTAGTGCTAGAAAGGTAAATATTCTCTTATTGCTATATCTAACTATTTGTTTTCCATGGTTTAACTGGTACTTATGCTCTATTTTCCTCATGATGTTTGCAGGTTTTGCTGGATATGGGGCCACCCATAAGCAAGGAAGTTCAGCTTGTTTCTTTCCACACAGTGTCCAAAGGATATTGGGGTGAATGCGGGCAGCGGGGTGGATACTTTGAAATGACCAACATTCCACCTAAGGTTTGCTTCTTTTCAATGCTCAATAAGTATTCAGGGTTTCTTGAGTTGCAAACTAGACATTTTTGCAAATACTAGTTCAGACATGCTCAAAGGTTTGCTTCTATTCATTTTTGTTTATCATGGTTTGATTCTGCAGACAGTTGATGAGATTTATAAGGTGGCATCTGTGTCACTCAGTCCAAATGTGCCTGCTCAGATATTTGTAAGTTGGACCTAAATTTGCCAGCTGCAATAATTATAGGTTACTGGGTGTTTGATTATGCTGCTATAATTATTTATAAAAGTGGTTCGAATTAATACTTAAATAATTCCTTTTCTTTCTTTATGTTCACAGATGGGTCTGATGGTCAATCCACCCAAACCTGGAGATATTTCATATGACCAGTTTGTTAGGGAAGGGTATGCCTGCTGAGACTTAGTTTGTGCTTTACTCATAAATAACAGTTACTCTTTTTGATGAGTTGATGAAATGAATAGCAAAATCTGATACGGCTTTCTGTTTTCAAGTTGAAGCTTTTGATGGATTAGTTATCGAAGAACTGTTTTTGTTCATTAACATAGCGGACATTTTCAGTGCGTGCATAATATACGGGAAAATATAAGATGTTTGACTTCTTGGATGTTAATGTCTGTCATCAAGTCAATAAGATGGCTGTTTTGAATAGTGAATAACCGTGTTTTATATACATCATCACATGCAGCAAAGGAATCCTTGAATCGCTGAGGAGAAGAGCAAGGCTAATGACCGACGGATTCAACAGCTGCAGAAATGTAGTTTGCAATTTCACAGAAGGTAAATAGTTGTTTTTCTTAAATATACAAAACTTTTGCATTTCAAAGGATTCCTTCCATTTTACAGTTGTTGGTTGTCATATGAACATTATAAATTTTGATCATAGGTGCTATGTATTCATTTCCTCAAATACGGTTGCCACCTAAAGCAATAGAGGCTGCTAAAAGGCTTGGAAAAGTTCCTGATGTTTTCTACTGTCTTAAGCTTTTGGAAGCTACTGGCATTTCCACCGTTCCTGGTTCCGGATTTGGACAAAAAGAAGGGTATTTATTACAGTATTTTTATTTAAATTGATGCCTTCTATGCTTGCGCATGTTTTTGGTGTCATATTCTATCTCTAAGCAGAGCAAAAGTGGCACTATCTAATGGGCTACGTTTCCCTTGTAGGGTCTTTCATTTAAGAACAACCATTTTACCGGCTGAGGAAGAAATGCCGGCAATTATGTCCAGTTTCAAAAAGTTCAATGATGAGTTCATGGAGCAATATGAAGATCATACGGGTTATTCAAGGATGTAAGCAATGTTTAAACCTCCATATATTGTATCATATTTTGTGGCTATCGCACACCATTTGGTAAATGCTCCTTGAATTTCTTACATTTCGCATAAACTCGGCTCTGTTGAAATATTTCTCTCACAATTCTATTTCGATCTTCATTATATTATGGCATCTCTACCGTGTTATATGTGATTCAACTGCAGCTTCAAGGAAAAGCAAGCAAGTTGCTATAATTTAAAAACTAAATTAATAGATAAAGCTAGCTCGTATTTTCTATCCTACTACTACTGCCAATTCAAATTGCCAATCTCTGTTGGTCCTGGGCCCACTTGAAGGCATGCAGTTGACAGATAAACATTTATAAAACCATTAGGTTGCCTCAGGATTTTTAACTGTACTTGACCAATTTCACTCCATTCCTGCTTCAAAATAAATACAGTTCTTGCCTCCTTGGTGCTTCCAGTAAATGAGAAATAAAACCGTAGGTGAAGAACTCTACCTTCTAGTTCTCCGCAAACTAATTACCATGTCTGTCATTGAGATTGAATCTGTTTTTTTCCCTGAAAATACCATTTTAGCTGTTAGAGAAAGCTGTTTAATTAGGAGTATTTATGATCATAAATATAATTTGTTTTGAAAAACAAACTTTAATGACCTCTAACTAAACATACCTTCGATAAACTTGGCATTAAGAATCATTTTATTCGAAAATATTAACTCTGATTCATCTATTTTTTGTAAAGACTTTCGAAGTTCTTTCAACTAGTAGTTGTAGAGTGTCTTTAGAATGAATTATGGATTAAATTTAGGTAGGAGAGGTGTGGATGGGAATGAAAAGCAGGATTAGGTGTGATGGTACAGCTGAGGAGGACCTACATTAACTTTGCCAACTGCAAGTTACAATCAGAAAACTGTCTAATTCTCCAAAGCAGAATGAAGCTTTTACTAAGATTTCACATCTAAAAAGGTGCAAAGTGCTTTCGGGAGCTGTAGGGGAAATGAATACAAGTCCATATGAAAGCATGGAATATCGAATATAAAAAAGTAACTCACCAATGAAAAAAATAGCATAGAATATAAGAAAGCAACTTTTGGAAACGAAATGAAACCTTTTAGCTTATCTATAATTGTAACATCTCCATTTACTGAGGAACTCTGTTTTTTCTTTTTTTTTTTTCTTTAAAAAAAAAATTTGAGAATTTTGTTGAGGGACTTTTAATAGGTTATCAACTCCCCTATTTCCATAATTCCAATTCAAATCATATAACATTTAATCTGAAATTCTCCAATTAGTGAAGCCTTTTATGGGAAATATTGTTTGTACATCCCATTAAAAGAGAATTGGACAATAGTCAAAAAGAGTAAGACTATGTCATCTCTACTGCTGTTGCAGCAGATACACGAGTTTGGAAATCTGCTTTTAACTTATCCAGAACTCCTTTATTAGCCACAAGAAACCAAAAGAGGAAACCTAAACACATTACTTGCACAGAGTACAGCAAAGATAAAGTTTTTTTTTATTTTTTTTATTTTTTTTTTATTTTTTATTTTTTATTTATTTTATTTTTTTTTTTTGCAAAGGAAATTTTTCCTTCTGGGTTTATCTGAGTAAAAGCCTGCTATTTTGCAACTCGTACAAGCACTAACATTCAACTCACTCACATCCCCATCAAACCAAACTATGCTTCATGCCATAGCCACATCACATTACAATAGAATAAGATAAATTTTATGAAAACCACAATTTGGTTTCGTGTCTTTTAGTCTTATTTTGTTAACAGTGACAAAGCTTGATTAGGTTCTTAATCATTAAATGAATTAAGAACAGAATCTTATGTACTCTTGATTATAGACATCATTTTTTTTTTTTTTTTGATTATAGACATCAATTTTTTTTTTTTTTTTTGGTGGTGGCAAACAAATTTCTTAACATTTTTTTTTTTTTTTGTGGTGCAAAACAAATTCTTTAAGAATAAGATTCTCTTAGTTTAAATTCTTGATCTTTATTTATATAAGTATGTTTAGTTTCAAAACATATACTCCTTCCGTTCCATAATTTTTATCATGCTTTTCTTTATCATTTATCTTAAATTGTTGTTTTATTTCATTTTTCAGAAAGTTTATTATTTTATCCTAATTTAAAATGTTTCTTTTTATAAATATAATAATCAAACTATGCTATCATTAATTAAATCTTGATAAATAAAATTAAAATATAAACATTTGATCTTACAAGAAAACTCTAGTTAAGCAAATATTTGATTATAGTTTGATTAATTTCAAAGACAATTTAATATGGACCGTTTAATTTTAACAAGATATACTATTCTAACTAAATTTTTTTAATCTATTTGCAACTCAAACTAAGATAATATTGTAAGACAGAAGAATTATATTTATTTGATAGGATTCAGTGTTAATACGAAAAATAATATTTAATATTAAAAATAATTAGAATGATAGTAGTTTTATCGACAAATAATTATATTTTTTTTATCACCACACTAATTATCGTAGTATATAATTATAAATTTTATTATTAATGAATGATGACAATCTCCATACCAGCCCAAAAAACTTGGCGCCAAAAACTCCGAGTCAATCTCAGGGTTGCAGTAGCAGCTGCCCGCGGTCAGCAAATTTCACGGGCACTTTCTCTATCGTTCTTTCTACTTTCTATCTCTATAAAGTCTTGAGTTATATATTAATCTTGAATCAGCTTATGTCACGAGTTTCCTCGGGTTCTCTTTCTCTCTCTATATCTAATTGGTTTAAACAGAACATTGAACATTACACTTCCCTCATTTAAAGCTCTCATATGCTATATTTTCTTTTCTTTTTCAATTTCTTTTCTCTTCATTCCATTAATTAACCTCTCCTCTCTCTTTCTGGTAGACTGATATACGTCCCTTCACCTCCAAACTAGCTACCTTTCCATTTTCTTTTACACCTTTCTTTCTTTACCTTTCTTTTCTTTTTCTTGTTCTGGAATTCGCTTTCCTTCTTGTTTCTTTTGATTCTCAACCAATCGCTACAAGATCAAAAACCTAATCTTTAATTATACTTTTGCTCTTTATTCCTCACGCTCTCCTATATTCTGTTTCTATATTACTTATAAAGGTTTTGTTAGTTATTTTCTTGGATCCAAAACATGGGTTTTTCAGGTAAGCCTCAAGTGGATAATGGGTTAGAATTGGATTGTAAGAAATGGGTAATTGCAGGAATTCCTTTAAGAGCGCCATTAAAGAAGATATATACAAATCCAGTTGACAAAGAAAGCGAAAGTGATCATGACTGTTCAACAACTCCGACCAGCGAAGAATCGAGAATTTCGGCTAGACTTACGTGCCCGCCGGCTCCAAAGAAACGAAAGGCTACGTTGAAATGTAATTATAATGGCGTTAGAGAGTTCTTTACTCCTCCTGACTTGGATACTGTTTTTATACGTCATGTCGAAAGGGCTAACTGATTGATATATTTCTATATATCATCATCATCATCATCATCATCATCATCATCGTCATCATGATAAAAAATGCCTATTCATGAGATTTGCTTTCTTTTTTTTGGTGCCTTTAGAGTTTATAGTCTGTTTTTATTTTTGGGTTTTTGAGTTTAGGGCACTTTTTAGTGTTTAGGAGATAGAGGAGCTTGTGTACAGCTTGTATAAGTAATAAAAGCTACTACTACAGTTAATTTAGCAAGGTCCTTTACTGATTTGTTTCTCTCCCGCAAGCTTCTTGTTATGGCTAATTGTTAACAACGCTATCTAATTTACCATTTTTGTGTGTGTATGTGTTTCTTTTTCTTTTCCATTGGTTCCTCATGAATCATTCTTTGTTCTCCTTCAAAAAACTATTATCCTAGACTTTTATTTTATTAGTTTGAGGTTATTGCAATAAAAAAACAAATTCGTTTTGAATGTATACTGCATATCGATCCCTCATTATTAACATATTATAACCACTAAATTAAAATTTCTGTATGTGGAAAAAAAATGAATCACATATATATTTTTTTTCATAACAAAATATCTTTCTATATTAATATTTCTTGAACGCATATTTGTTAGTGGATATCCTAAAACTTGGCTTGTAAAATTGGTAAATTTGCCTAATTGTAGGTTTCAATTTATCTTATCCTCATTTCACACCTCAAATTAGTACAATTCTTTAATTTCAATTCTCTCTCTCTAGGTAGACTGTTCATGTTCATGCGTAGAAGTAAATGACGTACATGCAAGTCAACATCTAGACAAGCAGCCAAAAATTGTCAAATACAAGTTAAGTAAAAGGGGAATCATTTTCAGTGGGTAAGAATTAAAGAAAGAAGATAAATAGATGCTTCATGGTTGATTTTGACTAAGACAAATCCTTTACCAATTATGAACTACCCTTTTTAGGGTTTTTTAGCTATAGGTTGCAGAACCCAATTGAACCTTATGGACTCTACAAGTCTTAACCATCTATCTCTTTTTAATTTTTAGAGCCAAATTAGAGGTTTTGGTCTTTCTTGTGACCCACATGACCCCCCTTCACCCACCTTGATATAGTGGGAAGGTTCTCTATAGTGTGCTTTTAGTGATATCTCATTTAAAATAAAGACAAGTAACATGTGGATTGGTTTAGATTAGAATCCTATGTGGGTTTGAATGGACCTTGTTTATTACTTTCAACCTCAACTTTGCCTCTCCAATAATTGACAATGTCACTTGTATATTATATTTATATCCATTTAATCTAATATTTAGTGGTGATGTAATGTTGATAATTTATGACATTCTAATTAATATCAACACATTATATATATATATATATTTATTTATTTATTTATTTTATAAAAATTTATGACATTCTAATTAATATCAACACATTATACTATATATATATATTTATTATTTATTTTATTTATAAAATATAATACAGATACACAGATATATAGCTATCATATATCGTATTAAAGCTGTATCGGTAACATAACGTTTATAATAAGCTTTCAGATGTTACGGTAATTTTATTTATTTTATAAAATATAATACAGATACACAGATATAAGCTATCATATATCGTATTAAAGCTGTATTCGGTAACATAACGTTTATACTAGCTTTCAGATGTTACGGTAATATTTTATAAAAAGTTAGTCAAATAGCTAGCAGCTGTCAAAACAAATAATTTTATCAAATAAACTCTAAGAAATATATCGATATTATAGTTGTTTAGAATATTAATTAAAAACTTTTAAATAATTAATTAAATAAATTATTTTAATTATCTTTTTGGAAGGATTTAAAGCTAAAATTTTAGATAATTTTAAAAGCAAAAGTGTTGATAATTGATAATGTAGGTGCAGAACACATTAGAGAATGTTCATTGGTTTATTATATAGGGGAAGGAATGTGCATGATTAAGCAAGCAAGTGCTTGGATAATGAAAAGGGGAGACTCACCTAATATTTTGGGTTTACTTTTTTGTATTAAAGAAAGCTTTCTCGGGATCGGAGCAGTCACTCAAGCAATTGTATAGCAACACGTCAAAAGTTTGCTAATGCTTATTTGGCATTAAGTGGGTATTTTATGATTTAAATTAGTGGATTAAGTGCTAGTATTATTGCAGACCACATGAAGAGGTTATTTAAATACAACAATCATGCACGAATGTGCTAAGAGATTGAGTTTGGATTAATCGGTTTTGTTATTTCTAAATAGAACCGAATTTTTACCAGGTTGTTTTTATCTTCTTGAGTTTAACGGATAAACTCTGTAAGTTCAGGATTTCAATTTATAGAAAATCACGAATAATTACGAATTTTGAAATGAAATTAATATGATATTAGCAAAAAAATGCAGGAGCGAAATATCAAATTAAAAAAAATATATATTGAATATTAAAAAGGAGGGCGGAGAAAAATTGTTGGATGGGCATTAAATTAAGCAAGCAATATTTTGTTCCCTGAAAAAGTGGACAAGAAACTTGGTAGAAAACTTAAACGCAGAGTTGTCAGAATGAAATTTATTGGAAAGACTGAAAAACAAGTGTTCAATTGTCAATTTCCTGATGGTACTTTCAAGTTTCAACTCTGGGAGTTTGGGTACTTCTGTGGGCTCACACTCATACATAGGTTTGAACAACAAGAAATAAGCAGTTCCTATCAAGTTTAGATATATTCAATTTCAAGGGCTGACCCAATAATTTTTTAGTGGGCTTTTACTTCGGCCAGACATCAGAACACACAACAATCCATTTGCAATAAATGCTTCATAAAGGACACTCCTATTCTATTATTTGAATTTTTGATTTTTTTTAATGCAAATATTTCTTCTTCTTTTTTCTTCTTTTAAATAATTATTTCAAGCACTTATAGAATATTTAAGTAGACTATGGCATCTGTATATTATTTTCTTTTCAATTTGAAAGGAAAATAGGAGAAAATTAATTGAAAAAAAGTGAAGAAAATATTTATAAAAGCATTTCCAAATTGTTTTCCTCTCATATATCCAAACATTAAGAAAGAAGTTATCTTTGAAAAGGACCCCAAAGAAACGTTATTATTGAGAATTAAATTACGAAAATGAATAATTTTCTCATATTACTTGAACTTTTATATAAATTAGGTTAAAATGTATAAATTAAAAAATCTTAAACATCAAAGAAGTTAGCCATTGTTTAGATTTTTGATATTTTTATCATAAAACATATAATCATTCATTCCTTCCCATTTAATTTGCATGGTCTAACAAAATACGCATATTAAGAATTTAGTCAATAAATTTTTTTTTGCTTTTTTTTTTCTTTTTCACCCCTAACTTATTAAGATATTAATAAAAGTCTTTCGTTTAATGAATAATTATAAAAATTATAATGAAAAAAGTAATTATTTATATATATAGATTTAAAAATCTCACAAACATTTTGAGATATATTAAAAATAATAATAATTAAATAAAACGAAAAGGAATAAGTATTTAATCACTACACATTTAGGTCAATATTCTTATTAGTTAATTGGTAGCATGTGTAGTAGCCATCAAATTTGACCCACCCAGTAAATTAGATATTTTCCAAAAAGTGGTCAAAGTTTGATAAATAAATAAAAAATATATATATATATTCAAGTAATACGTACTCAAATAAAAAAAAAATTGTTTTCTCTTATTTATTCAGTTAAATTTTTCATTTTAAAATATTTTGATTTGTTTGCTCTCTTTCATCCCATATATTATACTTAATTAAAACTGTATTTGATAATAATTTTTTAAATAGCTCATCAAAATATTATTTATTTTTTTGTAGTTTTCAGTTTTAACTAATTTTAACTAAAACAACTAATATTATTATTAAAATGGAACGAAAAGAATATTTATCGTTGTTATATTAGGTAAAATATATAAGTATTTTCCTTTAAAATTAAGAGTACAATACATTAAAATAAAAACATAAAGGTGTAAATAGTGATAATACATGGAAAGATTTATATATTCTGAGGGTGCAGAATGCATATTAAATTAATTAAAAATAAAATTTTAATTTAAATGAACGCAATTATAATCATTCAATAAAAAAATATAAAATAATTTTTAAGAAGTCTTCAAAGATTGGCTCTGCGTTGTTTACAAGAAGCAGAGCCACCAAGTCTTAGTATCTAAATCTAAATAACCCAGCCTACCTAGATATCTGATGGTAGGTAGGGCCCCACACAAACTTAATGACCTCACTAAACACTAATGAGGCGGCAAAGTCTAACTATTGTCGATTAAACCCTTCATTAATATTGATAATTAATTAATTAATTATAATATCTCATATCGCTGTTTCTTTCCGTCCTCTGCTCACTCCAAGGAAACAAATTCCACTGTCTTTCTCTTTCCCTCCCTTCCCTTCCCACTTGCTTTTCTTGGAAGTGAAAGGAAAGGAGAAGAAAATGAAGCAGGGAACATGGCCTGCTCGATCGGGCTTATCTCGTTTCAAAGCCCTACCATTGGTAAACTTTCAATCCACCACTCGCCGCTCCAAAGTCCTTTCTAAATCATCAAGATCACCGCCTTTAATCGACGCTCCTGATTTCTCGGCGCTTCCGTTCGATATTTTAACCAAAATTGCGGCCTCCTTCACTCTTCCAAATCTCCAAGCGGTGTCTCTGGTTTGTCGCTCATGGAGGGACGCGCTTCGGCCTTTGAGAGAGGCGATGGTGCTTCTTCGATGGGGCAAGCGGTTCAAGCACGGCCGAGGTGGCGTGCGTCCTAATTTGGAGAAGGCTCTTGACTCGTTTTTGAAAGGCGCTGCTCGTGGGTCTACTCTGGCTATGGTTGATGCTGGACTTGTTTATTGGGAAATGGGCTGGAGAGAGAAGGCTATTGCCTTGTATCATAAAGCTGCCGAGCTTGGCGATCCTGCTGGACAGTGTAATTTGGGAATTTCTTACTTGCAAGGTAGCTCTTTTGGGAATTTCTTCCCCCTTTTGAATATTGGGTTTTTTCATGGGAATGAGATTGATGCTTGCTTGTGTAAACTTTAAATGATGATTGCAAATTAATACATGGAGTTCTTGCTTGTAATGTTTGTGTTTGTTACTGTCAATTTAGTTGTTTTTTTTTTTCTCTCTCTCGATTTTCGCTTGTTTTTAGGTTGATGGGTTCTGGTAATATGTGAACGTTGGAAATTTAAGTATAAAGAAGGAAATGTGGCAAAGAGACAGTTGTAACTTGGTAGCTTATATGGCACATGGCTCATGATTTTTTGTGGTGTTTGCAGCTGAACCTCCTAGGCCAAAGGAAGCCATAAAATGGTTATTTCAAGCTTCCATTGCTGGGCATGTTCGAGCTCAATACCAACTTGCTCTTTGTCTGCATCAAGGTCGTGGGGTGGATCATAATCTTCAGGAGGCCGTAAGCCTTCCCATTCCTTTTCCTTGTAATTGATGAGTTTGTTTTATCATTTTTTTTAAATGGGAGGGGGGTTGGCTAGGAATTTATGATGTGGTTCATCCTTTAGTTTATTTATATGTTAGAACTGTCCTTATTAGTTCTCCTTCATGCAGGCTAAATGGTATCTAAAGGCAGCTGCAGGTGGGTATGTACGTGCAATGTACAATGTTGCACTCTGTTACTCGATAGGGGAAGGATTGTCTCAGAATCGTCGACAAGCAAGGAAATGGATGAAGCGAGCTGCTGATTGTGGCCACAGTAAAGCACAATTTGAGCATGGACTTGGTCTCTTCTCCGTATGTAGCATATCCATATTGATTTACCAGCATTATGTGAATGTTTTTGGAAATATGAAGTATGAAGTGGATTCATTTAATTTGTGCTTAAAGCACAACAAATTATGGAAGGTCGAATGAAGCAATAAAAGATGTGTATAGGAGGGTTAAATTAGGATAGCAAAATATTACCACTTTCAATTTGATTCAATTGGCAATGTAGGGGCATAACTCTGGACTTCCATGGAATCTTTTACATTTTGAGTGGAGTGTGAGAAATGTGTGGTTCCCTTTTTCAATTTATTTCAAAAGATGGAATTTCCATGTTAGACATTGCCTTATTAATGGTTGGGTTCATCTTTGATGGCGGGTTTGCAGGATGGTGAGATGATGAAAGCTGTAGTTTACTTGGAACTTGCTACTCGTTCTGGTGAAACAGCAGCTGCTCATGTCAAGGATGTAATTCTCCAACAACTTTCAGCGCCTTCACGTGATCGTGCTATGCTTCTTGCTAACAACTGGCGTGCTTTGCCTTCACCTCATTGAGTTTATCAAAGTCATAGGTTTAAATCTTGAAATTATAGCTACTCTTCTTTTTGGCTTGTACATGTTTGGGGATTTACTGTTAACTATATTGTAACGAATTTTAGGTGTCATATTGAGTTATTTCTGTTTGAAATTTTGCTGTCTTTGATTCTAGTTTCTTTCTAGGTACTCTTCAGTTATTTTTGCCTTAAATTACAAACACATTTAATTGCTGTGCTAGATTACATCAGCAGAATTATAATAAACTAACTAAATATTTTCCTTGAGGTCTCAAAATGGAACTGAAGTATTTTAAATGTATGCTTTCTGTAAAGAATTCAACCTATTTTGTTTATTGAAAGTTTTGGTATAAATATAATCCTCATATTAGATTATGTATATCTCCTAGTAGCATTTACTCCTGTCGATAGTGTACTAACTATTTGATCGCTTTCTTGTGATCAGGATTATCATGTGGTACTACATTTGCAGTGGATAATTAACTTCGGGAATCTGAAGTCAATCATTTTAAAGGCTTGAAATTTGCTAGAGTTGTCACAAATCCATTTAAATGAGCATGCAATCTTCTCTTACTATCTGGCTGCCATGACCTTACCACATTTTTTGATCCTCTGTCAATTATTAATATAGAATATTCTCATGATCTACGCTGATAATTTGAGCCTCTTATTAATCTCTTGTTGGTGCACTAAAATTTCCTTACCTTCATGTTCCCAAGAAAGTGCAATATCCAGTTGTGGGAGAGCAATTGTGCAGTGTCATGTTTTCTGGTCTTTTTGGTGCTGTTTTGCTGCGTCATACAACATTTAATATGGATGAAGGCTACAACAGCAGTGTAAAAGGTTCCAAATATGGTGTATGGTGGTGCTCTTTGATAATTCTAGTTAAATGCAATGTGTTTTGCTATTAAGTTACGCGTGGAAGGGGTTTTGCAATGTATTGTCAATCGTGTTGCTAGGAATCACAACAAAGTTGGATGGGAGAAGAGTCGGTGTTGGTCTAACTTTGATGTAAAGTACAACATATTGTACAGTTTTGGATGAATCTATCTATGAAAATGTTAAGCTTTATTGCAATATTATGAATATTTAACAAGAAAACGTAGTTGCAATTGAATGTTTTAGTGAAATTGATTTTATATAGATTTATTGAACACACTTTGTGAAAAGAGATGAAAGTGACGATTGTATTACTGAGATTACTCGAGAAATAGACATGCGATAATAAGATTACGTGAAATGCAAAATAACTCTGAAATTCTTTAAACCCCAGGAGGATGTGAAAGTGAAACATACAGCTTGGCTTACACTATATTTGTCAAGGAAAATTCCATGGCAAGATTTGCACTTGCACCACTATGTAAAAAGAGTCTTCAAAACAATGCCAACTGCTGGGTTTTGGCCCTTTCATCCTTAAGTTAAGACGTTAACTTGTTGAAGCTTCAAGTTGCCAAATGTTTGGGCAACCATCAACTCAAATGATCCAATAAGGAAATCTAAAATTCCATGCCTGAAACTGAAAGATAGAAAGAGGAAAAGCAATAAGCCATACAGAGACCAGAAGCTTGGATAGGAAAATTGTGAGGTTTTGTAGTATCGAGTATGTACTTAATTAATTAAATTTAAGAATTACGTTAGGTTCATGAGCATAGGGTAGTTTGTATATATATTTGATGTTTTCTATAAGAAAATGCCATTTCTTTTATTTCTTATTGACCAGGAGGCTTAATCGATGTGCACTACATGATAGGTAAATCAATATTTTTTTTCTTTTACCATATTTTACCTAATTAACAATAGTTAGTACGTGGAAGGTTCCAGCTTGTCATTTCCCATTTTGCGCAAGATAGAAAAAACAAACTAATAATGTTATATAATTACATATCCATTATATTTGATTATTATTTTTTTTTTGAAAATATATTTTGATTGTAATTTTTATTCTTGAATCTAATTAATTAAATAATAAAAAAGAAATTGTGGATGATACTATGATGCATATTCTAATATTAATATGTGAATTGCTGTCACGATTAACTATTAATATGCATCTACAAAACAAACCGTCAACAACCAACTCATCCTCCAAAATTCTCGTTGCTCATTAAATTGCATTACCCTCTGAAAATGTATTCAAAAGACTGAGAAATTACCCTCTTCCATTGCATTTGAAATCTGCCTCTCCAGAACCTATTCATCGCATTGCAAACTGACACACACAATATCAAGGAAAGCAAAAATGTCAACAAGAAAAATCACCAAAACTATCCTAATTGTAATGCTTGTCATGTCTGTCTGCTTCGACGTTGGATAAGCCTGGGATTGGCCATGGTCAGAAACAAATGAAGAAACATTGTCACCAACAAATGAACAAGCATGGTCACCATCAAATGAACAGAATAACAACCCGGATTGTATCCAACAGTGCCTTTCAAAATGCATGTGGCCTCACGGAGACCAATATTCAGAAAAATGCAAAGAGGAGTACTGGCATGTATGTAGTAAGGGGAGCCAATCCTCGAAACATTACTAATAAATGAAGAATTATGATGATAACTTAAAGAAGTATCAGGGAAGAAGGGTTGCATCATTTGTCCGTCACGCTGAAATTGTAATGAATGATTCTTGAGTTCTTGATAATAATAGGCATTATGGAGCATTTTATCAGAGACAGATTTTTTAGGGATCCTTTTCTTTAGAATACCCTGATACATCACAAATGTACACATGTATTGCAAAATGTAAATTTTTTCCTTCAGCAATATACATGCAAATTCATACCAAAAAAATAAAAAGCAGACGCAAATGATAATTGCCATTGTTTAATACATTAATGCTTTCGGGACTGAGTGTCTCAAGTTGATTCAACTATAAAGTAACAAACAAAGAGGGAAGGAAGCCCAGGAAGCAAAACTTTTGGCACGAGAAGGCTTGCTAAAAATCAAATAATAAAATAAACTGGATAAATTGGGAGAGAAGACTGGTTAAATTTGATATCAAGTTGATTCAAGTTGATTCAACTATAAAGTAACAAACAAAGAGGGAAGGAAGCCCAGGAAGCAAAACTTTTGGCACGAGAAGGCTTGCTAAAAATCAAATAATAAAATAAACTGGATAAATTGGGAGAGAAGACTGGTTAAATTTGATATCAAGTTGATTCAACTATAAAGTAACAAACAAATTTTACCAACTATTTTAATCAACTATCATTCTCCTATTGAATCCAACTCTATGTTTCTGTACGCCTTGTCCTTAAAATGCATCAGCCTGGTTCAACTATTAACATCAAAATAATTTCCAAAAAAATATTGACTCACCTAACCCGCGTTTAAAGCACTTACGAAAATCTTTGAGAATTAGTGCCAGTATGATAGAGGTTGGTGTGATATCTTGCCTTGTTCACCAATTCTCTCAACTCAGGATGTTGTGCAACCACTGTCCGTTCTTGTTCTACCCCCTCAAGGGCAGTCGACACCCTAGCTTGCACCAAAGCCTCATTATTGCCAGCATGTAATACAAGATAACAGAGGAGAATCAATCCATTCACTAGTGCTCTTTCATTCCCCCTCAGCAACTTCATCAAAGGCGGTACCCCATTGAACTCCACGATAGCCTTACAATGTGCATCACGCAGGAAATTATCAGGACAAGCAAACTTCCCTAGTGCTATGGCAGCTTCTGTTGCAACTTCTTGGTTCTTATTACTAAGATGAGAAACTAAAGGACCAATGACTCGAGTCTCTCTAGCTGGAAAAGTCCTAGCCAAAGAACCAATCGATTTTATGGCAGGAATTTGCAATCTCGGATTATCTAATTCTTTAATTACCCTCAAGAGTTGATCAATAACAGCCTTTGCAGCAGGGGAATTAGTTCTAAAAGCTGCACGTCTAAGATCAGCATTAGATTCAGCTGCTGCAGCTATCTCCTTTATAGTCATCAAGCAATTATATTGCAACTCTCCTTCTTCATTTTCAACCAATTTTGCCAGACAAAGCAACCCCTTTGTGTCCGTTATCCTTTTACTATTTGACACACTTCCACTAGCAAGCATCCATAAAGCCTCTGCACAACTAATTTTCAACTTAAGCTTAACTTCAGGACTCTCATTTTCCCTCTCTTTCCTATTTCCTCCCCTGCTGCTTCCTTCCGAATGAAAACTCGAAAATGAATTCGTATATGGCCTATGATGATGATTAATATTATTCTTCAATCCACTTATTGAGTTTTTCTCCATCTCTTTATTAATTTGAAAGATAGAATGGATACTCTGCTTACCGGACTGAAACATTTGATCGTCGGAGAAAGTCTCGAAAGAGAGCAATGTAACAAGCGGTCGAATAGCATTTTCTCTTGCAAAATCATCCTGGGCAAGTGAATCATGCTCCGCCATTCTTGCCACCAAACCAGCCATCAGAATTTGAACCCTCATCGGAGAATCCGCCAAAACCTTAACTATAAGCGGAACCCCTTGTTCGTTCACAATAGTCCTTACTCTCTCTTGATCATTAGCCAAGTACAGCAATGCGTTGGCTCCCGCAATTTGTGCCTCCGGCGAACCAGTCTCTTTTAAAAGCTTCAAAAACGGCGGCACTCCACCTTCTTCGACAATAATTTGTTTGTTCCGATCATTATCTTGAGCAAGCGATGCAAGTTGATTAGCAGCTTCAATTTTTTCAGGCAATGGTCGCCCATAAATAGAAGCTATAGAAGACCAAACCCAAGCAAGAATTGGATCATTACTTGCAGTTGGCGGTAGAGTAAGAACAATACCACCATCCTCGGCTCCATTACCAAAGCCTAAAAGACCATCCTCACCTCCATTATCAAAGCCTAAAATACTGCCAAGCCATTTAACATCACCAACAGAAGCTTCTAGATGATTTAACACTTTCCGAAAATCAGCGGCACTGATAATCGTAACAACCCGACGAAGCACACTCCGGCGCTTACACTTACGGACTAGGGTTAGGGCACGCTCGAGATTCTTACAAACCTCGGCGACAATACGGCGAACCGGCCGTTCATAGAACGACTGAGTAGAAGAAGTGAACCGGACAAGCGAGCGTAGTTTCTCAAGAAGCAAACCGGCGTAATTACCTATATTAGCACACTCAAGCTTGAATGAATCAGCCTCGTCGACAGCGGAGCGAAGTCGTTCAGCAAGCAGGATCGGAAAGGTGAGTTCCTCTCCGAGTCGTTTATCTTCCATCAATTCGTGGGGCGAGTAACTGACTGGTTGAATTGAATAAAAAATGGGCAAGTGGTAAGCTAAAATAGGACTGTTCGGGTTAGGAAGCGAGTCTAGAGCGAGTCAGAAAGAAAGAGGAAGAAAAGGAATTTGGTGTTTGGGTGATTTGCTTGGTAAGTTGGTTGGTAATGGTGCTGGTTCATTCTCTGGTGGCATGTTTTTGTGTACCTTTTTCCTGGGGAATTGTGTTTGTTTGTACTAGTTTTTATTTGTTTGAGAAGGGAAGCGCGTGGAGAGAAAGAGAAGGAAGAGGAGTAAAAAATAGTAACTCCCAAGAGAGAGAGAGAGAGCGGGTAACCGCCGTGGCGTGCTGCGTTATGGAATTGGCTGAGAAGTGGGGTGGGAAAGTGCGTGGAGAGTTGAAGGAGGAGGGCTAAAAGAGGCAGATTAGGTTATAAACTTGAAATGATTTCATTCTTTTATTTATTTCTTGCAAATAGCAGGGACCTATTGTTGTTTGTTTAATCTTTCAAATTAATTAAAATTTTTATGGTTAAAGATTTCCAACCAATTAGATCACAGTAAATCTAATTTTTAATTTTGAAAAAATAAACTATTTTTATACAGATAATTTTTAAATTTTATTGGTTTTAGTTACGTAATATATATTTTTTCTTTTTACGTTTTCATGTTGACCACATAAACTGAGAAAGGACATGGAAGTTGGAATCAACTCCGTCTCATACATTCACAAAGCTTCAGTCAATAGGTCAAATGAATCAATTTCACGATGAACTCGTTCGTTTTCAACCCAAGATATGATTTTATTAATTTCCAGGAAGCTGATCATTTAATACGCCCAAATCCTTGACGTTGATGAGAACGCTACGTCTCTCTCAAATCGTCTCATTTTCTCTCTCCCAATCAACACTTACCTTTTTTTTTTTTTTTCAAATTCTACATTTTCAAACCATTAATCAAAATCCTACTTATCAAGAATTCAACCACCTCTGATAGGATCATCACATTTTAATTTATCATAAATTACTAATTAAAACTAAATTAAAATTCATCAAGAAAATACATTCACTTGTAGTTAAAGCAATCTTTGGATATATTATTATTAAATGGCAAAGGAACATGTATACTTGAATCCGACAAATGGAAATGTTGGGTCCACCCCATTTCCAAATATACTGACAAGAGAAACACTTGATCTGCCAGCTACACTGACTTCTTATTATATAAAAATAAAAATATTTCAAGCATTAATATCCACATTACATGATATCAACAAACATAATCAAGATGGATTTCCTGTCATTAAGAGTCCTCTAGAAGCTACATCAAATGACTAGAGTAGCATAAAACATTCCCCCTCCTATCTAAGGATAATCAATCTGTCTGGGGTCTCGGCCTCTGCCACAACTCAAAAGGCACCCACAATAACATTTTTCCACAAAATCATCATTAACAAGACAAGCTATAGCAACATGATACAAAGACACAATGCAGTTTTGAAGATATAATTATCCAGACATTCGAAATAATCGAATAGCTTTTGCTGGAAGTTGGGCCAATGGCTCAATTATTCGAGCAAGAGTGGTTCCTCCATCAGTTCTAGAGCTTGGCGAGTAGTCCATTTTGGATTGGCTTCGCTGCTATCCCGCTGTCCTTTAGATCCAAATCACTTGCACTTGGAGGAACATCCACTGCTGGTGAGCAGTTAAAGAATCCATGTGGCTGCGTCACAATGGCAAAAAGATTAACATGAAGAAAACATACAATATGGAGAGTACAATTAGACTGTTTCTTTAAGGTCAACAAGCACTACTGATTCTGCAACTACAAATCATTCTCTTGTTTCATCATTCATTTTTCGCCATTCAATTAACGTAGTATGATTCTGAAAACCCACTTCAAGATGAGACATGAGCGTATCAGTACAAGCTATAAGATAATATGTAACTTTAATAGCGTTTGAAAACAAGTATAATAATCAAGGATTAAAAAAAAATAGGAAAGATTTGTAGGATTTCGATGCGTAACATACCATTAGCATAAAACCAATGCGTTCCACAGGCATGACAGGCCAGTCTTCTAACCGAGGAATGTGTGTCACTCCAAATACATACCTGTAAAATTTGAAATCATGTTAGATGTAATATGTTGATGCATTTTAATCAGAAAATCAGGAAACATTTTCCGTGAACAATGAACATAAAACACAATTTTTACTGCAGACAGATCATGTATATTAGAAAAGGAAGAAGAAAGGCAAAAAAATTGGATTCTCACCATAGAACTATATTTGTTTCTTCCAATGATCGGTTTTGCTTCACCCAAGTAGATAATCCCTCTCCGACACGAGGATTTTGATTGGGAAACTCCCCTCCAGGATACATTTCATCACGCGCATAAGGCGTTACCCAAAGATTATGTTTCAAAAAAGCAGCTCTTCTCAAGAATTTTGCCTCTGCACCCGCTAATGGTAAACAATTTGAACCAGGTACTAACTTGAAACCTGTAAGTTGTCCAGTCCTGTTGACAGTTCTTGTGTTTCTGATCCGAAAAACAAATTAGGGAGTGTAAACATAGAAAATTAGTTTCTCAAAAGAAAAAAAGGGAAAAAAAATCTGAAGGCAACATCAAAGCAAATCATTGATGTGACCTGGCACATTCAATGCTGGTAAATCAATTATACAAAAATAAGAATACATTCCAAGAAACCCAACTTACAGGAACTGAAAAATGTTCTTTAGTCCAATTGAATTAAAACAAGAAAAGCATTCATGCATTCATTACTACAATATTCAAACAAAGAACAATAAATAGAAAAAGCCACACCAAAAATTTGGAAGTGTTAACTCCTCATTTTCCCCAAAGTTCAATAAATTAGTAATTCAATCAATGCAAATATATATATATATATCTATATGTATGTAAAGTCTAATTTCTTGAATGATAAGTTGAATCCCAAGCAAACTAAGATAGCCACATGAAAGCCAAAACAACCAGGTTTTAATACTCTCTTCTTCTCAACTCAGGTCTCGAACAGATAGATGGTAAGAGGCCTGCTGCCACAATGAAAACAGTTTGTTAAATTTGATATTTACAAGGCAGCAAGGCAAAAAGATCTAAAAGGCCATCTAATTTTCTCACAGATTTGCATCGTTACTGAATGCATCTTCATACACCAAATTAAGACATGATTCATTATGAACGCCAACAAATATAGCCAAATGGAGAGAAAACTACTTCCCAACAATCTTCACAATTGAAAACCTAATCAAAGTGCACTACCATGGTCATTCTAAACTAAAAGGCCATAACAATACATTCCCAAGCAGATCATCAATATCCAACTTTCCTACATGCACCAGAGCTGTATGCACATAGATCTTGCAATTTAGGCACACAATGGTGAGAAACGTTACAACAATGTTAAAAGTACATACAATCCAGTGGCGAGCAGTTAATGGATTACAATCACGCATTGCTTGTAATTCAGATCGGAGAATTTCCTCTTCAGCATAGAATGCATTATTATGAACATTATCCTTTCCTGGTTCTTCAACTTTAACATTCACCTCAACAACCTATAAGAAAAGAAGATATCCCTCAGCAAATAGTCAAATACAAACACATAAGGAAAAATAATGTTTTAATCATAAATAGAAAGACATATTAAAGGGTAGAAGGTCTGAAACCACAACCACAAAGTTCAGATGTTGCAAGAGATCAACATGAAATGACAATAACAAAACAAGAACAATTACAGTTCTCACCAAAGGAACGAACCATCAGATTGTTTCCACCTTCTGAAGAGAACCAGCAGATCTTTCAATAAATAAGGACATTAATTTAAAGAGAAAGTTCATACAAAGCACATAGTAAGCTCCATAAAGCAACATATCACATGGGCTAACATCTCAGGGGAAAAAAATATATGTATTTGCCTTATTAGCAACAGGGAATTTTCCCTTTTAATCAGTCCAACAGAGAACATATTGACCAACACTTACAGAAAATTTCAAATCCCTCGAATAAAAAAAAAAAGAATAAACTACATCTTGCAAAGGAAACAACTCCTACAATCCAGGAACCTCCCAGAAAACACAACTTGTGAAGAGAAATAGGAAGGTATACACACAAAAAGAAAACAAAAAGAAGGAGAGGGGGGGGGGGGGGAATCATTACAACAATATTATATGCAGTGAACTTACCTGATTGAATGTTTCACCAGGCTTACAGTCAACAGCCATATCCATACGTGCCACAAAAAAGTGTTGATGGACAGGTGCATACAGCCCAGGAGCAATAGTTGTACCATATTTCCGTACTTCCCCAGGTTGCAGTGCTCCTAAGCTGAGAATTCCAGTGAGTTTAACCTCAGCTTCAATTTTCCCATCCTAAAACAAAAAGGATAAACATCATTGAGATACTAACAAGAAATATTCTCAAAATTCTCACAAAATCCAAAAGGAGACAGCAGACCATAAGAAGAATTGACACCCTAACAATGAAAACTATGGAAATATTCCTCACTCAATAGTTATAATAACCTCATTTTCCCATTAAGATGGCAGCTGATCCAAGCTGTTGCAATCAAAAGGCTTTTGCACATAAAACTGATTATTCAGAAATGATATTGAGCAATCAACCCCATTTGCATAAACTGAGTAGATAAATCCAGGAGGAATTCAAGCCAGAGACTGAATTACCTGATAAAAGTGCCAGAAAAATGCATACTCATAATTAGCTACAGTGCATATAAAAGACACTGATAGCCTTCTAGAACGTCGGACTTCTGCTAATCCTGTTCTCCAGTCCTGATGCTTCCATAAGATTCCATGATCTTCTTCATGCAAACAAACACAATTTTCAATTGTTTCAACACCTCCAGAAAAATTTGTAAAATGTGCATCAAAGTACTTGATGAAGCCCAAACAATCACAATTCTGTACCACAACAGTTATGTCAATACTCAGTTTTCAAGTCAATCAAACAGGGAGATACAATTGATTCTATACCACAAATCAAGAAGAAAAGTAATGTCATTATTTTAAGAAAGCGAAAATAAAACCCCTCACCTTCTTAAGAGAATGTGCATTTTTACCCAATCCATCTTCCCCTGCATCAAATGCATTTTTCCTGTAGTGCGGATCATTGGGGTCTCCATAGGGAACCACCATTTCAACAAAACTTAACCTGTGGGCCACAGGTCTCCGACCTCGACTACCATCAACGTATGCAACAGAATAAATAACTAAACCCTCCCTGGGTGTGAAACCAATACGAAAATTCCACTGCCAAGAAAAACCAAATCAGTACTAAGTATGCATGTTGAAAATATACACTAGTGACTGATGCAATTCCACAAAGAACCAAGCACCTTCTGCCACTGAACAAAATGCCCATTAACACGAAAGCTTGGACCTTCAGGTTGAATGATCTGTAGAGGTTTCACATCACTTCTATCAACACCTCCTCGAGATTCACCAGCAGTGTAATTTCTTAAGGGATCAGCTGGTGGTAGTGGAACTAGTTTACGGTCCTCAAATTCAATCACATTCATATTTTGCATATCAACAAGAACATGGATTCCTTCGACCGGACGAGCATAACCATTTTCTACTGGACAGTCACTCTCAGTCCTGCAGAAGATAAGTGGTTTGGCAAGCCTGCGGCTTGGAGCATCGGCATCACTGTGATATCCAACACACCTAGAAGAACTAAAATGTTATACAAAAGTGCAACTCAAACATTGAAAACAGATTTTTCACAGATAAACACTGTAAGCTAACCAAGGGTCCACCATCACAAGATCCATATCTTCAATACCCCTCTTTTTCATTGCCTCCCGAAATGGAGGGAAGGCTTTCACCACCGCTTCACATTCCGCATATTCTACAGCATCCTGTAATTGTAAAAGCCAATTAAGAAGAAGGAATCTAGCTTGGATAATTATATGCAGAACCACATAGTAAATCATCCCAAATAGAACTTATCTTTAGATTCAAATTAACCCCAAAACAAAAACTACTCCATATACCATAGGAGGCTGAACGTCTGGAACAACTTTGGATGAAATGACTTTGCCCCTGTGGTGGCCACCTCGAGTTGCAGCATGTACTTCAGATAGTTCAACAATCCATATGCTTGTCTCATTTGATTTTTTATTGTAAACAACAAGTCTTGCTTTTCTAGGGGGAAGTTTAGTGGGAATTACAGGTCCACCTTTAGTTCTGGGAAGTAATGAAGGCTGGAAAGGAGGAAAGAAATATGCATCCGCCAATGCAACGACATTCTTGTCTGGCTCCAGCAAAACTACTTCAACAAAGCGCATGCTATCTCTCACCTGAGAGAAGTCTAATCAGTTAATTTCTTCCATTGATGAAATTCTATAAAATTGTAGAGGCAAATTACACAGACCACCATGAGGTATCTTTAGATTACAAAAATCATTTTTTATCTTGAAAAATATAGAGAATGTACACAGAAAATCCACCTGTAAACTGTGATTGCTATTCAATAATAAATTCTACGTATAAAAAACAAAACAGGCAGAAAGAGTTACGTTGTATAATAATAACTCATTTTAATAAGAATTCATTGTAAGGTGGTTTCTGTATATTTTTCCAAATGAAAAGGGTGTCTAATAATTTGAGGATACCTAAGCGTAAGTTCAGTTTACCCAATCATAAGTTACGATTTAAGATAAAAGTAATCATGCTATAATTAACCTCAGGAGTTGCTCCAGCAGCCCTAACAGTTCCCACTGCAACAGAAATTTCAGCAGCAGTTAAAGGATCCAAAGGGTGGCTGGTCTGTGCCCTCGCCATCACTGTAATTCCTATCCAAGAAAATAAACAAACTCAATAAGCAATTTTAAATAGGATAGGGCGAATGTTATTCAGCCAGTAAGATGACCTATCTAGAAGATAAATGCACAGCTTTACTCTCAGGTTTAATTGCTTTCTATAATCCATCGCTTTAACAATAAAACAACCAACCAGGTCATGAATGCGTGTCCTTAGATAAAAATAAGTTAATCAAGACAAAAATGGAAACGTAGACCGAAAGAAAAATCCCAGACCATATTCTAGTGAAAAAAAAAAAAAAAAAAAAAAAGAACTGTTATGTTAACTTTTTACCTTTAGCGGAAGTGGGGTTAGGTGGAGGAGGAGGAGGAGGGTCAGTGAGGGGCTCAACAGGGCGGATCAGTGAAGCCATGGTAGCTTTCTTGTGGATCGGATCCTCTACCGGGTCACGTACTTCACCGACGCTCCAATCCTGCAAAACCTCAGTTTCAGCAGCGGCTTTTCTTGCAGAGGAAGAATTGGTGGAGGCGGTAGCAGAGCAACAAGAAGACGTCGCCTTTTCCTGAGCTGTGGCCATTGTAAAGGGTTAGCAACTTCACCGAATCCACCGTAGTAATTGTCACTGTAGTATTTCACTGACATACAGCAAATTCTAATCTAATTCTTACTTCTAAAACTTTCTTTTATTTCTCTTTCACCTAACCTTAATTAATTCTCTAGCACTTTCTCTCCCAGTCTCACTTTCCCGGAAAAGTGATCAGGTTAATCTTGTGAACTCTATTAGGATCGCTTTCGCTGGGATTTTATAGAAGGAAGATGTAGAGTAGATAACAAAATGGACTTGGCGAATAGAAAATAATTAAGAGAAAGTGGGTTTGGTGCTCTGCTTTATTTATAGATTATTTTGGTATATTTGTCAAGTACAGACAGGAACAGGATAGAAGAAGACGAGCAAGAATGGAGCTAAAGTGATAGGAGCATCCACTTGTAATTGTATGAGACGTCACATGCGTGATCTTGTAATTGACCTGCATTTTATCCTCTTACACACCGACCAGATGTCAAGCGGAAAGCATGGGCTGGCTTTTTCCGGGTACCTGGCAATAGCTATATTCAGGCCTTGTTTGGCGGGGAGTACGTAAAGGGAAAAAAATTGAAATTGGTCATTCAATTATAATCAAATTAGTACACGCTGACATCAATTTTTAAAACTAATTATAAGATTTTTAATTTATAATTTTATTCATATTTTAGTGCCTACGTATAAAATAGTTTTTTTAATGTCATTTCTCTAAATTATAGTCAAAAATTAATTATAAAATCCTTAGTCTATAATTTTCATCAACATTTTGATTCCTCTTTAAAATAAAATATTAAAGTGTTAATAAAATCATAATTTAAGAATTTCACGTTTTGATTTCTCTTTGACTGATTATGAGGTTTGAAAAGAACCGAATTGCAGTTAAAATACTGAATGATAGATTAGTTTGATAATTATACAAATAATAAAAATAATTAGTCAACATTTAATATGAGCTAGGATAAAAGAGAAAACAATTAAAATAATTGTTTCAGTTGTGTAGACTCTAATTTATATTTTAATGTTATTACTAATAATTTTCAACTATTTAAATTCATTAGTTAGTACATGCGTCCATGCTAAATTTATGGATTGATTATACTGGTTGAAAAAATAAGGGTATTTAATTTTGAATGGTTAATAATTTTCCCATTAAATATATATTCTTTAGTTAATATATTTAAATATAAAACTTTATATACAATTATGTTATTGCAAATGTGATTGAAATTTTTTATTTTAAATAATATATTATTTTATATACTATTTATTTTTTAAATGTAATAAGACTATAGTAAATATATGATAAAAATATGATTAATTATATCAAACGAGACCAAGTGGTTAGATAAATACGAATTACAATTTGCATTGATCATATTATTTTATTACTAAATAAATAAAGTTTATTTCAATAAATATATTCTATTAAGTTGTTATATATTTATTTACAATAAGTTCTATTAAGGGTAAGTTGATAACATAGTATTTTATATGCTATCAATTATATTATTTTCTATATTTTAAATATATTAAATTAATTATATATTATGAGTATTAATTGAGAAGTTTTATTCGATCCTAATTAGGAATTAGAATCTCGCCAAATTTATAAATTTGACCATAAACTTTCTAATAACGCTTGTGGCCCCTGAAATTTTATGAGGATTCAACCATGACTATAATTTTTTTATATTTTAATAATAATTATCTCATTTACCAAAATGAAATATCTTTGTAAGGTTTAATCATGATATTACGCTTCCGCATTTTATTTTAGGGAATGGCATAATTATTATTGAAATATGAAATTGTAGGATCATGATGGTTCCCTACATAGTTTAGGAGGCCACAAAAGTAATCGTTAAAAGTACATAGTTAAATTTATGCATTGAGCCTTTACAATTTCATTATGGAAAAGTTTTGTCCTATATATATATATATATATAATATAATTTTAATTGTTTTTGACTATCAAGAATATGTTCTTATTGGCCTAATAATTGTTTTATGTATAACTGCATATGTTATTTAAATATGTTTTTAAATAAATTTATATTTTATTATATAATTTTTATATTTTATTTTAGAAAATAGTTATTACAGTCTATCACATTCAAATTCTAAATTCAAGAAAATAAATAGTTGAATATACCAAGTTAAATAATGGATTTAATTATTTGTAATATTGTGTATTCAAAATATTAATAAAATAAAAATTTGCAAGAAGAGGGTAAAATACTCGTGATATCAATCGATGATTTCAATATAATGTATCAGTTTATATTTATTTTGGCTTCATATTGAGACACCTTAACTGTCGTTCCAATCTGAATTTTGCTAAATCTTAAAAGTTATAAAGTAAATTAAGAAAAATATTGTAAAAATTATAAATTTAATTGTTAATTTCACATTTGATTAATTATTTGGCCAAGTCCAACCTTAAACAGTAATTTTAGAAACCCTAGCTATGACTTAGCTCAAACTAGTCCATATAAGTTAAACTTAATGAGGAAAATGGTGAATTAACAAGAGGTTTATAGATATATAAAAATTAAAATACAAGTGAGAACAACGAGTAACGTGTAATAAAAAATTTATATATGCAAACATAAAAATTACCAAACAATTAATTATTAATTCAAATAATTTACTATCAAAAATAAAAAAAAGTAATAATGAATTATGGTAATTAAAATTAGATTTAAAAAAAATATTGTTATTATAAAATAAAAAAGAGTAAAAAATATTATGAGTAAAAGCAAACACACGTTGAAGAAGACTAGTTTTCTCGAAAGGATGAAATAGTGTTAAACGAAACGACTAATTAAAATAGAGACCAAACTTTGTTATGTTTTATAATTTCCCCCCAATTTGATCTTTACATTAATTATTTTCCCCTTAATTTGACTTTTTATTGCAATCACGTCTTCAATTAGGCCCACACATTACGTCGAGTTTACATTTATCTTGTCTCTTTCAATGGCGACCCATGGACGGAAATTGGAATCTGGAAGTTGACAAATTATGAATTGAAACGCCACGTCAACAAGTCATGCGCAAGTAATTAACAAATGTATAGTTGTTCATTTTTCAAACACAGCCACCGTGTTTTACTACTCACCCTCCGAAGATTTCATTTTCAAGGCTGCGCTGCTGGTCTTTAGTGATCGTTCTCTCTCACAGATATGGCATAAGCAGCTTTTGTTATTTTTTAAATTAGGTACTCACCTCTTTATTTTTATTAGCTGTTACCTTCTGATTTGATAGGTATAGGTATTTTTCATGAATTTAAAACCTTCCATTCTATTTAAAATTTTCAATATTATCACAAGAAAATCATTTTGTGATTTGAGAGGAGAGAATTTATAGAAATTCAATAACTAATAAATAATATTGGAATAATAATATTGTGAGCTACACGATAAGGTGTAGTTCTTTTTTTCGCGCATTATACAGTAAAAGCTTTTTTTATTGGAATAAAGTGAAATCCAATTAAACATTCTAATCTTATTAAAAGTGAAAAAAAACTAGAATATATTTAATTCACGGATTCAAACATTCATTACTAATAATGTATGTCAAATGTTATTTAACCACTATTAAATTCAAAATTAGTTTAAAATAATTCAAATATATCAATATAATTATATTTAATTATTTATTATAATTTTAAATGTAATGGTTGATAAATTGATTATTGTATAAGGGCAAGTTCCCATTCACCATATTTTATAATATTAAGTAGATTTCAATTTCATATTAATTTTCAAAATAGAATAAGATTGCATAATATGCCCATGGAGTCTGCTTCGAACGGATCTTTCCTTCCTTCCATTTAGGAGAAAAGTGGGCCATATTTTCAATACAAGGCCTGCTTTTTTAACAAATAATATGAGCCCAGCTGATGGGCCCAGTTCAGTCCAAAAATGCGGTCCATTTTGCTTGGCTTGGTTTTGCTTCTTGCTAAACAAATGAAAATACCTATCAGATTAATTATTAATTATATATGCTTTTTTTTGCTTTCGGGATATATTTATTATTAAATGAAAAACGACATCATATGCATAAATGTATCTGTCCCCACCATATGGAGTGATCCCATAGTATATAACTACTCTTCCTTCAATCCTAGAAGAAGGAAAGTCACCCTCCCTTCAACTCACGTGCTTCAGCACTACAAATGTGATAAACTGTACCATTTAACTGCTTTTCCTTCAACCCTAAAATAAAAGTAAAACACTCTCCCTTCCCTTCAACTCACATGCTTCAGCAGCTCACCAGAAAAAACCAGTTTACCAAGAAGTCAAGAACAACAAAACCCTATACACTTATAGTATATGCTAAGAAGCCTACACATTTGGAGTAATAAACTCGTTCACACCATATATTTATAACCCCGTATATGAACTAAATCAATAGAAATAATATTTTTTTTGAAAATTATTTCAACTTTATTGTTTTTTTTAGTATATGATGAAAAATACTATCGTTTCAACAATAAAATTATTTTTCATTAGTTTAATTCATGTGTGGAGAAAAGACGTGATTTAGGCAAATAATCTCGTGCTGTACCGTAAATGAATTTTACATGTTTAATGTTATACATGATAATTAAAAAAAAGAAATGAATAAACAAGTTAAAGAAATTACAGGGACTCGATAAAATTAAGTAATTAAGAAAAATTAAAAGTATACTAATTTAAATTAGTTACAGATAAATAAAATTAATGGAAGCAAAATATTGTGTATATGTACAAGTCATTAATAATTTTTTTAATGAAACTATTATTGTTATTTTATTTTTTAAAAAAATTATTTACTTTTCATAATTAAACAGGTGGAGGGAATAATCCAAATTGGAACCCCTCCTATATAAGTGCGGTAAATTTCTTGCAATTCCGATAGTAAAACCCATATCTGTCTCTTGCAGTCCATATAATATGGAAGAGTCAAGCCACCCACTTCTCTCCCCAAGAGAAGACCAAAACCAATCGCTGTTACTTCCTACATCAACGCCCAACACTTCTTCTGCCGCTACCTTTGACGCTCCTACATCACCGCCCCAACACTTCTTTCGTGCCCGCTTACTTTGACCCGGGCGCTTGATGACATTTCGCCCAATTAACGTGCCCCGTTATTCTTTAAGAATTCTACAGGAGTCCAAGAACCTCTGTTGCCTGCAGGCCCTGCCATCTTCACCTCCGTATGCCGCCCTGCCATCTTCACCTCCGTATGCGGCGCCGTCACTCTACTGTTCGCCGGACATGTTAGCACCATTGCCCTTGCTGCCATAGCCATCGAAAACAATGTCGTTGCCGGTTTCTGCTACGGCGCCCTGGTAATTAACAACATTCCATTTCCCTGCCTATGCTTAGGGATTTGAAAATATTATTAATGTAATTAGGAAATTTTAACAGCTAGGAATGGGAAGTGCGCTTGAAACGCTATGTGGGCAAGCTTTTGGAGCAGGTCAGATGGAAATGATAGGAGTCTACTTGCAGAGATCATGGGTCATTCTTGGCACCACATCAATACTACTAAGCTTGTTATATATATTCTCAGCGTCATTGTTAAAGCTTATCGGGCAACAAGCAGAAATAGCTGATGTTGCAGGAATGCTCGCTATCTGGTTGATACCGCAATTGTTCGCTTATGCTATGAATTTTCCTATGGCAAAGTTCTTGCAGGCGCAGAGCAAGATTATGGTAATGGCTTTGATAGCCGCTGGGGCATTGGTATTCCATACAATTCTGTGCTGGTTGTTGATGTTGAAATTGGGGTGGGGATTGGTAGGCGCAGCGGTGGTTTTGAATTTGTCGTGGTGGTTGAGTGATGTGTCTCAGTTTTTGTATATAATTAGTGGAACTTGTGGTGAAGCTTGGAATGGGTTTTCATGGAATGGGTTTTCATGGAAGGCCTTCCAAAATCTTTGGAGTTTTGTTAGGCTCTCTATTGCTTCTGCTGTCATGCTCTGGTGAGTTGCTTTCCCAACTTCAAGTGTATTTATTTCCTTCCAATAGCGAAGAATCCAAATATGCAAAGCAAAAAAGCTGCGCTCTTGATTTATCATCTGTCATCTTTTTGCAGCTTAGAGATTTGGTATTTGATGTTATTAGTACTCTTTGCCGGATACTTGAAGAATGCAGAGGTTGCAGTTGATGTTATGTCCATATGGTAAGCTTTTTATTTATATTACTCCACTATTAGTATTATTATTTTTAAATAAATTAATTAGGAGCCTAATTTTTAATTAAGAAAAAAGCTCAGGACTCGTGTGATTATTATTATTATTATTATTATTATTAAATAGATTAATTAGGAGCCTAATTTTTAATTAAGAAAAAGCTCAGGATTCGTGTGATTAGCGGATTAATGGGTTAGAAATTTCTGCAGCTCGAACATATGGGGCTGGACATTCATGGTTGGTCTTGGAATCAATGCAGCCATAAGGTCTGTACTATAACCTCAATATTCTATATGCCAAAAATAGATTAAGCTTAAAGATAAATAATTTATTTGCTTTATGCAGTGTCAGAGTATCAAATGAACTAGGCGCAGGTCACCCAAGAACAGCAAAATTTGCAGTAATGGTGGCTGTAGTGACATCACTAGTCATTTCTATTCTTCTTTCTCTCATTCTCCTTATCGAAAAAAATAATTACCCATCTCTATTCTCGAATAATTCAGAAGTCAAACAACAAGTTAGTCAACTAACGCCATTGTTAGCTGCTACCATAGTTCTTAACAACATTCAGCCTGTTCTTTCTGGTAATAATTAATTTTTCTAACTGTTTGATAAAAGTTAATTTCATGTTATTAATTTTTTTTTTCCGAAAAAAAATAATTACTTAGGAGTGGCCGTTGGAGCTGGATGGCAAGCTATTGTAGCTTATGTAAATGTAATAGCTTATTATGCCTTTGGGATGCCATTGGGTCTTGTATTTGGTTTCAAGCTTGACATGGGAGTCAAGGTAATTAATCTCTTAATTAATTAAGCCTATTGAATCAAAATTGTCACTAATCATATTATTTATTTATTTATTATTAATTTTTAGGGAATTTGGATTGGAATGATGATTGGGGTTATCATACAGACTTGTGTCCTCTTCGGTTTAACTTATACAACGGATTGGAACAAAGAGGTAATTAACCTTTAAGCTCTAATAGTAATTAATAATTAACATTAGTATTAATTATAATTTTTTTGTTTTTGGTATGAGATGCAGGCTTCTGTTGCGAAAAATAGGATAAAGAAATGGGGAGGACATGGAGATTCTTCCACTATTGAGAAACAAAATGGCAGTACATTGCCAAGTACTCATTAGAATGCTAATAATCCATTAGTTAAAAAATTCTTGCTTGTACTTGTACTATTTGTAGTGAACCGTAATGGAACATATAGAATGTAATACGACCAAAGACATTTATAACGTAAATACTACAGTATAAATGTCTTTTATTACACTCTTCTACTACGGACTCACCAAATATAATGTTAGTTTGGGTAATTTTTTGAACATTCCTTGGGTAAACAAGGAAATATTTTCTTTTATTTTAAATGATGTATTTAAGTTATCTTTTGCATTATGAGACTTATGAGTTGAAATCTTCTATCAAAGTAACCATCCCCCCTCCCAAAAAAAAAAAACCCATCTTCTTGACCTCTTGATTGTGTTGGCAGTAACATTTTAAATAACTTTTAGCGTTTTGACTAATCAAAATGTTAAAAACACTATAATTTTTAGTGTTTTTTATTTTAAATAACTTTTAGCATTTTGACTAATCAAAATGTTAAAAATACTATAATTTTTAGTGTTTTTTAACGTATTATTTGAATTTAACTTTTAAAAGTTAAGGTAATTTTTTATAAAAGGTTATCCCATATAACGTTTAACTTTATGTTTTATGAAAAAATTGATCAAACAGTTAAATGCTACTAAAATAACTAACAACTATCAAAACAGTGCATTTTGTCGAAAAAACCCTTTATATCAAGCATGATGTTGTTGTTAGCATCATGTGTTCAAAAGCAGAACATGAAAATTTGAAAACAAAACACTAAAAGCAAAGCAGTTGACTATTAGCTATCTCTCCTATATTATTATTAGTGTTGAATATATTAATATATATATATAATATATATATATATATAATATATATATATATATATATGTCTCTTTTATTTATTGTCTCTTTTATTATTATTATTATTAATTTTTGTTGATATGCACATGTTGTGTTCATAATTATAGATTAATAAGTAGAATTTCATTTCAAATCAACATTCTTCTTTAATGTTAATGATCCGTCGTTTTCATGCCACTTATCACAAGGAGACCTAAAAGAGAAGGGGAAGAAATACCAGGTTGGTCCAAACTTCTAAAGGTACTCCTCGATTGTTGGGTCACCTTGTCATTATTGCCCATTTAAGGTCATAATTGAACAAAGAAATTTGATTATCTCTATTTTTTTTCTTTTCTTTTTCACACGGATTTTTACACCCGATTTTTACACCCAAGCTAAGAGTGATATTTAAATCAAATTCTCTCAATTGCCAGCAAAAAAACATAAATAAGTTAAAGGTTTTTAATGATTGCGTTAAGCAGACTTAGTAAATACTATAAGAGATTCAAGTATTTTAAAAAAATTTAATCTAAAGAAAATAAAGGATGGAACAATTATTTTTATATTTCAGAAAGAAAATTATTTAGTTTTAATTTCATTAGAAAATTTTTAAATCGATTTGGTTCAATATGAATTTGGTTATTCTAAATCAAATTAACTATTTTGTATTAAAAATAAATTTGGTTAATTATATATGGTAACTAAATCAAAAGTAAAAAGACTAAACCGTTTTATATATATATCCAAACTGATTAGTAACTGAGTTCTAAAAGAACTTTTTGAATCTGATCTAAATGAGTTGGTTTGATTCGATTCTCGATTAAAAATCGAGAATTGTTCTCTCTTTAGTTGTTAGTTGATGAAAATTAGTTGTTTGATAAACATTTGATAGGAGTTGTTTTGAAATCTAATACTCCCTTCGTCCCATTTTATTTGCATGTTTGATAAAATAGCATATTAAAATTTAACCAACAAAATTTATGTTGCCAATTGTTTACCCTTAACTCATTAAGATATTAATAAAAGTTATTCATTTAATGAACAATCATAAATGTTATTATGAAAAAAATAATCCTTAACTCATTAAGATATTAATAAAAGTTATTCATTTAATGAACAATCATAAATGTTATTATGAAAAAAATAATTATTTAAATGTATAAATTTAGAAATCTTGTAAATATTTTGGGACATCCTAAATAGAATAACAAGCAAACAAATAGGACAAATGGAGTAATTACTTTCAAAAAAATTATAATGAATTACATAAATATTTCATTTTTTAAGGTAAAATATATATTTTTTGAGAATAAGGTAAATATATTTTTATTTTAATGTTATAAAAAATATTATATTATTTTTTTAATAGCAGGTAATAGTTTATCTATTAATTCAAAATAATGATAAATAAAATGATCATATAAAAAATACTAATTTTAAAAAATTAATCGTTAATCTTTTAGAATATTAATTACCTCCTTTCTCCAAAGCAGGAAAACCAGGACGAAACACATACGCTTAGTTCCTTTACCTCGTCATCCGTCTCCGAAATCGATGACATCCCTCCAATCAAAGGCGTTGGCGATTTCTTCAGAGAATACTGTAGAGAGTACAAAAAACTCTGGTATCTTGCTGGCCCTGCCATCTTTACCAACATTGGCCAATTCTCTCTTGGCGCCATTACTCAAGCATTTTCCGGTCAAATAGGCCCTCTAGCCCTCGCTGCCGTCTTAGCTGAAATCTCCATTATTACCGCCTTTTCCTGCGCTGCAGTGGTATATGTATATTCACGTAAATAGTAACTTTGACAGAATTTATCAATTAAGGGTTTTGATATCAGTTGTTGGGATTATAACTTATCCCGAGCGAGGTCCATGAAAAATACTTCAATAATTACGTATTGGATATTAACGATCGAATTTATCAGAATAATAACCACGGTAAAAATTAAATAATTACCGTAGATGCCAGATGAAAAATAAGAGCATCGAGATTTACGTGGTTCACCCTTCAACTGTTATAGACTACGTCCACGGGACAAAAACTCCGAATAATTCTTCTACTAAAAATAGTAGTTACAAAAAGAGATTACAAAAATAGTGACACTCTAAGTATTTCAAAAAAAAAAAAACACCCCAAAATTATAATCCTCACTATTTTCTCTCTTTCCCAATGTTAGGAACCCTTTCCTAAAATTATAATCTTCGTTTTTTATTTTGTTTTTGTACATTTTCATTGAAAAAATCCCCTTTCCTAAAATTATAATCTTCGTTTTTTATTTTGTTTTTGTACATTTTCATTGAAAAAATCTTCTCCTATTTATAGGAGAAGGGGATGCGTTTAATCAACGCATCCACCAACTTTTGTTGAAAAAAAGAATGTGTGCTCATTCTTTATTTTTCATGTATCCTTTGAACAACAAAAACGTGCCTATTTTCTTTTTATTCATTTATACGTGTGTGGGTCTCTTCTTTCTCTTTTTCTTCTTTGTTCAAACATTGTATGGGTCCCACATGTTGGAGGGACCCCACAACAACTAGATATTTATAACCCGAGAACTATATCAATCGAAATAATAATTTTTTTTAAAATTGTTTCAACTTTATTATTTTTTTTAGTATATGATAAAAAATATTATTGTTTTAACAATAAAATTATTTTTCATTAGTTTAATTTATGAGTGGAGAAAAGGCATGATTTAGGTAAATAATCTCATGATGTACCGTAAATGAATTTTACATGTTTAATGTTATACATGATAATTAAAAAAAGAAATGAATAAACAAGTTAATGAAATTAAAGGGACTCAATAAAATTAAGTAATTAATAAAAATTAAAAGTATACTAATTTAAATTAGTTACAGATAAATAAAATTAATGGAAGCAAAATATTGTGTATATGTACAAGTCATTAATAATTTTTTTAATGAAACTATTATTGTTATTTTATTTTTTAAAAAAATTATTTACTTTTCATAATTAAACAGGTGGAGGGAATAATCCAAATTGGAACCCCTCCTATATAAGTGCGGTGCGGTAACATTTCTTGCAATTCCGATAGCAAAACCCATATCTGTCTCTTGCAGTCCATATAATATGGAAGAGTCAAGCCACCCACTTCTCTCCCCAACAGAAGACCAAAACCAATCGCTGTTACTTCCTACATCAACGCCCAACACTTCTTCTGCCGCTACCTTTGACGCCGGCGCTGATGACATTTCTCCAATTAACGGTGCCCGCGATTTCTTTAGAGAATTCTACAGGGAGTCCAAGAAGCTCTGGTTCCTGGCAGGCCCTGCCATCTTCACCTCCGTATGCCAGTTTTCCACCGGCGCCGTCACTCTACTGTTCGCCGGACATCAGTTTTTCCACCGCGCCGTCAACTTCTACTGTTAAGCCGGACCATGTAGCACCACATTGCCCTAGCTGCCCAACGCCAATCGAAAACATGTTCCGTATTTCCTGTTTTTCTGCTACGGCGCCCCCTGGTAATTAAGCCCTGCCATCTTCACCTCCGTATGCCAGTTTTCCACCGGCGCCGTCACTCTACTGTTCGCCGGACATGTTAGCACCATTGCCCTTGCTGCCATCGCCATCGAAAACAATGTCGTTTCCTGTTTCTGCTACGGCGCCCTGGTAATTAACAACATTCCATTTCCCTGCCTATGCTTAGGGATTTGAAAATATTATTAATGTAATTAGGAAATTTTAACAGCTAGGAATGGGAAGTGCGCTTGAAACGCTATGTGGGCAAGCTTTTGGAGCAGGTCAGATGGAAATGATAGGAGTCTACTTGCAGAGATCATGGGTCATTCTTGGCACCACATCAATACTACTAAGCTTGTTATATATATTCTCAGCTTCATTGTTAAAGCTTATCGGGCAAAACGCAGAAATAGCTGAGGTTGCAGGAATGTTCGCTATCTGGATGATACCGCAATTGTTCGCTTATGCTATGAGTTTTCCTATGGCAAAGTTCTTGCAGGCGCAGAGCAAGATTATGGCAATGGCTTTGATAGCCGCTGGGGCATTGGTATTCCATACAATTCTGTGCTGGTTGTTGATGTTGAAATTGGGGTGGGGATTGGTAGGCGCAGCGGTGGTTTTGAATTTGTCGTGGTGGTTGAGTGATGTGTCTCAGTTTTTGTATATAATTAGTGGAACTTGTGGTGAAGCTTGGAATGGGTTTTCATGGAAGGCCTTCCAAAATCTTTGGAGTTTTGTTAGGCTCTCTATTGCTTCTGCTGTCATGCTCTGGTGAGTTGCTTTCCCAACTTCAAGTGTATTTATTTCCTTCCAATAGCGAAGAATCCAAATATGCAAAGCAAAAAAGCTGCGCTCTTGATTTATCATCTGTCATCTTTTTGCAGCTTAGAGATTTGGTATTTGATGTTATTAGTACTCTTTGCCGGATACTTGAAGAATGCAGAGGTTGCAGTTGATGTTATGTCCATATGGTAAGCTTTTTATTTATATTACTCCACTATTAGTATTATTATTTTTAAATAAATTAATTAGGAGCCTAATTTTTAATTAAGAAAAAAGCTCAGGACTCGTGTGATTAGCGGATTAATGTGTTAGAAATTTCTGCAGCTCGAACATATGGGGCTGGACATTCATGGTTGGTATTGGAATGAATGCAGCTATAAGGTCTGTACTATAACCTCAATATTCTATATGCCAAAAACAGATTAAGCTTAAAGATAAATAATTTATATTATTATTATTATTATTATTATTAAATAGATTAATTAGGAGCCTAATTTTTAATTAAGAAAAAGCTCAGGATTCGTGTGATTAGCGGATTAATGGGTTAGAAATTTCTGCAGCTCGAACATATGGGGCTGGACATTCATGGTTGGTCTTGGAATCAATGCAGCCATAAGGTCTGTACTATAACCTCAATATTCTATATGCCAAAAATAGATTAAGCTTAAAGATAAATAATTTATTTGCTTTATGCAGTGTCAGAGTATCAAATGAACTAGGCGCAGGTCACCCAAGAACAGCAAAATTTGCAGTAATGGTGGCTGTAGTGACATCACTAGTCATTTCTATTCTTCTTTCTCTCATTCTCCTTATCGAAAAAAATAATTACCCATCTCTATTCTCGAATAATTCAGAAGTCAAACAACAAGTTAGTCAACTAACGCCATTGTTAGCTGCTACCATAGTTCTTAACAACATTCAGCCTGTTCTTTCTGGTAATAATTAATTTTTCTAACTGTTTGATAAAAGTTAATTTCATGTTATTAATTTTTTTTTTCCGAAAAAAAATAATTACTTAGGAGTGGCCGTTGGAGCTGGATGGCAAGCTATTGTAGCTTATGTAAATGTAATAGCTTATTATGCCTTTGGGATGCCATTGGGTCTTGTATTTGGTTTCAAGCTTGACATGGGAGTCAAGGTAATTAATCTCTTAATTAATTAAGCCTATTGAATCAAAATTGTCACTAATCATATTATTTATTTATTTATTATTAATTTTTAGGGAATTTGGATTGGAATGATGATTGGGGTTATCATACAGACTTGTGTCCTCTTCGGTTTAACTTATACAACGGATTGGAACAAAGAGGTAATTAACCTTTAAGCTCTAATAGTAATTAATAATTAACATTAGTATTAATTATAATTTTTTTGTTTTTGGTATGAGATGCAGGCTTCTGTTGCGAAAAATAGGATAAAGAAATGGGGAGGACATGGAGATTCTTCCACTATTGAGAAACAAAATGGCAGTACATTGCCAAGTACTCATTAGAATGCTAATAATCCATTAGTTAAAAAATTCTTGCTTGTACTTGTACTATTTGTAGTGAACCGTAATGGAACATATAGAATGTAATACGACCAAAGACATTTATAACGTAAATACTACAGTATAAATGTCTTTTATTACACTCTTCTACTACGGACTCACCAAATATAATGTTAGTTTGGGTAATTTTTTGAACATTCCTTGGGTAAACAAGGAAATATTTTCTTTTATTTTAAATGATGTATTTAAGTTATCTTTTGCATTATGAGACTTATGAGTTGAAATCTTCTATCAAAGTAACCATCCCCCCTCCCAAAAAAAAAAAACCCATCTTCTTGACCTCTTGATTGTGTTGGCAGTAACATTTTAAATAACTTTTAGCGTTTTGACTAATCAAAATGTTAAAAACACTATAATTTTTAGTGTTTTTTAACGTATTATTTGAATTTAACTTTTAAAAGTTAAGGTAGCATTTTATAAAAAGTTATTTCATGTAACGTTTAGCTTTTATATTTTATGATAAAATTAATCAAACACCTAAATGTCAGTAAGATGACTATCAAAATAATTAATTTTATATTCAGCATGATAGATACTGTTGTCAGCATCTTGCGTTCAGAGTTACTCTCAGACCCGAAGAATCTAACACGTTCGTTGCTAAACAGAACTAACATTCATGAAAATTTGAAAAACAAAACACTAAAAGCAAAGCAGTTGACTGTTAGCTATCTCTCCTATATTATTATTAGTGTTGAATATATAAATTAAATTTTTAATAATTGCAGCATGATAGATACTGTTTTTGTCACATGCTTGCCGGTTCAGAGTTTAACACTCTCAGACCGAAGAATCTAAACACGTTTTTCGTTGCTAAACAGAACTAACATTCCATGAAAATTTGAAAACCAACCACTAAAAGCAAAGCAGTTTGACTGTTTAGCTGACTCTTCTATATATTAATTAGTGTTTTGATATATAAATATATAATATATACTATTATAACACTATATTAATATATATATTTTTTTTGTCTCAATGTTGTGCCCCCATATTCATATATATATTTTTTGTCTCATGTTGTGCCCATATCACTTTTATTATGGACTGTACGGAAAGAGTTGCAAAATTCGCCTTGTTTTCTTTAATTTAAATTTCATTTATTATTATTATTATTAATTTTTGTTGATATATACATGTTGTGATCATTATTATAGACTAATAAGTAGAGTTTCATGTCAAGACAACATTCTTCTTTAACGTTAATGATCCGTCGTTTTCATACCAATTATCACAACAAAGTTATTTACAAAAATTCTTTAAGGAGACCTAAAAGAGAAGGGGAAGAAATACCACGTTGGTCCATACTTCTAAAGGTACTCCTCGATTGTTGGGTCACCTTCTCATTATTGCCCATGTAAGGTCATAATTTAACAAAGAAATTTGATTATCTCTATTTTTTTTTTCCTTTTCTTTTTCACACGGGTTTTTCCACCCGAGTCAAGAGTAATATTTAAATCAAATTCTCTCACCCGCGTGCAAAAGAACATATTCTACATAAATATGTTAGAGGTTTTTAATGATTGTGTTAAGCAGACATAGCAAATACTATAAGAGATTCAAGTATTTTAACAAAATTTCATCTAATGAAAATAAAGGATGGAACAATTATTTTTATATTTCAGAAAGAAAATTATTTAGTTTTAATTTCATTAGAAAATTTTTAAATCGATTTGGTTTAGTATGAATTCGGTTATTCCAAATCAAATTAACTATTTTGTATTAAAAATAAATTTGATTAGTTATATATGGTAACTAAATCAAAAGTAAAAAGACCAAATGATTTTATTTATGTATCCAAACTGATTGGTAATTGAGTTCTAAAAGAATTATTTGAATATAATATAAATGAGTCTGTTTGATTCGATTCTTGATTAAAAACCGAGAATTGTTCTCTCTTTAGTTGTTAGTTGATGAAAATTAATTAGTTGTTTGATAAACATTTGATAGGAGTTGTTTTGAAATCTAATACTCCATTTGTCCCATTTTATTTACATGATTTGACAAAATAGCATATTAACATTTAACCAACAAAATTTATTTTCCCAATTTTTTACCCTTAACTCATTAAGATATTAATAAATTTCTTCATTTAATGAACAATCATAAAGGTTATTATGGAAAAATAATTATTTAAATGTGTAAATTTAGAAATCTTGCAAACATTTTGGGACATCCTAAATGGAATAACAAGCAAATAAAATAGGAAGAATGGAGTAATTATTTTCAAAAAAATTATAATGAATTACATACATATTTCATTCTTTAAGGTAAAATATATATTTTTTGAGAATAAGGTAAATATATTTTTATTTTAATGTTATAAAAAATATTATATTATTTTTTAATAGTAGTTAATAGTTTATCTATTAATTCAAAATAATGATAAATAAAATGATCATATAAAAATACTAATTTTAAAAAATTAATCGTTAATCTTTTAGAATATTAATTACCTCCTTTCTCCAAAGCAGGAAAGCCAGGACGAAACACATACGCTTAGTTCCTTTTCCTCGTCATCCGTCTCCGAAACCGATGACATCCCTCCAATCAAAGGCGTTGGAATATCAAAAAGTAATGATAAAATAAATGAAGATGAATCGCAATATAAAAATACTAATTTTAAAGAAAAATTAATCGTGTAATCTTTTAGAATATTAATTACCTTCCTGTTCTCCAAAGCAGGAAAGCCCGGAACGAAAACACATACCTTAGTTTTCTTTTCCTCGTTCCACGTCTCGCCCGAAACCGATGAACAATCAGCCTCCATAAAATCAAAGGCGTTGGCGATTTCTTCAAGAGAATTCTGTATTGGTAAAATCGTTTTAATTACCTCCTTTCTCCAAAGCAGGAAAGCCAGGACGAAACACATACGCTTAGTTCCTTTTCCTCGTCATCCGTCTCCGAAACCGATGACATCCCTCCAATCAAAGGCGTTGGCGATTTCTTCAGAGAATTCTGTATCTGGTATCTTGCTGGCCCTGCCATCTTTACCAAGGTTGGCCAATTCTCTCTTGGCGCCATTACTCAAGCATTTTCCGGTCAAATAGGCCCTCTCGCCCTCGCTTCCGTCTTAGCTGAAATCTCCATTATTACCGCCTTTTCCTGTGCTGTAGTGGTATATATATATATATATATACACATCTCATATCTACACCTTTCTTTTTTTGAAGAAACAATATCTACATTTGGTTAAACAGATTTTGATGATTTATGTATATGTTAACGATTAATTAACGGTATGGGATGGGAAGTGCACTGGAAATATTATGTGGGCAAGCATTTGGAGCAGGACAGCTAGTTATGCTTGGAATATATTTACAGAGATCATGGCTCATTCTTGGTAAAGCAGCTTCATTACTGTGCTTGTTTAATGTATTTGCAGCTCCATTTTTGAGACTGATTGGGCAAACTGAAAGTATATTGATATGAATTCAGTTTTTATCCTGCGGGTCTAATTTATTTTCACTAGGTTACAGCTATCTCAGCCAGCTAGCAGTGACGGTTACTTTTAACGCTCTTAGTTTTAGCTTATCAGATAGACTAATATAAATATAACAAGGTGAGTATCTTCTTCAATGTAACAGAGACTTCAATTAGAGAAACTCTCTTTGTATTTTCAATTCTCTCTCAAGTAAATTGATTTCTTCTTCTTGACTGCGATTACCATGAATTAGCTCATCACAAACAGCTGCAATATCAAAAACAGCAGGAATTTTCTCTCTTTGGATGATACCTCAGTTATTCGCTTTCGCAATGAACTTTCCTGTCGCAAGATATTTACAGGCTCAAAGCAAAATCATGGACATGGCGGAAATCACCGCCACAGCCTTGGTTTTGCACATAATTTTTAGTTGGTTGTTGATGCTGAAGTTAGGGTGGGGATTGGTGGGCGCTGCGGTGGTGCTAACTGCTAAATGCATCGTGGTGGTTTATTGTTTTGTCGCAGTTTTTGTATATAACTAGTGGAAATTGTGGCAGAGCTTGGAATGGATTTTCATGCAAAGCTTTCCAAAACTTGTGGGGTTTTGTTAAGCTGTCTGTAGGATCAGCTTTATGCTAATTAAAAACACGGTAGCTTTATGCTAATTAAAAACATAATTTCCATTTTTTTATAATTCGCTTTTCGATTTTTTAATTTTCGATCTCTAGAAAATAAAAAATAGAAATTAGAAAAAGAGTTTTCCCACAAATGAACTAAATTGCTAGAAAGAACCTAAAAATAAAATTTTTATTATTTCCATCCAAACATATGATGTTTTAAATGTTATTTTTCAGACACATACTGTATTAGAAATGCTTATTTTCATAAAAGTAATATTTATCAGTACATGAAAAGAAAAATGTATATGCATAGATTTGATTTTGATGAATTGATGCAGTGTGAGGGTATGAAATGAACTTGGCGCTGGGCATCCAAGAACAGCAAAATTTCCACTATTAGTGGCTACTGTATCATCGTTCATTATTGGTTTACTCTTCTCTATCATTCTCATAGTTACAAGAAACTCAAGTCCAAGAAACTAGTTAAGGAGCTTACACCAATGTTGTCTTTTTGCATCATTTTAACAATGTCCAACCAGTTCTCTTTGGTAAGTTGTTTAGTTAGAAATGTAAAATTATAAACTTGGTATGGGTGTTTGTAGAGTAAGTCCCACCTTCTCCTCTCTACCACACCTAATTTCTGATAATTAAGCATATGATTAATACTAATTGGGTCAAAGAAAACATTTAAAAAGAAAAAGAAAATCCATATGGTGCAGTTCATTTATTTGGTATCTAATAATTTTGTCGCTTTGTCTTTTAAAAGGAGATTTGGTATGAAATGATGTTAGGGACTGTTATACAATCATGTGCTCTTTTTTTTTTTTTTTTTTTTTTTTTTTTTACTAATGTGGGGTCAAAGAAAAACATTTAAAAAAGAAAAAATGAAAATCCAATATGGTGCAGTTTCCATTTATTTGGTATCCTAATCACACACCGCGCGCCAGCCGTTTTGTCTTTTAAAAGGAGAATTTTGGTATGAAATGATGTTAGGGGAACTGGTTATACACAATCATAGGCTTCTGTGTTTTTTTTTTTTTTTTTTTGTTTTTTTTTGTAGTTGGTTGGAGATTAGTTATAGAATTTCCTTTTGTAGTAAAATAGTTGTTTGCTTAACAAGAAACTGATATCCATAAAAAGGCGATTAAGCTTAATGGGGGCTTTTTTTTTTTTTTTTTTTTTTTTTTTTGTAGTTGTTTGGATTGTATAGATTCTTGTAGTAAATAGTTGTTTGCTTTACAAGAAACTGATATCCATAAAAAGGCGATAACTTATGGGGGAAAGCATCAACAAAATAAAATTCAAGCTCCGGTAATTGGTATCTTCGTAACAGTAAGGATCATTTCTTTCGCATTTTGAGGATGGAGCTATGGATTTTCATTTACATAAAGACTTTTCTATTATCTCTCATCATCACCGAGTAATATTATAAAGAAATCTATGTTGAGAGGTAAATAAAGGATTGATACGGTATCTCACGAAATAAATATAGTGACTCAGAATGACAATTTCTAATCGAGTAACTCATCTGATGAATTATGAGAATGAAATCATAATATACGTTAAGTTTTTCTTAAATTGAATTCTATAACTTCTCTTAAAAAATTTGAATTCTATGGATTTAAAGGCCAATTTTCGCCCTTATTTAAATCCAAAATATTTCTTTTAGCTTAATTTCATAAGTGACCTTTTAATTTTAATTTTGTCTTCATTATATCAAATTTTTACTAAAAGTTACTCTCTTCGATAACAGATGCATCTCGTTTAAGTTTTTTTTTTCAAAAGTGATTAAGTATTTTATTTCACACTATTAATTTGATTAGAATAGTTTTAGAAAATTTGTATAAATAATTATTTTGTTTAAAATAAAAAAGAATAAAATTAGCAAATACTCATTTATTATTCTTTAATATTTTCAAACCCACAAACATTTTTGAAGAAAAAAATTACCTCAAATATTTTTGAATCCTAGTTATATCTGGTGATCGATCATGGATGGACAACCGCTTCTGATTCAAGGCTGCTTGCTTAGAATTGGGAATTAATAAATAATTATTGGCTTTCAGACGTGACAGTGATTTTTCGCAAGTGTACGAAAATCGCCACAAGTAATATAGAATGAGTAGAGTATCGTTTCCACAGAGATTGTATATCAAGTACCAAAATTATGTTAACCTATTATTATTTAAACGGCAATAACAGTCTTTAGGGAATTTAATAGAAAATATATTATTTGTCTTTTTCCAGACGTGAACAGTGATTTTTTCGCAAGTGTAATCGAAAAGGTCGCCACAAGTAATTATAAGAAATGAGTTAAAGAGTATCTGTTCCTACAGATGATTTGTATATCAATTACCGAAAATTATGTTAACCTAATTATTATTTTAAACGGCAATAACGAAGGAAATTATTATTTTTAAGAAATTAAGTTAAACAAATTAAAAAAAAAAAAGAACAAAAGAAATCCAAGCAACAATATAGTTTGACAAAAGAAATTCAAGGAATCATAAAAACTACTAGGGGAATTGTTGTGACTTCAACTTAGATCTAAATCTAATTTTAATTTTTTATTAGTTTAATAAATACAATTTTATCATTGTTTAAGTAGGGGAAACAACCCCTAAAAAAATCACTAGGACAAGCGTCTCCGCGAATGTGTTTTGGTTAGCTATTTAATGCCGGTCTAAATTCCTATCTTTATTTTAATCCGGTCTAATTACCTATCTTCCAATAGCGCAATCAAAGATGAATTAAATCATTAAGTTTTATGGTTTGTTTATGAATTCATAACCTAAGGTCATTAACTTATTAAAACCCCCCATAAGTCAAACCATATAGCTTCCACATCAAGTTATTATTCCTGATAGTGATTAACGAAATAAATCTTGAATACTTAAAGTCTTGAAGAGAGAGAAAACAATAGAACAAAAGATGGAATGTACAATGAATCGTTCCCTTTACTATGGCGAGTCTCTTTATTTATATAGACTTTTCTAGAATATCTTTCTGTTCGTTTAGAAAAGTGAATCTTTATTGAGTAAGAAATCTTTTAGAGATAGAGAACTGTTTAGGCTTTGTATTTCTTCCCAATTAGGACTCTCCCAATGCCTAGATAGGAAATAAGCTGGTTTCCTACAAAAATTCTGTAAAATTCCTCAAGATCAGTTGAAATATGATTTAAGGAAGCTTTACACAAAAATATAAATAAAACTAAATAAAAACTAATTAAAGTAATTAAAAAATACTAAAAATCCTAATAAGTAATTAAAGGAAGCTTTACACAAAAATATAAATAAAACTAAATAAAAACTAATTAAAGTAATTAAAAAATACTAAAAATCCTAATAAAACTATATTAAAAATACTAAAAAAATACCAACTATCAACATGTAAACTCTCCATATATCCTGTCTCCTAACAATACCGGAATGGAAGAAATTTATATTGTGGACCTTATAGATAAGAGTGGTAGCAGGTGGGACATGGAGACTTTAAGTGCACTATTTACTTGGCTGGAGATTTATTTGGTTCAAAGGGTCCCGTTATGATAGCAATCATGCCAAGATGGTTGGATGTGGCAATATGATTTGAAAGGCATGTATACGGTTAGAGATAAAGAAATGGGGAGGAAATACACATAACAAATAGACCAACATTAACAAAATAACCTTACAAAATAATTTTAAAAGCATTTAATATAAATAGATGAAAGGAAAGAAATTAATAATCTAATTACAATAAGCTTTGAAAAGGTGGTGATTTAATTCAATTTGTAAAATAAAAAAAAAAGTTTTATATATATATTGCGTTTAGAGTAAGAATTAAAATTTACAAAAGAAATAAGTTGGTAGAAAAATTAATTAAATGAAGTTATATATAGTGTCTTATATTTACAGGGAAGGAAACAACTCTGCTGATTCGCTTGCTCACTCTGAAGCAAATCTAACTACTGGTTTCCATGTTCTTGATCAGCCTCCTCATGACTTCCTTTGTTTGATTTTTCATAACATCTGTAGGATTTCATATCCTAGAGGCATTGTACTGTGATTTGGTTAATAAACTCTCCTTCATTCAAAAAAAAAAAAAAAAAAAAAAAAAACCTTTTGTTTTGAAGTTGTTTCCATGTTAACATCTGTAGGAATTTGTCCATATCCTAGAGGCATTGTACTAGAGTGATTGTTTTGGTTTAATAAAATAGCCTCTCCCTCAGGTGGCTCCAAGGGAGAGAAAAATAACATAAAAAAAAAAAAAAAGAAAGAGGGAGAGTAATTTAGGAGTGTATCAATGTTAAGGTCAAGAATCATATAAATGAATTAAGTTTATGACTTATTATAACTCGAAAGATTGGTTCTATTAACCATTTCCAACGCTCAGACCTATATCTTTTGTTTTTTCTTTTGTCTGCTTGGGCTTGGCGTTATAGTGAGAAGAATTTATACTCACTCAATTTACTAAAATTTTGTTTGTTTTTTTTTAAAAAAAATATGGTTTGATTCTAATACCAATCAGATACTCGTAGTTAATGGATTAGTGGTTTTCTTCCGAATCGCCGGAGTTTTTTGTTTTGAAAACCATAGGCTTTTTGATTCAACTTTTCTTTATAATTGCCTTCACTTTTGAAAAATATTTTTGGTGAAAAATATACACGTTGATTTTAATTCTGATTGTATATATTTAGGCAAAATTAGTCATTACTGTTATTGTATTTTTAAGTTAATTTTTTCAGATTCTATTTGCATAGGGTATGGCTTAGCAATAATAATAATAAATTAGTATATATATAGGAAATTTAATAGGTTTAAAATGAGAAAATAAAAAATATTGGGCGGAATAAATTTATGGTATGTATTGGGATCTGTATTTATTTTTTTATTTTTCTATTTTTTTATTTTGTGATTTTGTTTATATTGATTGTGTGGGGCGTTTAGTTGTGTGGGGACAGGTGGCAGATTATTTAAATGGTAAAACAAAAGAAATATTTAGCTAATGATACATAACACCGAAAGAAATGGGGTTATGTAGAAAATTGAGTAAAAGTAAGATAAGATAAACGCGTACATGTGATTGTAGATTTAGAACTAAAATAAGATTTTTTAATGGTCATGTTAAGAAATTAAGAACAAAGGATAAGTATTACAACCATGATAGAACAGTACGTGCTGGTAGATGGAATGAGTTCGCTGGATAGAGGAAGATGATTGGAATAGTTGTAGGGATACCAGACGGGGCTGAAGACTAATGTGGATTGAACCCCCGCGCTCCCGCGCAGTTTTTTGTGGTTGTCCTTTTAAAAGTTTTTTTTTTTTTTTTTTTTGCACAGCTTTTTATAATCAAACCATCGATAGTTGAATTTTAGATAAATGAACAAAAAAAAAAAAAAAAAAAAAAAAAAAAGAGGAAGTAAATAGATATCAAGAGGACAAGATCATTAAATGATAAGTTAAAACATACCATCACAAGAATTACTCCAATTTAAATTTTGTTATTTTTTTTTTAAAATATGGTTTTCTAAATACCATCATACTCGTAAGTATGATTATGGTTCTCGAATCGCCAGTTTTGTTTTGAAAACCATAGGTTTTGATTCTACTTTTCTTATAATTGCCTCCACTTTTGAAAATATTTTTAAAATATAAGTTCCGATTTTATTCTGAATTGAAATTGAAATTAGATCATTTTTATTAAGTTTTTTAATTTTTTTCAGATTTATAGCTTGAATAATAATAATAAATAGTACTATTAAAAAATTATATTAAAATGAAAAATGAAAAATGAATTGAAACTTTCTTTAAAAGTTTTTTTTTTTTTTTTCACAGCTTTAAATCAAACCATCGATTTGATTTTAGAAAATGAACAGCTGAAACCCATCGATACAGGTTATGGTGACAGTTTGGTATCGATTTTTACCTATTTGAAAGTAGTTTTTATTACTATACATTTAATTACGGCACTCATGCAAATATTTATAGTTTTTTTAATGACAAGTATTTTTCAGAGCTTTTATATATTTGGTCCTCTCTTTATGAAAAACACATAGCTCTCCCTTTTCCCCTGCCATGGATGATTCAAGGCAGCCACTTCTTTCTCCAAGGCAGGAGGACCAAGACCAAATACAGTCACTCAATTCCTTTACCTCGTCATTCGTCCCTGACGCCGATGACATCCCTCCAATCAAAGATGTCGGCGATTTCTTCAGAGAATTCTATAGAGAGTCCAAAAAACTCTGGTACCTTGCTGGCCCTGCCATCTTCACCTCCATTTGCCAATACTCTCTTGGCGCCATCACTCAGGTCTTTTCCGGTCAAGTCGGCACTCTCGAACTCGCTGCCGTCTCAGTTGAAAATTCCGTCATTGCCGGCTTTTCCTTCGGCGTAATGGTATATATACACACCATATCTACATTTTTGTTAGAACAGATTTTTAGAATGTGTTAAATTAAAATTTTAAAACAATTAATTGAATTGAGGACTTAAATCTCTGTTTTACAGTTTATGAGATTGTCGATTTGAGTTTCAGTCAGAGTCTAATTAATTAACTAACAGAAAAATTATATAAAGCTAATGAGTTTATATATTTGTTAATGATTGATTAACAGCTTGGGATGGGAAGTGCTCTGGAAACTTTATGTGGACAAGCATTTGGAGCAGGGCAGCTAGATATGCTTGGAATATATTTACAGAGATCATGGGTCATTCTTGGCACAACAGCTTCATTACTTTGCTTGTTATATGTATTTGCAGCTCAACTCCTAAAACTGATTGGACAAACAGCTGCAATATCCAAAACAGCAGGAATTTTCTCTATCTGGATGATACCTCAATTATTCGCTTACGCGATGAATTTTCCTATGGCAAAATTTTTACAGGCTCAAAGCAAAATCATGGTCATGGCGGTGATCGCCGCCGCAGCCTTGGTTTTGCATACTGTTTTTAGTTGGCTGTTGATGCTGAAGTTAGGGTGGGGATTGGTCGGCGCTGCGGTGGTGCTAGATGCGTCGTGGTGGTTTATTGATTTGTCGCAGTTTTTGTATATAATTAGCGGAACATGCGGTAGAGCCTGGAATGGATTTTCATGGAAGGCTTTCCAAAACGTCTGGGGTTTTGTTAGGTTGTCCTTAGCCTCTGCTGTTATGCTCTGGTGAGTTCTCTTTTTCCCCTTTTTTTTTTTTTTGGTTATCTTTGTTTTTTTTTTTTTTTTTTTTTTTCGCTTTTTCCTCCTTTTTTTTTTTGGTTATCTTGGGGGGGGGGGGGGGGGGGGTTTTTTTTTTTTTTTTTTTTTGAAGAAAAAAGAACTTTTGGAGAAATTGATTTTTTTTTTTTTTTTTTTTTTAAAAAAAAGAACTTTTGGAGAATTTGTTTTTTTGTTGGTGTTTACATGTTTAAGAAGTAAACTCCAACACGCAGTAGACTGGTTGTTGAGTCCGCGAAGGTTAACTAAGAGGTAAAAATAAAATTTGTAAACGAATTGGAAATTTATTAACAAACTTTTATCTTTGCACGATACTTGTGATTTGTTGAAATTAATCATTTAAGCTCTTTCTACTCAAAATGATTAAGAATATTTTAGAACACAAAATGATTTACAATTATTATAAGATGCCGGGAGTGTTATTTAATTTAAAAATTAATTTTTGCTTTCAGTACAATAAATTTAGGATAAAATGTATTTTGATTGAAAAGATTTATTAGCGAAACGAAAGCAAATGATAAGGACCTATTAATATATTATTAGAAAGCGGTGTTTAAATAATTAATATATAAAGAGTATCACAAGATTCAAATGACTTGTTAAATTTGTATTGCAAACCAAAAATATATATATATATATATAAGTTGATCAACTGAAATAAGTTTACTCAAAAGATATGCTACAGTTATAATAGTATTATAATTAAATTATATATTAAAATCTAAAATCTGACATGTGTGCAGCTTAGAAGTTTGGTACTTCATGGCATTGATACTGTTTGCTGGATACTTAAAGAACGCTGAAGTTTCAGTGGATGCCTTGTCCATATGGTGAGTCTTTATTTTCATTATTTCCTTTACGTACACAATGCATTAAATTAACTGTAATTGATGATTTGGTTGTTGTGATCGCTCCAATATGTGGGATCCATATACATTTGAAAAAAAAAAAAACACGTTTTGTTTTTATTTGTTGGGCAAAGAAAAAAAAGAAAAAAAAAAGGAGAAAAACACGTGTTGTTTAAAAGTTCAAAGAAAGCTCACCTATAAAAATAAAAATGGATGCGTTAATTGTGTAGACGCATTGATTAACGCATCCACTTCTCCTATAAATAGGAGAAATTTTCTTCACGTATAAAAACATATAGAATAAGAATACATAATTGAGTGTAGAAAATTTTAGGAAAATGTTCCTAAAATTGGGAAAGAGAGAAAATAGTGAGGATTGTAATTTTGGGGTGTACGAATAAGAAATACATAATTGAGTGTAGAAATTTTAGGAAAAATGTCTAAGATTGGGAAAAGGGAGAGAAAAATGAGTGTAGAAAATTTTAGGAAAATGTTCCTAAAATTGGGAAAGAGAGAAAATAGTGAGGATTGTAATTTTGGGGTGTTTTTTTTTAAACACTTAGAGTGCCACCATTTTTATAATTTCTTTTGTACCTACTATTTTTAGTAGAAGAATTATTCAAAGTTTTTGTCCCGTGGATATAGCCTATAACAGTTGAAGAATGAACCACGTAAATCTTAATGTTCTTATTTTTCATCTGACATTTACGGTAATTATTTAAATTTTACCGTAGTTATTATTTCTGGTGGATTCGATCGTCAATATCCACTACTAAATTATTGGAGGTATATGTGGTAATAGTAATTTTATTTTACTTTTATCACTTATATTTTTCCGCGGGCCCACTCGGATCAGTTATAATCCCAACGTTGGTGTATTGGAGGTTAATCTACCTGCTTCGTATCTTTAAATAAACCCTAGCTGCTCTGATCTAAGATAAGAAGATGTATAAATCGCATGCAACGCCAATTCTATTACATCATCGGAGTAGTTGGGAAATGGCTAACATTAATTTTCTTTCCTGTTGTTTTTGTATGGGCTCTCAAAAAGACTCTTAAGTATGAACAGCAAAAAGACTTTTCTTTTAGTAATTTTTTAGTCATCCGGTATGGATTATTAGTATTTTTAACTTGATGAAAAAGGTCGACTATAATTAAATTGTTCGAAATCCAATCCTTTTGTATTGAAAAATTGCAATCTCCTGCTTTTAAAATATATATGTCCAATTAATGCAATGAACTATTGACTTGCAGTATGAACATTTTGGGCTGGACGATCATGGTGGCACTGGGAGTGAATGCTGCTATAAGGTTTGTCTCTGCACATATATATATATATATATACATATTTCATTTTCAATTGTGCATATGAGGTTCTTTACATATATGTGATGTTCATCAATCAATGCAGTGTAAGAGTATCAAATGAACTAGGTGCAGGTCATCCAAGAACAGCAAAATTTTCACTGGTAGTAGCTGTTATATCATCGGTCATTATTGGTCTCATCCTCTCTGCCATTCTCATAGTTACAAGAAACATTTATCCTTCTTTGTTTTCTAAAGATTCTCAAGTCCAAGAACTAGTCAGAGAGCTAACACCGTTGTTAGCTCTTTGCATTATCATTAACAATGTTCAGCCTGTTCTTTCCGGTAAGTTATTTAATAAGAAATGTAAATTACAACTTTTTTTTTTTTTTCTGTTGTTCTTAAGATTAGGCAATGAATTATATAGAGTTGTTTGACAAAAATTTACTTGTAAGATGAATTTTATTTATCTTAATCATAAAAACTTGAAAATAGCTAAACAAATTCATAGTGAGATAGATAAATAAAATTATATAAAAACTTGTAAGATGATTATTTGCTAATATTATTTAAATTTATTTCATCTAAGGTGTGGCAATTGGAGCTGGATGGCAAGCTATTGTGGCATATGTAAATATAGGTTGTTACTACGTATTTGGGATTCCTTTAGGTCTTATACTGGGTTACAAGCTTGAATTGGGTGTCAGAGTAAGTTTTTTTTTTTTTTTTTTTAATTTTTCCTAATTTCTTATTTATCTTAATTATATTCAATTAAGGCTTTCAATAGTTCACTAATAATTAATGAAAATTGCTAATTATTTTGTTGATTGATTTTGGGATCTGATTATTTTGTTGTTTTGGCATTTTAAAGGGGATTTGGTATGGAATGATGTCAGGGACAGCGGTACAAACTTGTGCTCTTTTTTGGATGGTTTATAGAACTAACTGGAACAAAGAGGTAACTAAATTTCACATTGATTAGAATATTTCTTTTGTTTTTAGTACTTAAATTTTCTATTTCAACAATCAATTAAACCATTTATATATTTATTTAATGAAATGCAGGCTTCAATTGCTGAAGATAGGATAAGGAAATGGGGAGGACATGCAGATAACAAAGAGAACAACATTGACAAAATAACCTTGTCCTGAGAGTGAAATGAAGAAATAAATGAAATGAAGAAAATTAATAATTAATTACCATAAATAATTATTTATATGTTTTCCACTAAGGGTGTTCAAAACTGCCCATAAACTTTGGTTTTGGAAGAGTGGTGATTTGGTTTGGTTTGTAAATTTTTTTTTAAAAAACAATTTATAAGAGGAAAAATTTATAACAATTAGTTAAAAGGAAGGGTAAACTGATATCAATGTGTAAGATGCTTAAAGCAGAAACAAAAAACACCATTGATATGAGTTCTTTGAATCTAATCTTTATATATAAAAAGTTGAAATTCATGTTTTAAGATTATTCGTGAAACATATATTAATACACATTATATACAATTATATATAGGTTAAGCTCGAGTTTTTTATAATTTTTTTCATAATAAATAAAGAAAGAACGTGGATAGCATAATATACTGTTAGCCTTTCAATTATAAATTGATAAATTATTTAATTTTGGCTCGGTTTATTTCCGTAAACTAACTTGCAGGAAAATATTTTTCACAATTTTCCGTTATTTGGAGAGCTCAAGAAAATATCTATCGGAAAATATTTTTCTGGTCAAAGAAAAATACTTTTTTAAGAAAAATAACTTCTTATCTTCGAGAGAGTAAAACATTTTCTAGACATTGACAAACTTTATAAATCATATTTTTTTAACTTATTAATCATCATAGTCGTTACCACCAGTCACCATTTACCGCCGACTACCACCACCAGCTACCATCACCGACCACCGACTACTTTCATAATTTATATATTTTTTTGCATTCTTTTCATATTTAACAATAAAATTTCTAAATTATAAAATTTCTATTATTATTAATATTTTTTATGGTCTTATGAAATAAAGACTTTAATATTTTTAACTAATTTTTACTTTCATATTTATATTTTTTTGTGCATCTTTCAAATATTTAACATAAAAATTTCTAGAATTAAGTAAAATTTTCTAATTAATTATTGAATATTTTTTATGGTCCTATGAAATAAAGACTTTTAAATATTTTTAAACGGTTAATTTTCAATATTAACAACCTAAACGAGGAACGGAAAATAAGTTATTTGGCGAAAATAATTTTTCAAGGAAAATGAAATAAGTTATTTGGAAAATATTTTTCAAGGAAAATGTTTTCCATGAAAATATTTTTCAGCAAGTTATTTTCCTATTAATTATTTTACGGAAACAAACGGAGCCTTAATGATCTAGTGAATAATTAGAACATGAAAATAAATGTAACATTGAAGAAAAATAAATATAATTATTAATTTTATTGTCAAAAAAATGGATGCAATTCAAACTTTTTGCATATTCTTTATTCATAGAATATATAAAAACCATCCAAATTGCTTTAATCAAATCAAAATTTAGTTAAACTTCACTAGACATGGGCCTGGGCCTGGATATCTTCTTGCAAATATCAAAATTAAAATTTAGTTGGTTTGAATATTTTAATTTCATAATTTGGTTCAACTTAAAATTTTTATAAATTGCTATTATAAATTTAATTTATAGAACATCCCAACTCCACATAGAACAAGTTTAGATAAGATATGCAATCGCAAGCGTGAAGCCATACATTTCTACTGGCTGCTTTTAGATGCTGAACTGATAGCTGCTTTGCCGTATAGAACGAAACGATTGAGAGCTTTCAGTTTCAGGGATATTCTGTTGTCATTTTAAAATGGTAGTTCGATGACTGAATAATTAAAAATATATATATTAATTGATTTGATTTTTTTTTTTTTTTTGGTTTGGGTGGAGAAAAAAGAAGCGGTGGATACAGAACTTAAAATATGCGTACATGGCTCGTAAATAGCAAAAAGATAATTCATGACAAGACCAATTAATCTGATTGTTGATTATAGTCTGTGTCAAAATGGTCATTGTTTTTTTTTTAAGATTGAATTAATGTAAGAGTTTAAAATTATGTTAATGAATGCAGACAATAAGAATGATTAAAATTTCAAAGTACATATATATATAAAAATTAAAGTATAGCTTATAAGGTACTATATGCTAGGTGTAGTACTAATATGAATCTCGTCATTGGATTTAGCCAAATTCCAAAGCAATTGATGTATTGTTTTTTTTTTTTTTTGGTGGAAAAAAGAAGCGGTGGATACAGAACTTAAAATATGCTACACCAATAGCAAAAAGATTAATTCATACAAGACAATTAATCTGATTGTTGATTATACTTCAAATGGTCATTGTTTTTTTTTTTAAGATTGAATTATGTAAGAGTTAAAATATTAATGAGATGCAACAATAATGATGACTTAAAATTCAAAGTACATATATATATAAAATTAAAGTATACTTTTAAGTACATATGCAAGTAACTAATAAATCTCCAATTATGGATTTAGCAATTCAACAATTGATTATTTGATTTGATTCTTTCTTTTTTACTCATGTTTTTATTAATGAATTTTATTTTATTTAAATTGAAAATTACAGTAATTTTTTGCTTATTTGTCCACGCGGATATAAACTGGCAAACGACTAAATAAACAACAAACTAATAAAAAATATAAGTTTGAAGTTCTGATTAGCTAGTAAGTAATTAATAAATCTCCAATTACGGGTTTAGTAGTTGAAAAATCAAATTATTTGATTTGATTCTTTCTTTTTTACTCAAGTTTCTATTAATGAATTTTCTTTCATTTAAATTGAAAATTACAGCAAATTTTTGCATATTTGTCCATATGAATGTGAGCCAGCAAACGATGAAAATTAATAATAAAAAATAAATCCGAGTTAATAATTAACAAAATTGAAAATATAGACTAAATTTGTCAAAAATAGGCTATTTTAGTGATTTATCCTAAATTATATGTGGCGCCTACGTTTAAGGGTAAGTTTGCCTTCTTCCTACACAATAATTTGATGCGAAAAAACAAATTATTCTTCTAATTAAGACAACCATCCATCACAAAACTCTCTCTTTTATGGAGGAACAAAAGCAGCCTCTTCTCACCCCAGCAAATGAGTCCCAAAACACTTCCATCTCCACTCCAGACTCTGAAGACATTCCTCCAATCAATGGTTTCCATGATTTCTCCAAACAATTCTATGCAGAGTTCAAGAAACTATGGTACCTGGCAGGCCCTGCCACCTTCACTTCTCTGTGTCAATATTCTCTTGGTGCTATCACTCAAGTCTTCGCCGGACATGTCAGTACAATTGCCTTGGCTGCTGTCTCTGTCGAAAACTCGGCCATCGCCGGATTCTCTTTTGGCCTCATGGTGCTGCAACTACTTCAATACTATATATTTGATGGTTTCAATACTTTATTAAAGCTCATTAGTTTTTGTTTTTCTGAATTGAATCAGCTTGGAATGGGGAGTGCATTGGAAACCCTTTGCGGGCAAGCATTCGGTGCAGGACAGGTTGATATGCTAGGAATTTATATGCAGAGATCGTGGGTGATTCTAAACACTACAGCTTTAATACTTTGTTTCCTATACATATTTGCTGGGCCTTTTTTGAATCTGATTGGTCAAACAGAAGCAATATCAAAAGCAGCAGGAACATTTACACTATGGATGATACCTCAGTTATTTGCTTATGCAATGAATTTTCCACTTGCAAAATTCTTACAAGCTCAAAGCAAGATGATGGCTATGGCTTTAATATCAGTTGCAGCCTTGGCTTTGCATACCCTTTTTAGCTGGTTATTGATGTTGAAGATGGGATGGGGTCTAGTGGGTGCAGCTTTGGTGCTAAACTCATCTTGGTGGCTTATAGTGGTGGCCCAGTTTTTGTATATTTTGGGTGGTACTTGTGGAAGAACTTGGACTGGATTTTCATGGAAAGCTTTCCAGAACTTGTGGGCATTTGTCAGATTGTCACTAGCATCTGCTGTAATGCTCTGGTGAGAGAGTTTAGTGATTGCATTAATTCATTTTGGCCAATATTATTTATTCTGAACATTTTTTTGTCAGTTTATGGTCAGAACAAAACATTTGATTTTGGTCAGTTTTTCCTTGCAGCTTGGAGGTTTGGTACTATATGGCATTAATAGTTTTTGCAGGATATCTAAAGAATGCAGAAGTCTCTGTAGGTGCCTTTTCTGTAAGGTTAGCTTCTTTTTCTTCTGTTTGATTTATTTTATGTTGGAGTTATAATTAATTTTTTGTTTCATTTTTTCAACAATATATCAGATAGATAAAAATTGTTTTTTGCCTCTATGGGACTAAAAATTTAGTACTGAACTAAGTAGCATGGAAAAGGAAATAAGAAAAATGGAAAAGCAAACCATTTTCAGAAACATATGGAAAAGAATTGTGGGGAAATGCTTAAATATAAAAAATTACCGGGGTATATGAAAAAGATTATAAAGAGTATATCTGTAATTATAAAGGAGAAACAATTAAAAATAAATTAATCATTATATTTCTTTTTTTTTTCAAATTAAAGAAACGAGTTTTCAAGAGTGAAAATTCATTCTCAGAATACCCAATTACACATTTCGAGAATTTGGAATGCAGAAATGTCTACCATATGCATCTCCAATATTACAGTTATAAAAATATAAAACTAATGGTAATTTCAAATATAAAACTCTAAATATGTAATTTGCAAGAAAATATATATAAAAAAAAAAATTCTTTTATTTTCTTGGGATCATAATTTCCATCTGCAAAAATGTAAGATTGCTGTATTATGTCACTGGGTTTTAATCAGGCGTCATGACGACACCGTTGTGATAAGATTTGTTGGATTAGATAAGAAAGATAACCTTATAGTTCTTTCTTCCACACTATTTTATATTATGCAAGAAAAGAACAGACACCACCGAACCGATAATGCAGAAAAAGAAGAAAATTACAAAGCTTAATTTCGTGTCCAATTTGAATATTGGTTCCTCTCTTCTCTTCTGCTAATCCATCAGCTGAAGAAGATGGAGCCTCATTCATCATTTCGTAAGAAAAACGACAACAACGATTTTGGATTGATCAGTTGATTTAACACTACATTTCAAATTATTTATTGCCACCACCAACGATTTGGTCCCCCTAGTACACGTTAATTTCTCTTCTTAGCAAAGGTATTTCTTACATAGGACTTGATATTTGGATTTTTGAGGAAATTTTCCTGAGTTGGAAAGAAAAAGAAAATGAGGAAACATAGAGTTGCATTATTGCAACCAAACCTAGAGCCTTACCGCAAGAAAGCTAAATCTTGCTTGAAGTATGTGCTTCACGGACTATACAAGCCATGGCATGGGGTTTGGAATTGGACCCTACTCATCTGTCTCTGTCTATGGTCCTTGAAGTTTCTGCCACATGCAAGAAAAATCCATACACATAATATTACAATATTGTTATTTCATTGTGTTGTGTGTTTGATGTAGAGTAATAAAAATTTCTTATTCAATTTTGCTCTGGCACTAGTTTATGGACTATACTTACCTACATTATGTTTAGCCCGGATCATGAAAATAATAATTTTTAAAAATTGCTTTTATATATATATATATATATATATGGTTAGAAACACCTTTGTCGTAATAAAAAAATAATTTTTTATTAATTTGATCCATAAATGAATTCATAGGCCAAATTTAGGTAAACCAATCTCAGTTTTAATGGTCATTGTGTTATAAAATGTTTGATTTTGCAGCATTAACATTCTGGGGTGGACAGTCATGTTATCTCTTGGAATCAATGCAGCCATAAGGTAATATAATATATTTTTTTTAATTTATTAGATACTGGGCATAAGATATGATCCTACGAGTTTTTTTTTTTTTTTTTCCAAAAAATTGATGAAAAAAAAAATTCTGGAGTGAATATATAATGTATTGCAGCGTTCGAGTGTCGAATGAACTAGGGGCAGGGCATCCAAGAAGCGCAAGGTTTTCTTTAGTTGTAGCTGTAGTGTCTTCTTTCCTTATTGGGGTCTTCGTCTCGATGGCTTTAATCATATCGAGAAACAAGTACCCAGAATTATTTTCCAGTGACAATGAAGTTAAGAGCCTTGTTAAAGATCTGACGCCTTTGCTTTCTCTCTCTATAATCATTAATAACGTTCAACCTGTTCTCTCTGGTAAAGAGCAGCATTTTCCCTCCCCACGTTTGCATTTCTTCAGAAAAAATGGCAACTTTACTGCATTATATTTTGACAGGGGTAGCCATTGGAGCTGGATGGCAAGCTGCTGTTGCTTATGTAAACGTTGGGTGTTACTATCTATTTGGAATCCCACTGGGCCTTGTTCTGGTTTATAAAGGAGATATGGGTATCCGGGTAAGTCTACGTCTCCATTCTCTTAAGTTATAACCAGCTTTATGAATTCTGATGGGAAGTGTCAAATACAGGTTCTGATCCCATTACAAATGATTTAACTTGCAGGGAATTTGGTATGGTATGCTGTCAGGAACAGTCCTACAGACTTGTATTCTTTTCTGGATGGTTGGTAAAACAAACTGGAATAAAGAGGTAAAACTTCATATTTTGTTCAAAACTAACACTCTTCGAATGAACAAAGCATTTTTATCCAAATTGAGGCCCAACATAAATTTCCTGCAGGCCGCAATCGCTGAAGAGAGGATAAGGAAATGGGGAGGGCAGACAAACTTCAAAGAGATCGATGCTGAACATTAGCAGAAGATGAGACCAGGAAGTGCAAATGACCGAGTCACATTTCCCCATTGTATGACTAGTGATGATTTTTCATTTGAGCATAGAAATAATAAATGATTTTTCCCAAAAGATTATAGGTTACTATCCATGTATAATTTCACCTTTTCAATCAATGTCATCTTCTTCAGATCAAAACAATCCAATCCATACAAAATAAAAATCCCTGCAAGGCTGACCGCAAGCCCCAAGTAAGTAGATCTAGCATCAATTCTGAAAGTGATTGGCAAATAAAACATCTAAGCTAAAATCAGCTAGAATCGCGACAGCAAATGAAATGATTTACGGTAACCCAAAGAGCAGCAATATGCAAACCAACAAATTATGCAAAGCACTTGCTACAAATTCTACCTTAGTTGCACTTGCATGCTATTTTTGGCCCGTTTTATTAAGTGCTAAGAACAAGTATGCTGTGCTTACAGTCATAGATATCAACAAGATATTATTCATCCCTATCAATTTGAAGCATTCATCAGCACACTTTCATTCAAAAATTTTCATAAGGCATGATTAAAATTAAAGTACTCAAAAATCTGAATGCTTCCAAAGACACCAAAAACTTCAAATGAGATAGCAAAAATAAGAAAAACAAAGGTAAAACTTAGAACACTGACATCAATATCCTAAAGCATGAAGATGGCAGGGACTATGCTTTTTTAACAATCAGCATCGCAACTCAGGTTAATACATCATTTCAAATCATTGTCATGCTAAGCCTTCATAGTACACCAGAATGATAAGGTTCAGTAAGGGGCTTGCCTATAAGGATAGCGTCCTAGCAGGATCCAACATTTTAATGCTGCTAACTATCCGTTCGCTTTAAAGAAAACAAAATGGCAGGCACACTAGGATATCAGCCAACAGTGACAAAGCACAACAGGAACTCCGGCACGGAGATAGCCCCCATTTTTTATACCCTAAGGAACATCAGCAAAGGCAGAGTGCAAGACTCCATTGCAATTATTCATCTCCAACACATTTTCTCTAACACAGAGAGCAAAACAAAATTACCCATTTCTCATGCATGAGATAACCAACATGTGAGCTACAAGCCCAGGTAAACATAAACAACCACCAAGCTAAAAACGATCGAAATGAAAAAGAACCAGAAGATTGCACGCTACAATTAAGCAAAATTACGGGTAAGCAATTAAAGAAAAATGGGGAATGGGTTACCATGCAAGGACACATCTCAAGTTATAATACTCCCATCAAATTATAAAGCTCCCTCTGTTACCTGTTAAATTTATTCGACAGTCTTCTCTAGAATAGAGGTGATTCAATCATTTTCTAAATTCCTGTGCAAAGTCTAAAACGGTCCAATTTAACAGAAATGAGGGAGTAATGAATAGCAAGCAAAATAGGCATGATGGCATCAAGTCAATTACTCAACTAAAACCAGCTCTTTAATCCTAAATAGATCCACAAAACTAGTTGCAAGCATAATCGGCATACAAAGTAAAAATTCCGAATATTAATATCTAAATATCCAGAAATTATAACAAAAATAACTTCTTAAACAATTCCAAAACATCATATCATTATAGCAAAAAAACCAAAAACACAAAATCGCTAACCTAGGCAGTAAGAATAACAGCTCCACCAGCCTCCTTGATCTTCTTTTCGGCAATCTTTGAAACAAGCTTAGCCTTCACCGCGATCGGTTGATTCTCCGGCAAAACACCTTTTCCCAAAACTTTGAAGTACCCAAACTGGGTAACATCGAGCAATGGCACATTATCCTTAGAAGCCTTGTCCTTCGCCTCCTGAGGAATCAAGGACCAGAGCTTGTCTATGTTGACGATAGGACAGTAGAACTTGTTGCGGAGCTTGTGGAAGTAGCGCATACCAACCTTACCAAAATACCCCGGATGGTACTTGTCAAAGAGAATTCTGTGGTGGTGCATGCCTCCGGCGTTACCGCGACCACCCGGATGCTTCCTGTGCTTTCCGATACGGCCGTGGCCAGCGCTCACATGGCCTCTCTTCTTGCGGTTCTTCTTGAAACGGGTTGTCATTTTGAGGAAAGGTGTGAATCTGCTAGGATGCGAGCGGCTGCGTTGGGGATGAGAGGTGTGAGTTTAGGGCTTTGGAGAATTTATTTGGCAGAGGAAATGAGTGGGTACTATTGTTTGACAGTTCTGTCCTCTAGGGTTTTCGAGATTTGGAGATGTTGTAAGGACGAAATGGGATTTTGAACAGATGGGCTTGGGAAACTGGGCCTGAAATTTTGTTAACAACTCCTTGTTTGTCAGATTGGGTTTCGCCGAATTACACCAAAATCTGCTTCAAATTGATCATTGATGCATTAGCATTAAAATTATCCTCGTTGGTTTATACATAAGAAAAAAACACATATATATAAATCAATGAATTTTAATTGTCTAATTTGGTTTATTTTTTTAGTCTTTAGATTGTAAGTTTGTAACTGAGAAGTATTAGATTTCAAATTGAGACTCGTAGTATATCAATGAGGAAGGACACAAAATTAAAAAAAAACAAAAAAAAGAAAAAAAAAAAAAGAAAGAAAGAAAAAACTACGTAAGGCACCTAAATATAACAAGAATACGACGACAATGTTATGTTTAACACATAAGCCATTACATCTATGCCAAAAGCATTTATACTGGATGAAAATGTCAAAGAAATATTTAAGCATATTTTAAACGACATGTTGTTAAAAAAAAAAAAAAAAAAACTATTAAATCTCTATAAAATGAAAATTCTTTCAAAACAAGAAGCAAAAGGGAATTCAAAGCATTGACCAAACGGGTTCCTGTTATTACAGGAGTAATTAGAGAGATTATTATTAGGTAAAACAAGAAAGTAAAATCCAACAAGAAGTAGATCTAAACTGATAAATGAAATTTCTTTCGGCTTTATACATACATACAATAATATCACAATGGAATTAGCACAATAAGTGGTGGACAACATATAAACAATGGAATGGACGTTGTAACCAAGCAGTTCAAAAAAATAATAAAAATAATAACCAAGAAATACAATATGAAGTGTTTGATTCATCTTTGAAGAAAGAGGGCAGCTCCAACCAAGCCAAACCATAATGTTAAAGCTACCCAGAAAGCTTGGTTTTTATCCAAATCGATAGGAGGTCGCCACACCAGAAAGTCCCCTAAATAATCTCTTGAGGATGGCAGCTGATTCGTAGTACCTTGATTCTTGTCCTTGTTTTTGTCAGTCCATGTTGCTGCATAGCTGCAACAAATTCACATCCGTGTTCTCAATTAGATCAAAGTCTTGAAAGAATATAGATTGCTGAACATTGAGACCTGGTCAACTTGTCTTTTATTTATTCACCGTGATTAAAAGAAGACAAAAAAGAAGGGTTTCCCCCCTCCCTGAGACATGGAGAAAAGATAACATAAAAACCAAACAAAGAATAATGCTAGACAAAGCTCAAAATGAAGGCAGGGCAAGACATACAAACCAGACAGAGTCAAGGAATGTATCTAGTTATTAAGAAGAAATAGTATGAATGATATGCAACTTGTCAACAACACCTTCCTAGCACTTTCAATAAAAATGGCAAAGTGATCCAAACTCCTTTCTTCAATCATGGCAGACACATGACACTGGATTTAGAATATGCACATATCAGCAAATAATTCAAGGAAAAACATCCCCAACATCCATCATTTAGTAGGATTTCATTATATGCATATTGCTTCTTTTCTTGCTTCGGAAAAGCCCTATTGCTACAATACACAAAACCAATTCCAAACGGTATTTTTAAAGATAAAATGCCAATATAGTCCAATCAAATGGATGAATAGCCAATAAAGAGTGAACTATAGGGACAGTATGCATACAGACACAAAATGACCAAGATATTAGGTCATAACATGTTCAGAACATAACCAACGACAAAAATGACAAGTAAATTGATTATATGAAGGCAATATTAATTTGATGCATATAGATATCAATACAACATCATGGATCGCCAAAGACGAGTTGACTGACAGAGGAAGAGAGAATTAAATTCAGCTGAATGAAAAAGATACCAGCTAGGTGGAACATTTTAAGCTGATGAAATTATCAGCATTGGTCGTACTGCAAATAGCTGTGACTCTGGAAATAACACACATCACATGCACATTTGCAAGAGATTAAGAAACCCTTCTGTGCTTGTCGTTATTCACAAACAAAGATCGCAACCATAAAATGAGAAGCAGTTTCACTGCCCCGCTTGGATTCCAACAAATCAAGAATTAGATATGTAAGGTAGCCACGGCAGTCACAGTAAGTTAAAGAACGGTTAATATGGAAAAGCTACATCCTGCTAAATTGTTCAGTCAGTAGCAAAACCAACTGAAAGGCAACCTCAACTACTCTTCACGACAGCATGAAGAGAGGAAGCTACTGCCAGATTGAAATGAATTAGCAATCCATCTCGTGTAGCATCCATAAGAGAATACTGAGGAGCTTAGGTTTAAAATCTGTATCATATTTAAGAGCATTGTTACTGAACAATAACAAAAGAAATGATATAAATACTACGCTGCTCTAGATTTACTCAAGGCAATATCATAGTTTTATGCCGGCCTAACAATGGAATGAAATGGAGTTTCTTTAATTAAAATTATTATGCTGTACTGCCTTCTACTAAATATTTAATAAGTTTCTTAGGAATCTATAACATGCATATCTGTCATTATATGAAGGAACACCCACCATTGATAGAGATCAAAAATATCAAAATTTAAACATTACGTATCATAATTTAGATCACTGAGCAAAAAGAATAAAATTTCACCTGTCATAACTTGAACCAATTAGTGGAATGGTAACCATCTCCTCCTGCGATATCTTGAGCTTAGGTGCTTGCAAAATATAGCGAAGATCTGCAGCTTGGCGCCTGATACTGAGACTTGGGTGCTGCTCTTCCAGTTGCTGGTAAAGAGCAATGCAATCTGCATGGCGGTTATTAGCGTCATAAGCCATAGCCAGCCATATTTGAATCTGAGCAACCACCGAAAAAAAAGCTCTCATTTCAGTCCATATTGGAAACATAAAAACTGCCCCAAAAGCTAACGTCACTAGTTATTAGAAATCCAACCTCACCACCAAACAAAGTGAGTCTTGGAATTATTGTGAGTGCCGCTTCAAGAAACTCAATAGCCCGCGAATACATGCCCTTTCCATAAGCCTTTTGTCCCAATTCAAACATCAATTGAGCCGTCGCTCTCCTCTCTGCCTGTTCCTGAGCAACCTGCTCTTGCATAATCAACCAAATCAGCCAAATGGAAACAAATCAACTTTCTTTACTTTATTTTTTTTTTTTTTTCAAAAGAAGAGTTTATAATGGATAAAGAAGTGACCTTTTCGAGTTCTTTTCTCACTCTCATCTTCTTTTCTTCTTCAGTCTCCTCTCTACCCTCATCTTCACTGTCCTCTGCTTTATTCTGCAACTCCTCTGCCTTCTTCTCCAACTCTCTCATATCCTCAATCTCCTTTACTCTCTTTTTCATCTCCTTCTCCCAATCGAATTCCTCCTCTTCTCCCTCTGCGTTACCTTTTGCATCTCCGTTCTCTTCATCGCTATCAAAATCCACACCGTTCATTTTCGAATAAGCTTTTCCTCGCGCAACCACTCTTTGACTCCTCCCTTCGCCATCTGATTCAAAGCTCTTATTGATCAGACAAGCAGCATAGGCGTGATATCTCTTTGGAAGGTTCAAAACTACGTCGATTGCTACTGGTCGGGTCTTCCGGTCCGGAATTATGGTTCGAGGAGAGGCCAAGTCTAGTAATAAAGTTAGATTTCCAACAACCACAGCCATGGTGGCGCCGCCGCCGGAGAGAGGAGAAATTGTATGGAGTTGTTTTATTGACACGTCTGTGGTGCAGATATTTTAGCGGGTTTAAATACGTAATGACTAAAATATCCTTGTCTTAATAATGCCTATCTGGTGAATATCCAAGGATATTTCCGTCTGGAAGAATGTGAACGTGGCGCTACGTAGACGAGACTCGAGAGGCGTGTCTGGAAACTGTTGCAGTCGCCAATCTGTGCATTGGCTCACGGAAGCCTAACGTTGATTTATGTACTCTTGTCAAACACGTCACTTCAATATTCAGCTTCTACAAACGGCGTCATTTTGTCGCAATTATCAGGACGATCCGACGGTCCTGATTCAATGGCTACCGGTTCTGTTCTAGAGTAGTAGAATTATACATAGTAGAGTAAAATGAATTAATTAATAATTAATCATAAACCAGAGATATTTTAATATACGTTTAGCTATAACGCTACAAAAAAATTTTAAAATTTAAAAAATATTTAATTATGATAAAGATAAAATATTTTTTCTCATTTGAGATAATCTAAAGGATTTTAATTAAGAGAATATATATAGTATATATTATATATATATATATATAATATATTAATATATATAATTTAATCTGTTTAAAAAAAATTTTATTATAGGATTTGATTATTTCGAAACTGGATATTATTTCACGTAAAAACTGCATGCTTCATCTGTAAGAGCATATGGACTTTGATTGTTTAACAAAAGTTTAGTCTGTGCATTGGCTTCACGGGAAGCCTAACCGTTGATTTATGTATCTTGTCAAAAGTCACTTCAATATTTCGGCTTCTGACAACACGGCTCATTTTTGGTCGCAAATTATCCAGAAAAACGATCCGACGGTCCTGATTTCAATGGCTACGGCTTCTGTCTCTAGAGTAGTAGAATTATACATAGTAGGAGTAAAATGAATTAATTAATAAATTAAGTCATAAACCCAGAGAGATTTAATATACGTCTTAGCTATAAACGCTACAAAAAAATTTTAAACATTTTAAAAAAATATTTTAATTAGATAAAGAAATAAAATATTTTTTCTCATTTGAGATAATCTAAGGATTTTAATTAAGAGAATATATATAATATATATACTATAATATATATATATATTTAATTTTTAAAAAATTTATATAGGATTTGATTTCGAAACTGGATATTTATTTCACGTAAAACTCATTGTTATATAATTTAATTTTTAAAAAATTTATATAGGATTTGATTATCGAAACTGGATATTATTTCACGTAAAAACTCATTGCTTCATCTGTAAGAGCATATGCATGTTGATTGTTTAACAAAAGTTTAGTGTCGACGCTATTACTATATATATTTTTGTTATATGTAAGTGCAAATATTATTTTATAACATTAATTAACGTTTTCATAACAGTATTCAGTAGTTGTTGTTTTCAAATGATGATTAAATAAAATGATTATGTAAAAATATCAATTTGAAAAAAATAATTTTATTAGTATTTTTAAAAATTAATATATTGAAATATAATTTGAATATAAATAATTTGTAACTGATAAAATTACTTTCCAAATAGAACTGATTAAATTAATCGTTAGAAATACATTTATTAACTATTAATTGTTTTATAATAGTTAATAAAACAATTATAAAATTTATCTTTCAAATACAACCGATTCATGATATAATTGAGAATAATCCTTTATTGAATTCATTAGCGATAATGTTTTATAATATTAAATCTAATTCTTAATTATAAATTTTTTGCTTCAAGTATTATTTTGTATTTTGTTTTTACATTTTGTAAGTTTTGTAGTTTGTTATAATCATAAGTTTGTCATTCTTAATTTTATAGTTGAAACTAGTTTTAATCAGGAGTAAATATAATGAATATAAATAAAACGGACATTAAAAAATTAATATGTAATATATAATAATATAACTAATGAATATATAAATATATTATTATTACAATATATAATATAAATATATTGAAATAATAATATATTAAAGAAGTATTTTTACAAAATAATATAATTATTAGATATAATAATAAATAAATTTAAATAATTACAGAAGATAGAAGAATTAATCGATCATTTAATCATTAAATAAAACAAGATGTTGATTTAATTAATCCTATTATTTCCTTTTATTAAAGATTATGGAAAGACAGATTAGAGACAGAGAATATTCTATTTATATATATTCTAGAATTTTTGCCCACCAAAAAATTTCAGTTCGTTTCATTTCGCTCCTGCTTGTTCAGAATCGATGGCTCTGCGGCCTCTGCTACTGTGCAATGCACAGCGCCACTTCGTCTCTTGGCGTCACTACAAACAACAACAGCCTCCTCTCAATTTCCGTTCAGCTGCCAATAACAAACTCCGATTTTCTCCTTCAAGCTTTTCTCGTAGCAGTAAACTACGTCGTTTCTGTCCTCTGAAGTCTTCTTCAGTTAACGGATATTCCATACGGAAGGATAATAATACAGAACTGTATGAAGAAGATCAGAGTGAGGACAATCTTGAGTTGCATGAGAGGATTCTGAAGTTTTTTGAGTTCCTCCCATCAATTTTGCCTGGTGGAAATTGGTGGAGCTTCTCTGAAGATGTGGAGGTAAAATATTTGGCCAATCCAGTGACCTTGTGGCAGGCGCTTGGCCGCATGTGGCAGTTGGTGGCTCAGGATCGCTGGGTCATTTTTGCAGCTTTCTCTGCTTTAATTGTTGCAGCGGTGAGTGTTCTCTGTATTTTGCCGTGCGATTATTTTCAGAACGTTATACTTTGTGGACATATTATCACTATTCACTGGTATGATTGTTCTTTGGTTGGGATTGGAGTGAAGAATGTTATGAAGTTATGATATTCTTTCTAGTTACCTGAAAAATATTGAAGCAAAAATTGTAGTTCTATTATTCCCTGATAGGTTAACCATTTGGTTGGATTCAGTAAATCTTACTTTCTTGAAATTCTTCTTTTGCTATGATGTTGGTCTTGTGTTGGATTTTCACTGCTGCACTCTGAGCTAACTTGAGTGGGGATTTAACAATTGAGATAAGCTGTTATAGTGTTATGATATAATGTTCTTGATTATTTGCTGTTTTGCTAACTTCTTCCTGTGCTTGGCTCAGGTTTCACAGATCTCAATACCACATTACTTGACAGCATCAATCTTTTCTGCACAAAGTACTGAAATTGCAGTTTTCCACCGAAACGTGCGTCTGCTGGTGTTGTTTTGTCTGGTAGCTGGAATATCCAGGTCAAAATCTTGTATGGACAAACTCCCTTATTCTATAAGTTGTAAACTGCATCATGACTCTTTTTACATTTCTCAGTGTCCGATTGATTAGAGTTTATACTACAATTTGTATTTACCAGTTCGCTCTGTTTTCATTTACACTCACTACATACTATTCATGAGTCATTAACTTGTTATCTGGTTGAAAAGTAAAGAACAAATGCTGTCCTTCTAGCAATGTCTTAACACTTTCTGTTAGATATTAACATATGCCTCACATAAACCTTTTACTTTCTGTCTGTGGAACTTGATCTTTCTTGATGAACCATCTGTCAATCCAACTGATCCTGTAATCTTTTTATATTGTATTTCAGTGGTTTACGAGGTTGCTTGTTTGGCATTGCAAATATGATCCTTGTAAGTTGTTGATGTTCTATTGTTAACTTCCTCAAATAATGGAATATCACGTCTATTTTTGGTCTTCCTTTGTGTTTTGTGGCAATATTTGTAGTGTTTTCAATCCTATTCTATGATTCCAAAACATCTTGTTTGGGTTTAAAAAAAATGCAGAGCAATTAGATTTTGCCCGGATGATAGGCAAGGGAATGTTATTAAAAACGATATTTTCTCCTTCAAAGTATGCGAGGCTGACTTGTTTCTTGACATTTTGCAGGTGAAGCGAATGAGGGAAACATTATATTCTGCTCTTCTTCTTCAGGTTTATTTTTATTTGATCATTATGATGCTATTTGCATCTAATAATGCTATTGCAAGCTGTGGTTGGCTTGATATTATGACTTATGGATTGGTGGTACATCTGTTGTAGGATATATCATTTTTTGACATTGAAACAGTTGGTGACTTGACAAGTAGGCTTGGGTCAGATTGTCAGCAAGTGTCTCGAGTTATTGGAAATGATCTTAATTTGATAGCACGCAATGCTGTACAGGTTATTTTTTGATAAACTTGTCAACTACACTCATTTACGTACAACAGGAGAAACTAACTTCTTGTCTATGCCTCTATTCTAGGGTACAGGTGCCTTGATCTACTTGCTAATTTTGTCCTGGCCACTTGGTTTATGTACGCTTGTGATATGCTCAACTATAGCTGCTTTAATGATGATATATGGCATGTAAGATTTTGTACTTTAATCGTTGCTTTTCCTTGACTATACTTGAACTATCCGTACTGAAAGTGCACAATCATAATTGATTCTGATAGAAAAAGAAAATATTGTTGGGAACAATTACAAGATGAGAAGTCATATTTTGGAAATACAAATATGGATTTGGGAATGACTTATTTGATTAATGTGATGAAGTTTTTTTGTAAATTTCATCTAGGGAAAGGATTATTAATCTAATAGTGGGTTGAAGTTTGGGGAAAAATATTGTTCCTTAAGGCTTTGTAGAAGATATTGACTTTGACATCATGTTGCATAGATACATTTAAAATTTACTGCTTTTAGGGAAATTGTAATATGTATTCTGCCTTTTGTCTATTTTTTGAACTTAGTTTGGAATGCTTGTGGTTATTACTTATGTTTTCTTTGTTAGGTACCAGAAGAAGGCAGCAAAGTTAACTCAGGAGTTCACTGCTTCTGCTAATCAAGTAGAAAAAAACAAATTATGTCTAAGTTATAGAGAATGTAAATTTTTTGTAGGTAGTTTGAGAAAAATTGAAATTACATTGTTTTTATTTAGGTGGCACAAGAGACATTCTCTTTGATGAGAATCGTTCGCATTTATGGAACGGAAAAACTAGAACTTGAAAGGTAAATTGTTTTGAACCTTAATCTCTGCTTTGAAAGCATGTCTAGTTTGGGAACGTTTCCCCTAAGAACTAGCTTACATGTTTGATATAGCTGAATTGCTTCTAATAAAAAGGATTTGCATCTTTGGTCCATAGGTATAAGCTGTGGCTGGAAAAATTGGCTGATATAAGCTTGCGGCAAAGTGCAGCATATGGATTTTGGAATATGAGCTTCAACACACTTTATCACTCCACGCAGGTCCAACTCTTTTTTTTTTCTTTTCTTGAGAAAAAAAAATTTTACTGTTATCAAAATGTTTCACTCAATGTTTCAAACTGAATTAGCTTATATATTTTGCATTTTAAATAGCTATTTCATGAAAGTAATTTATCATTGATCTGATGTTGTAGGTGCTGATCAAGCATTTGATTGGCACATTCTGGAATCCTTAATTTATTTGTCAACTTTCTTGCTGGTATCCTTTGACTTCATTGACAAATGTCAAAACTCTAAGTTTCGAGTTTTTTAAGTATATCATTAAGGTTAGATGATTTATTTTTTATCATTCCAAGCATGAGAAATGAATTATTTGTTTGAAATGTAGGCTTAGGTAATTCCTCTTTGGTCTTGTTTGCATTTTGGAAATTTTTATTTTCTTATATTGGCATATTGTATCTTTGTAGATCATTGTTGTGCTAGTAGGAGGAATGTCTATTCTGGCTGGTCATATTACAGCGGAGAAACTGACAAAGTTCATATTGTATAGCGAAACGCTGATATATGCTACATGGTGGGTTGGGGATAATTTATCATCTCTGATGCAGTCAGTTGGGGCAAGTGAAAAGGTCTTCCAATTGATGGATCTCTTGCCAAGTGACCAATTCACATCGAAAGGTGAGCAGCATGCTAACTTTAACAGTTCTCTCAGATGATTAGATTCTTTTCATTCTTTCTTGATTTTGATTTATGGATTAATGAATGTTTTTAGAAATTGCAACATAAAATGCATTTACATGCTCATTTCCTCTTGGGTTCTGGATGGTTTTACAAATTGTGGAAAAAAAATTGGAAGACCTTGCATCCTCCTGTTCATTCTCAACGAATGCCTGCTGATATTTTATGATGCTTTTTGAGTTTTTCCAATTAAACACTTTGGGTTTGCTACTTGAACCTTAGTCAAAAACTGAATTGGTTAAATAACTCTCACCAATGTAGCCTTGTAGATTGTTCAAGAAAAAAATGCACCGAGGACATTTCCTTCGTTCTTCTTATTCTTTTTTCTTGTTCTAACAATTTGTTTAAGCTAGGCATGGTCAGTTCATTAAGTTTCTAAAATATTGAATCTGAACTGGCCTTTAAACAGTCGGTTTTGGCGTGGTTCCGATGAACCAACGGTTATGGCTCTAGCAATATGCGTAGTGTTTTTCGGAAAAAAAAAAAAAAATGTTAGAGTTGGTTCCAGAGTTACGTCTTTTTTCCCAAAAAAAAAATTTATGTGAATTTTAAAAAATATCAGTAAATTTTATTTTAAATAACATTTAGAATGCTTAGAGTCATATAAAAGAAATAAAGTTTATTAATTTTACAAATAAATACAAAATAATCAAATAAATTATAATTTTATTTTGTCTAAATGTTATTAATTAAATAAATTGTTAGAAAAATTGAAAAATATTTCAAACAATGTAATTTTGGACTTAGTAAAAAAAATGTTGTTAAACTCCTCTTTGTGAATTGGATCATGTAGTAACATATTTATTTAGACTCTTAGAGGTGTGCAGAATAGTTTAATTGATTATAAATTTTTAAAAATAAAAATAAAATTTTCTGGTTCAAATCGGACTGAACTGTTGGTTCCGGGCCAGTTCAGATTCATTTTGTAACATTAATATGAACCTTAACCGGCTCGTAAATTGCTGGTCCTGATTGAAAATTTTGAACCAATGGTTTCAGTCTGATTCAGGTTCATGTACAATACAGTTTGGTTCCAGTTCAAACCTTACCGGTGGCCATGCCTAGTGTAAGCAAGTATGTAATGTTAATATAAGTATAAAGATAAGTTTGGCTTCTATAGGATGCACTCAGGAACCGACTTTTCTGCATGTCTTCTTCTTTACTTGTGACTTCCTTGTGATACTAGTTTTATTGTTTGGATATGTATGTTATTGTATTATAGGATTGAAGTTGCAGAGACTGATGGGAAATATAGAGTTTGTAAATTTATCTTTTCATTATCCAGCAAGGGCAGAGGTATGATTCTTATCTTCAGCATCTGGCAACTAATATTTTACTCCTTTTCTGTTTCCTAATGTACTCCCTTACGCTACCTTTGGATGAGGTAGAGATATTGATAGACCCGTAAATGTCAACTTGCCTGCAAAAATATTTTAATGGCCCTTATTGTAGTGAACGATCTATTTAAGTGATAGAGAACTTTTTGGAGAATATGATATGTAGCAGTTCTAGCTTTCTTTTCGGTTCCTGTCAGAATGTCACGATTGCTTGGTTACTTATTCCATGGAATTTTTTAGTAATGCTGCATTATATTTTAATCTGTAACTAACCTGCACTGAGATCTCTTGGACAGGTTCCTGTTCTGCAACATGTAAAAATTTCTGTGCTTCCGGGTGAAGTCGTTGCAGTTGTAAGTGTATTAAGTATTAGTTGGCACCACCTCTTGCTTCTACACGAATGTTGGAAATTGTTTTTCTTTAATTTGTCAGGTTGGTCTCAGTGGTAGTGGGAAAAGCACATTGGTGAATCTATTGCTTCGTCTGTATGAGCCAACAAATGGTCAGGTAAAAATGTCTGAGATGGATGGACTTTTGTGCTGTATAATTGCGTATTTAAATTACACGGAAGTGTTTAGGTGAGGTTCTCTAGGCTTTTCTTGGTCTGTGCTATGCATCTCTTTATGGTTGCTTAATGCTAACGGATGAATATTAGCATCTGCTATTATTTATTCACTATCAGCTTTCTAAGAAGGCAGCGGTTAAATTTAACATCAACCACTTCATTTAATTATAATAGAAAATACATTCTGGAAGGACCTGTACCCCTTCCCTTTTCCATGTAAGAGTCAGGGTTTTAAATGAAATTTGTTATGTTATCTTTCTATTTGTAGTTTTTGCATCATTTGAAAACAGAGTGCCTAGTTATTAAAACTTTTATTCCCTGTCTCATATTAAATTATTCAATTTATTGACATTCTGCAATTGGGAAAGTGATTTAATTCTAATTTTAATTGTCGACTAATGCTTCCTCCTGGAGAATGTCAGATGGATACCATATTGTTTGAATTTTTCTAAGCATATGTTGCTTTAATTGCAGATTTTAATCGATGGCTTCTCTCTTAAAGAGTTGGACATAAAGTGGTTCAGGGAAAGAATTGGATATGTGGGACAGGTCCATTTACTTCTAGCATTAATGCATTTCTGCAAATTGAACAGATTTCCTTCTTGAATAATAATAATAATAATATAATGAGCCAAAAATTTTTTTTAATAATTTTTTTAACAGGAACCAAAACTTTTCCGTATGGATATCAGTTCAAATATTAGATATGGTTGTCCTCGAGATATAGACCAGAAAGATGTTGAATGGGCTGCCAAGCAGGCATATGCTCATGATTTCATCTTGTCTCTGCCCAATGGTTATGAAACACTTGTTGATGATGATTTGCTCAGTGGTGGTCAGAAGCAGCGAATTGCCATTGCTCGGGCTATTCTTAGGGATCCATCAATTTTGATCCTTGATGAAGCTACTAGTGCTCTTGATGCAGAGAGTGAACACAATATTAAGGTATCTACATTTAGGCTGTTGGCAAATACTTACAACCTCCCATTACTGCTTTTACTGCAAGGATAAAAAGAAAATAAAGAAGTAAAGGAATTTGGAAACTTGAGTTGCTTTCTCTAATGTGTCATTTGCCACCATGTCTAGGGTGTTCTTAGTGCTGTTAGAAGTGACTTGACGACAAAGAGAACTGTCATAGTAATTGCACACAGGTAGACTTTAACTGACCTCCTTCAAGTGTCCTTTATATGAGTTGGTGTTTATTGGTTCACTTTTTGCAGACTTTCCACAATACAAGCTGCTGACAGGATAGTGGTGATGAATGGTGGTAAAGTTGTTGAGGTTGGTACTTTGTCAATTTCGTTGGAACTCTTTCATGTTATGCTATCCTTTTAATGTTTTCTGCATACCAAATCTTTGATGTTAATACCGTCCTATCTTGTGCACTTGAACAAAATCTTGTTTTCTCCATACAAATTAATAACAAAGTACTGCTTAAAAAGACATCGCTTGGTAAAAGAGTCTTAAAGGCTATTATTCTTATGGGAAGAAAGAGCATGGGTGTTTAACCCATAATCCTAGCTGCAGTCACCTTCAGGTATAACTGACTAGCCAATCCTGGTTGGTTACTTCAGTTCCATGTTTAGAGTTATCTGTCTTGTTTCATCCTACTGGTGTAATTGGACCACCTTGATGTTTTGAAAATGCTGTTGAACATAGGCAACTTGGAATCATATTCTGAATTGGCTATATGCATAATTTTGCTTTTTCCACCATGCAGATGGGCAGTCACCGGGAGCTTCTTCATCAAGATGGCCTCTATGCGCAATTGACTAGAAGACAGGCCGATGCTGTTGCTTGATTATTTCCTACTATCACGTGTAGGATTTCCAGTAATGCATTTAATTCATTTCTTCAAACACAGAGGCTCGAGGAACCTTCACCGCTGACTCATTTTTTCTTTATATTCCATCCAATTTGAAATGTCTTGTAATGAGAAAGCTAACACAAAGGAACTGCTCAGAAAACAGAATGAAGAACTCTTAAGAAGGTTGTATATTATAGTGTTACAGAATGAAATGCAGCCACATGGTACACAAACTCTGTGATAGGTTTAATTTACATCCTTTGATAGTAAATGTATCGATCTGTTTATCGCAATTGGAACTTGAAAAATGTAAAAGCTTGATTCTTGATAAGGACAGCGCTATAGAAGTACGAGTTATTACTGTTGATGTATGGATGGACTGATTGGGATCTGATTTCATCACACACAAGTTTGCCTCTGAAGCCGTATGAACCTCGTTAAAATTTGTAATATATTTTGTAATATATTTTGGGGGAGGAGATCATAAAATGTTATGAAATGCTAATTAAACATTTAATAGCTATTACGATGGTTAATATCTATTAAAACATTTAACTTTGCCGAATATATCTTATATATTGGATTTCAATTTACGAAAATTTATGTCCATTAAAACATTTAATTTTGCCAAATATACTATACATTTAGGATTTTAATTTATCACTTCATTGATGCATTTCTCTGGATGATTATTTTTGATTTATTGTATAATCCACCATCACTTATTACAAGAGATTATTATAATTTTATTATTTTTATGTACTTTTTCAAAATTTAACCATAAATTTTGGAAGTATGAAACTTTTATAATCTTATAAATTAGAAGTTGAAAATTTTCTAATTATAACTAAACGATAGAAAATGAAATAAGAAAAATTCTTCAGCAATTTGTTTTCCACAAAAGTTTATTCTAATTTTGATTAACCGTCCATGAAGTTATGCACGACCGATGAGTGATAGCCATATTCAAGTGCATCCGGTGCGATAGGCCTTAGTGAGACTGCTATGCATCCTTTGTTTCGTGAATCGTGTTAACAGAATCCCCCCTCTTTCAAAGGCCCAAACCCTTCGTAGTAGTCGTAAAATCAAAACCCACACAACCTACACAGGCGAATATGGATGCTTACCAACAGCATCATAGGTACATGAGACCACCGCAACAGCAACCGCAACAGCCACCGCCACCGCCACCTATGCCACCTTCGGCTGCGGATCCCCACCATTATCTCCACCATCAACCTAGACCCCCGTTTCCTCCACAAGGCACGTGGTACTCCAACCAATTCCAGTACCACCCACCACCACCACCTCCACCTGCAACATCTTCTCACTCTCCATCTCCTTCACCTTCTCAACAGTGGGCCGTGTCCCCGCACTCTGACCATATCGCTCCACCCCCTCCTCCTTCCTCTGCTTATCCTCCTCCTCCTCCTCCACCCCCGTACACCTATCCATCTCACCTCCCACCTCAAAACCACCAGTTCCCTCCTCCTCGCCCTCATTTACCTGGTCCTCCTCATTCTCAGATTCCCCAACCTTACGCTCAGGTTAATCAAGTAATTTCAATTATCTATATCTCCATTTTTTGGTTCTAATTTCTTTGATAGATTGGTTTATCGTTGTAGCTGATGTGGATTTCGTTAGAATGTTAGCTTTACTTTCTGATTCCGATGCTGAAGGATTGATTGGTTTACTATGTGGAGTTAGGGTTACATGCACGCTCTGCATGTATTTGCTATTTATTTTTCAGTATTTCTCTAGATTTTTACTGTTGATCAGTCGCTTATTTATTTAATCTTTCTCAGGAATGGGGAAATCAAAACTGGGGGCAACAGCAAAGTTGGGATTATCAAGGTCTGTTGTTTTACCCATGTTCATTTTATGCTTGAAGTGAGTTTGTTTCATGACGTTAATGACAAATGTTAGCTGGATATGCAATCTTTTCATCTTGGTTTCTGTTGAATGAATGAGTTTGCGCCTTCTTATTTTTCATCTATTTGAGAGTGTACTTGTTTACTCAAGGGAGAGGTGTTCTAGTTTTTTAACTATAGAGATAGTAATGGTCAATTTGTAATTCAATGAGAAGCTGGTGAAAGCTTCACTCTAATATAGAATTGGAAGGAGAAAGTAGTCACATTCGGCTTTTCGAAATCTAATTTATAGCATATACATGACATCATTACAGTGTTAATTTAAAATCAAATTCTTAACACCTGCTTCTTTAATTTACGTTCAGAAACGGCTCTGTGAGTTTCCTGTTGGATTGAAGGTAAAGCATTACCTTAAATGGCTCTCATAGTAGAATTGTCCATCACATTGAGTGATCTAACCTGTAATCTGGGAACTAATTTCTACTTTTAGGTCTTCTGCTTTAGTGATCATTTCCCCTTCTTTTATGCATGTTTCTTCCAGCAGAATTTCCTGGGGTTTATTTTAATTCTAAGTGCTATTGGTTGAACTTTTTGTGATGATATGTTGCAATGGCAGCCCATAACAATGTGGAGGACTGGGCTGCTAGAGCCAGAGCGTGGGCAGCACAAAAAGCAGCCATGGAGGATCACCATTCTCAGTCTCAATTTACGCAGGCTGGCAGAACAGAAGAACAAAGTCGGTTTCATGACCAGTACCCTCAAGCTGCTGATTCTCATTATCAAGATATTCAGCAACAACCATTCCATTCATCAGGCTATCAACAGTATCAAGTTTCAGCAGCACCTGTTCACCAGCCATCAATAGCTTATTCACTAGAGAATGCCTCTTTCAATCATGGACAATCTTCTAATGCTTCTACTGAAGGGGGTATGTCTTACATTCTTGGAGGTGGAACTTCAGCTGGAGCACCAACTACAAGTCCATCTGTTCTTCAGCAGGAGGTACCTTCTAGTTATTCTTCTGTTACAGGTAATAATTCATTTAGCATATCGTACTTGCATGTATTTGAGAACTACTCCTATGTGGAGCACTGTTCTTAATAGGTTCTGCCTTTTCAATTATGCTGGTTCTTATCAATTCGACCTAATAGAGACACAATGCAGATGGAACATATGATATATCCTTTGCAGACCTAAGTGATCTGTATGTAGACTGGAATTTGACTGAGTGAGAAACCTTGTGTTGTTTTTATCCTCGAGGTGGTAGTATTTGGTTTATTTCCTTGTTGTAAGGCTTGTTTCAATTATGTCTTTTTCATTTAAATTAGCTGATTGTTGGCACAACTTGTAATTTTTTCCATGTTGTTCCACAATATATATAGAAGCACTGTTTCTTATAGGTTTCTGCCTTTTCAATTATGCTGAGTTCTTATCAATTCGATCCTAATAGAGACACAATGCAGAATGGAACATTATAGATATAATCCCTCTTGCAGACCAGAAGTTGATCGCTTATGAGACTGAATTGCGACTGAATGAGAAGCCTTGTGATTGTTTTTATCCGTCGAGGTGCTGGTAGTATTTGGTTATATTTCCTTGTAGGTAAAGGCTTGTCTCAAATCTACTGCTTTTCATATGTAAATTAGCTGATTGTTGGCAACAATCTGTAATTTTCCATGTTGTGCCACAAGAAATATATATATATATATATATAATAATTATCATATATGCAAGTAGGCTCTAAATATATATATATATATATATATATGCAAGTTAGGCTCTAAATTTGTTTTGCAATATTTTTGGACCCCATCAGCTTGTACTTATACGTCCATGTGAATAACTAAACTACTCTATTGACCAAAGAGGTGGAAAGTAGTATGATTGAGATTTTCCTTTTTATGGGTATATGTGAATGTAGTTCCTTTTATTGGATGCAAGCAAGTAGAATTGGTGTTAAAAAAGAATGATTAGTAGAAAATGCTATTCCACTTTATTAATCCTTTTGTACATAAATGAAAAAGACCAAAACACCTGTTTCTGTAAAATTTTCCGAAAATAAATTTTTGCTGTTTCCAGAATCATATATAAAATATTCAATGCTTCAAGTTCAGATGGTCTTTAGGATTCATACAGAAAACTGATTATTATATGACAAGATGAGCTTCCTTTAGCCCTAAGGTTTTATTTCATTTTTCATTATTAGATTAGCTGTTTGACTGCCTTCTACATGGCAGGTAAAGAAGAGACCATAGATCAAAAGGATCAGGTGTACAAATCTTCGCCTTTGCTCATATCCTCAACTCCAGAAGGACACCATCGTATGCAACCATCATTGCCTGCTGTTGGTGGATCTGTTATGACTGAACAGTCATTTGCATATGGCAATCCAGGAGCTGACCACGCTGTCGACCCTAGCAATCAGCCATTAGAATTTGCACCCAGTTTTATCCGTAATCATGACCCACATATGCAATCCAGTTATGCTGCTCATCATGATTCAGCAGGAAATGTAAGAGGCCTTGGCCCCGTCACCCCATTATCTTCGGTTAACTCTTGGAATCCTGCTGTTGCAGCTGGTGCTGTTTATTCGTCAATCCCTCCAGGTGTGCCATCAGTGCCTCAGGTATTGATTACAGTTCTGTAGAATGTCCTTCAATTTGATAGATTTTGCATTGCTATTCTAATATTTCTATTTTTTCAGCATGATTCTTCTGTAGCCATACCTTCTCCTGTTCCTGGACATGCTGCGCCACCATTTGGAAGCTTCCCTGGATCAAGTTTTCAGCCAACAATTCCATCTGCTGCATTGCCTTATGGTCTTGGTCCAGGAACTTCAATTCATCCTACAACTGGCTTTCCAGGTGATGCTTATGGTGTTTCTAATGTTTCTGAGCGGCCTAAAAAGGTAGGTACTATCTGTAGACTGGTTTTGTTGTTATTGAAAATGATAGTTATTAAGTAGCTGCATCCAAAATTCCCAGGTTTCTGTTCCCAATTGGCTAAAAGAAGAAATAATAAAGAGTGCGTCTGTTATCACGAGGTCATCTTTAGAACACCCAAAAGAGGAAACAAAGTCCATTGAGGATGAAGGTGTTGATAAACCTTTTGGGAAGGGTGACCAAGCAGATAGCAAAAGTATTGATTCTTTTAGGTCGACTGAAGAAGAGGATGAAGATGAGGTTCTTGTGTTACTCTAAAGATTGTTTATCAGCTTTCAATTTATTTTGCTGATCAATTTTCCAAAAAGTGAAAGTCCTTCTAACTCTCCAAGATTTTTAAAAATAAATTTCATTGAATTTGTCATCTTATCCTTTGTTTTTCACTGAATTTTGAGAAGCAATCATCCCCTCCTAATTTTATCCTTTCTGTTCTGTTTCTGCAGGACGATGAGGAAACTGCAAGAACTGCAGCTATTAATCAAGAAATAAAACGTGTTCTTACCGAAGTTCTTTTAAAGGTTGGCTGTTTAAAGTCTAATGGTCTTCTAGTTTCTTTTATTTTCTTTTCTTATGGTAGCTGAAACTTACTTTTCTTAGGTTACTGATGAGCTTTTTGATGAAATTGCAACGGAAGTTCTTAATGAAGATGATCTTCCTATTGGAGGTGATTGTTCAAAAGTCAATGATCTCTGGTTTTCTTCTTTTCTTATTCTTTTTCTTTTTTTTGAATGTATTTGTTGGCCAGCTCCTGAAGTTCACTAAGTTCTTTCTGTTATTTTGAGGTTCTCATCTACAGTACTAGATTTTGGTTTTTCAGGTGAGCAGAATACTTTCTCCTCAAATCATAAGGTATCTCCATCTCCTCCAGAAATCCCAACTCCTAAGGCATCTGCAAAGGTTCTAGTTCCAGTTAAAGCCAGAGAGTCTGATACTGAAGATGTCAGTGAAAAATCCAGTTCTGGGGCCCCTGGAAATGTGTTGGGTCTTGCTAACTATGCATCTGACGATGAAGATGATGATGATGAAATCAAGAGTTCCAGCATGTTAAGTTTTAGGAAAAATGATGCACTTCAGCAATCTAGCATTCCAAAGTTTTCAGAAGACATGCATGACCCAGCTGAAAATGGCAATGTACCGATAGAACAAGGAATGAACATTACAGGACAGACAAATTTGGAGAGGAAAACCAGTTCAATTGAGTCCAAAAATGCTGCTAGTAGTGGGTTTAGGGAAACCAAGTTACTTTCTGGAGCTAGGGATGTTGAAATTGGTCCTGGTAGTGAAAAAGCAGTACATATGAATAATGATTCTGGTTTGAAAGCTACTCATGGAGAAAAGGTTACGGATGTTCAGATTAGGGAAAACAGGATGACATTAAATGAAGATCACCGACATGAAAGTAAAAAGAGTTATTCTGGAAAGGACATTGAAGAGGCAGAGCATGGGAGTAAGCCAGGTGAGAAAGCTGACAGTAACCGTAAGAAACAGGATGAGAGAAACCTAAGAAAGGAAAATACAGATGATCAAAATGGCTCAAAAGAAAGAATGAAAGAGCAAGGTGATAAGGCTGCAGAAAAAGGAAAAGAACCTGAATCAAGAAAAAGATCAACCCGTCTTGATGTCAAGGAGGATAGGAAAGGGGGAGACAAAATTCATAGATCAAGTACTAAAGAAGATAACAACAGAAAAAGAGGACGAGCAAAAGATAAGGAGGAAGATGGAGCAAGACATAAGCGTACTAGTGAGTCGAGCAGGCATAAGAGAAGGCGCTCCTCTTCAACTAGCAGTAGGGGCAGGAACAGCAAGGACAACGATTCAGTTGATGAAGCATCGGATGATTCTAAGAGGTTTGCCCTCAAATCTCATACATTTCTTAACTGTATCCAAATATTTTATGTATATTCTCATTCTGTTTTCTGTTCTGCAGAAAACAACATTCAAGAAAGCGGAACTTATCACCATCACCTGTCAGGTCTAGAAGAAGGTACCCACTTATAGTATTTCTCTTCACTTATTTAAGTTCCATGATTTTTATTTGCCTCTGCAGATTTTATTGTGAAATTCTAATGGGATGTTAGGAAGAATTCTGGTGAAAACAAATATATTGTTCAATATTTAGGTAATTTTTTGAAAAAGCTACTGGTTGGCATTCTTCAGAGCAGTAGTGGACAATTAGGTTCATGTAGATGTCATCTTAATCTGCAAATTACTTATTAAGGCTGCCAACTGGTTGGCCTTCTTCAAGAACTGTAGCGAACAACTAGGTTCACAGACTTGGGTGAGATATCTAATGAATTTTGAAATCCCAGTTAACTTTTGTGTTACAACCTAAATATATTATTGCAGGTACTTTTACTATTCATTGGTTTATTCTAATCCCGTAGAATTGTTTGTGCTTCAGTGGGTGGTTATTCTGGACCTGATATATGGATGTTTGGGCATATGTTTTTGTTTGGTTAATACTATGAAATGATTAAAGAGTTTCTTATTTCAATACTGATAGAAAGCTTGAGTTAATTTTCTTGCTACATGTTTGTCTGTTTCCCATAATGCATAGCATCAAAGGAAGAAAACAAATTTTGGTGTCGTGAATATGAAATTAGGAGCCTGATGAAAAGTTGATGAATACCTTCTGTATATATTTGGATGACAGGGTGGACTTCAGCCTCTTTGACTTGACACTTATTGTAAATACATTATGTTGACTACTGATGCATGTTACATGAGTCAACATTTGGAGCAATTGTGTAGTGTTACATAACAATGCAAACAAGAATGCATGGTAGTTTGTTTCCCATGTGTACTTCATTTATGTCTTGTGGGATTTTATTTCAAGACCGGGTAGCTCTCTGTATTTGCAAGATACACAACCTGCTTTTAGTATATCATAAAATTCCTTCTTTTTTATCAACATATACTTGCACATCATTTGCAGCCGAATTCTTTTCCCTCATGCAGTTTCTTTTGGCTCTTTGTAGGCTAACCTTCTGTGTATCTAACATTTGAACAAAATTTTAGTGTCAGATCTTGAACTGGTTTAATCTGCAACCAGTGGGAGTTCATCCACTTTTTCGCCTTCTGGTCCAACATCTTCATTGGTTTAACCCCCTTGTACATTTATTTGTTATTTAATTTTAGCTTCAGATCTTGAACTGGTTTAATGTGCAACCAGTGGGGAGTTCGTTCACTCTTTCCTCTTCTAACAGCTTCATTGGTTTAATCCCCTTGTACATTTATTTGTTATACTGCTCTACATTTTTTCCTCAGCACGCCAATGTTAGTTTCCTGACATTTTTTCCCTTATTTTTTTCTATTGGAGGTAATATGATAGGCTGATTAGAAGTGAAGTAACTAGATTTTGATGGTCATGCTATGGTTAGCTAGTAGTAACACCACCAGTCCAAGATCTGGACTTAAAATCCTCCCTTGCCCAGCTACCAAAATGAAATGACAGCAATGGATGTACCGTTCTCACGTTCTTGATATTTCATGATCATCATGTTTGTTTCATGGGTTTATATAATGTGTTAATATAATATGAAGCGAGTAATTTTCACTCTTGATAGGGCTGAATTCAACAATGTGGCTTCTTGATGGTGTTTGATTATATAAATCCTGTTTGTATCCTATTACTAGCAGAAGTTGATGCTCAGGATAATTCTTATGACGTTTACCTCTTTTTGAGGCTAAGAATTTATCTCTTGAGTTCTGTATGTCACTCACCGAATAAGTATGATGGGTGTTTTCATTTCTAGACAAGTTTCGCGGTCACCTCATAGCAAGCATTCACAGCGCAGGCATTCTCCCTACTCTTCTCTTGAGTCTTCCAGGTATGTTGCTGTGCAGTCTGTAAGATTAAGATTGTATTAGTGTTTTTCAGAACAGCATGCTCAACAGGTGAAAGCATCAGGCTTCATAATTTGTTAGTTGAAATATCTTCAGTTTGCTGACTCTGCTAATTTCTTGCAGGGGAAGGAGGTCGAGGTCCAAATCACCTGTGAGGCGGCACAGATAATTTTAGTTGAGCATCTATTGGGATGGTTCAGGCAATGAAATACAAGTTGGAGGCTCTTGAAGATCTGCCGAGCTGTGAAATTAACCAATCAACCCTAAAGGCAGGGATAAGGACTAACGTACAAAATCGAAGCAATGGAGGAAGGCCTCTGGTATCGGGACTGCTCAGGAAGGTTTTATGGATCCTACAGAATATTGTTGATGAATATGCTTGGCCAGGTTTCTGCTGTCTTCAATGGGCAGGAATTTTAGTTTGTAACATGTAATTTCTTTAGTCGAACAGCCGGCAAGCAATATTGTTATCTGTTGTATAGTTTTGCCATTGCAAAGAGGGGAATTATGTTGTTTTAGGATTTAAGACAATTATTTTGTGTATCAAGAGCTAAATTGACAGTTCACAATGAATAGCTATTAGCTCTGCATCGGAGCCCAGAATACTGGTGATGGAGCTTTGGATTGAACGTCTGACAGGTAATCGATCCACACTGATTTGGAGCGAGCTGAGATGAGTTTGATTGTAGTGTTTGAACCGAGTTCTCAGCCTCTATTGAAAATCTAAGGTTCATTAAATGCCCGGACGTTTGTCCAAAACGTTGTACTCGTCTATTCTAGCCGATGACGCTGTTATCTCTATTTTCTGGTTCTCCCCTGTTATGAGATTGGAACTTGTAGGATTAATGACCAGAAAGCATCTTGCTTCCTTTTTCAAACACAGAAAAGTAGAAAAAGCATTTCCTGCAAATTTCAAAGGACGTGTTAAGTTATTACCGATGTGAGGGAAAGTGTTAGGTCTGATTACGGATGTGATGTGGGAAAATGTTAGGTAAAATTAGTTGTTTTAGTAGTTTTCAGCACTTTAAACATTAGTATAAGAACTCGTATTTTTGTTAACTCTAAAACATTAGTATACAAACTATGACATTGAACACTTCAAGTGAACTATGCCATTATCTCTATTTTACTATCATGAAATTCACTTTCCAATAAAATATATGCGTTTTATGTTTTGCAAAAAAAAAAAAAAAAAGAGTTATTACCGCCACTCGTGAGGGAAAAGTGTTCAGGTCTGATTTACGGAGCTGCATGTGGAAAATGTAGTAATTACAAAATTTAGTTGTTTTAGTAAGCTTTCTCCTCTCTCACACTCTCCGCTATAATGAAAGCTCTATTTTGTTAACTCTAAAACTTAGTACACCACTATGACATTGAACACTTTCAAGTGAACTTATCGCCCTCTCCTCTCTTTACTATCATGAAATTCACCGTTTCCATATAAAATAATGCGTTTTATGTTTTGCAAAAAAAAAAAAAAACGGCTTATTTATCTTATTTGGCCTTATTTGGATAAATAGAAAAAAAAAAAAAAAAAAGGCTCTATTTATCTTATTTGGTTATATTTGAAATAAATATTATTCAATTTGATAGAATTCATAAATAAATATATAAATTTGTAAAAAAAATAAGTTTGAGTTGATTAATGTTAATTAATAAATTATATTTTTAATGATTACGATATCAAAAATTATGTTTTATTTTGCAAATAAAATAAGTTTTACATTCAAATGTACTTTATATAAAAAGTTAAATCTATTATTATAACTTGAATTTTTCGAGTAGATATAATATCAATTTAAGTTGATTTTCGTGGTATTAATATCGTAATTATGAGCTCAAATAGTGGCAGCACCCTAAAATACAATATAACACAACAATGAGACCCACTTATGAATTTAGATTAATTTAATTTAATTTTTAAACTCAGTCGATAGTGAAAACATAAACCAACAAATGTCAGAACTAAATTGATAATAAGATGCCAATCAGACGATGGTCTGGTTGGTTTTTCATTCAAATGAAAAGTGAAAAGTCTCGAATTTAAGTCTTCTTGACCACAGTTGTTTTCACCAATTTGGTGAGTTAAGGGGAGAGTTATCTTCTGTTACGTAGCTCATAGTGTTATTTTGACCATAAATTAAAAATAAAAAAATTGAGAATAAGATAGAAGGTCAGGCGTATATGATATTGAAGTTTCAAGATCCTGCCGTTTTTAAACCACGAAGGAAATGGTGCCAATTGGTGTGGACCAGAAAATAGAAACGTTGAATTTTGTAAATGTTGAAAACGAAAAGAAAAAAAAAAAAAAAAAAAAAAAAAACACCAAATTGATTTCAACTCACCGTCCGTCTAAAATAAAATATTTTTTTAAAACTGATAACGGCAAAGCGTTTCCTCACCGCTGCATTGTATCTCCACACCGGACTCCACTCCACTCTACACACTCTCCCCTCTCCACTCGCCCGTATAGCTAGGAGCAAAAAAAAAAAAAAAAAAAAAAAAAAAGAAAACAAATTGAGTCAACTCACCGTCGTCTAAAATAAAATAATTTTTAAACTGATAAAACGGCAACGTTTCCTCAAGACGCTGCTTGTATCTCCCACACCGGCGTAACCTCAGACCTCTAAGGAACTGGAATTTGACTGCGTAGTAGCTAGGAGGCAAAAGTTTCGTTATTCAAATCTGAGAAATGGCAAAGTATAATGGAAAGCTGACGTGTCTTTGACTTCACAATCTCACATCACATGGTCCCTAACTCCGTCATCTTCCTCCCCCCGTCTTGGTGCTGCTGAACTGCCTGCCTCCTGTATTGTAAGTTTGTTGTTTTTCCAATTCTTTTTCAGTTAAAGTTCCAGTTTTTGCTCTCTCTTTCACGCATTAAACTTTTTTTTCTCTCTATTTCCATTCTTGACATCACCAATGAAGGTCCTTTATCTTTTCTTGTCTCTCTCAATTCATCCTTTTTCTCTTCAGTAACTCTCTTCTGAATTCATATTTTTAACTTCTTTTTTTGAATTTTACAGGCAACTCGGGTGGGTCTCTGGTCCGTTTGGCTATATGGGCTTGTTCTTATTGCTTTCTCTTTGTACACTACTCAGATGTTACCTTCCTTTAACGATGATGAAATTCAAACGTCGATCGTCGATTTGGGCAATCCTAAAATTACAATCTTTTCAGCTCCTCTTCCTTTTTCTGGTTCAGCTAAGGATAGGCAGAGTCTTGCTATTCGTTCTTGGCTTGCATTATCTTCTCAAATCACTGTCATTCTTTTCACCCAAGATTCTTCTGCTGTTTCTTTTGCCTCTGCCTTTGGTTTACGGGTTTTAGTCGATTCCAGTATCGATTTCACGTAAGCAAATTATATTTCTTGCTTCTCGAATTCAATTTATTATTTTTTCATATGAATTATTTTCCAATTTACTAGTTGGGTGTTTACAGGTTTTTCGGTACCCCTTTCTTTCATTCAATGATTGAAAGATCACGGGAATTTGAAACAGACGTATCTGTTTCTGTCAACCCAGAGACTGTTCTTTTTCCTGATTTCATTTCCACCTTAAATCATGCTTATAAACTTGACCAAGATTGGCTTCTTGTGGCTTCAACGCGAAATGTTTCTCACTTCCCTTTTCAATTGGATGATTTTGGGAGACATTGGCTAAGAGAGGATGGTAAATGGATTAGACCTCAGGAGGTATGGAGGAATCTATTGTTTGAAACTGTCTTCTTGTTTCATAGAAATGGATTTTAAGTGTAGAATTCATTGTAAATGATATAATTGGGATTAGTTATGTTAAATTCGTTAAAACTAAAATTTATGGGATTGAAATGAACATTTCCTTTCACACCAAATATGATAAAGCACGGAATTTCAAATGAATTTCACAAAATTCATTTCTCCCAAACAAAGACTGCAAGTTGATTGACTATTTCTGGACAACAACATTAACACCATTTCTTAATTCTATCAGTTGCAGGAGATGCTGCTTGGTCAGAATTGGGAATGGAGTCATTCTGATGATAAAATGATTATGGCATGGAACAGCAAAAATGTACCTTTACATAATGGAGTACTACCTCCTTTTTTGTATGGAAAAGGGATTCATAATCACTGGGTCTTTAATGAGGCCGCATTATCTGAATTCCGGTTTGTATTTGATGCAAGTTGGGCTATGTCAAGTTTCTATCTGAATGATCATGGATCTCAGTCTAATAAGTCTGTGAAGGACTATGGTTTTTCACATATTTTAAACAGAAGCTGGGAAAATGTTGGGAATTCTCATCTTGGTGCAGCATATGGGTCATTATATTTCCATGAAATTAATTATTCTAGCTTATTAAAACTTGTGAAATGTGATGGGCAATATCTTTTTGTTGACATAACTGAAGACGTTGCCTATCCATTTAAGGACCAGGGACTGAGGAATAGAAGGGTTTTGCATTCCAGGACAAAAAAGAAAAATATTGCTTGTGTTCACAATATTAAATCACAAGAAAGAATGGTAGATTGCTCTTTGAGAGATCAGTTGAACTATTTGGCACCATTAGATTTTCCATTTTCCTTAGAGTCACTTCTTTCAGCAACTGCAGATAAGAATAAAACAATTGTGCTTGCTGTTGCTGGGTATAGTTACAAGGACATGCTAATGAGTTGGGTGTGCAGACTTCGCCACCTCCAAGTCACAAACTTCTTGGTTTGTGCGCTTGACCATGAAACTTATCAGTTCTCTGTCTTACAGGTACTTTTGGATTTATTGTTCTCCATTTCTTTTCCGGTCTCATTTTCTATCTTAGTTGCAAATAAGTTCTCGTTTATCATTTAGATGGACAATAACTACATGCATATATGTTTGTTTCCGATACATTTAGGTTTTCATAATTGGTAACCAACTTTATATTAGAGTACTTCCAAAAAATTGAAACTGCAAGCAATCGTATTGGAGATTTTCACATAGGCGAGAACTTGACCATATAGGATGATCATTGTATCATGTATCTCATGCATGGCCTTTTGTTTGGACTGTCTTGTATTTAAATCTAGACTAGAAACATTTGTATAATCAGTAGCAGTAAATACATTTGGCCCCTTGACTTTTTGCAGATTGTGCTGAAACTATATCTCGTTTTGGTTTCCCGACTTCTTTGCTTACAGTTGGCTGTTGCTTTATGTCTCCATTGAATATTTCTGTTTTCTGCTAGGGCCTACCTGTTTTCCATGATCCATCAGCTCCGAGTAACATTAGCTTTGATGATTGCCATTTTGGAACCAAATGCTTTCAGAGGGTGACCAAAGTGAAGTCCAGAATGGTTCTGCAGATATTGAAGCTAGGATACAATGTACTTCTGAGTGATGTGGATGTGTATTGGTTTGCAAATCCATTGCCAATGCTTTATTCTTTTGGTCCAGCAGTTCTCATGGCACAGTCTGATGAATACAATAAAACAGGTGTTAATCTAAGCATGAATTGTCTAATAACTACCTTTATTACAGTAGCTTAGAATGTGGACTGCATCTGCATTCAAGGATCAGAAGGAAAAAAAAAAAAAAAAACAGTATATTAAATGAGCCGAATGTCTTGTTAAAAAGTTTGGTGCAACTTGTTCATGATTTCTTTCCCATAATCCTTTTTTGTGAGCGATAAAAGAAAGGCTATGCTGCCGGCTTTTTTCCTCTTGACTCCTCTATCAATGTGATTAGTTATCACTAATATTATATTTTCATTCTGGTTTTGTCTCTGCAGGACCTGTGAACTTGCCTAGGCGCTTGAACTCTGGCTTTTACTTTGCCCGTTCTGATGGTTCAACAATTGCTGCTATGGAGAAGGTGGTAAAGCACGCAGCAACTTCAGGCCTGTCTGAGCAGCCAAGTTTCTATGACACATTATGTGGGGAAGGTGGATCCAATCGCATTGGAGATGATAGATGCTTGGAACCTGAAACAAATCTGACAGTTCATTTCTTGAATAGAAACCTCTTTCCTAATGGTGCATACTTAGACTTGTGGCAGAAAAAAAATGTGGGAAAAGCCTGTAAAAAGAAGGGCTGTCTAATTCTTCATAACAATTGGATTAGTGGAAGGATGAAGAAGCTGGAGCGTCAGATTTTGTCAGGTTTATGGGAGTATGATAATAGCAAAAGAATGTGCTGCAGGGGTTGCTCAGTTCTACATTGACCTGGTTAGTGTTCAATTGATATTTTCTTGTCCTCTGTCCACAGCTAACTTTGATTTGTGAATGAGAATGGAGAAGATAAGAACTAATTCCCTCCATCTAAGTTACGAGCAAGGTCTTAAATTGTGGACATGGTAATAGTGTAGATGCATCAGTATCTCACGGCTGTAATGGTCACGATCAGTGCTATGTGAAATTATGGTATCGACTATGTCAATATGATTCAGCATTGCTGTTTGTTACTGTGCCTTGAATTTTGAAGCCACCCTCAAGCCCATGATTTCCGCCAACACATGTGCTTGCCATACAAAGTTGAATGCTTCACTTTGAAGAATAGCAAGTCAGTGTTATTTTTGCAAGATGAGCAAGTTTACCATCCTTCATTGTAAAGAACTTGAAGTTGGCCAAAACTGACTTTGGCACTGTATGAAATGTGGATGTAGCTCTTTGAGAGAAAATTTTGTTAGATTCATTTTCTTCTCCTAGTTTAGGACGGTAATTTTATTCCAATATTTAGCTATTGCCGTTACAATTTTAAGAGAGAAAATATTGTGATCGGGTGTACTTGGAATCAGGGTTGAGCAAGCCTCCACTTATTTTGTAATTCGCCCGTGGATGTAGGCGTAAGCCGAACCACGTAAATTTTCTCTCTTTTATTTTTATCTGCTATATTTTATTTAACCCAAATAAATATCGGTTCTGTTCTAATGCTCTTCTGTCTGTTCAGTTGGTACGTTATATAATTGCCAACTTAAAACCTTAGTTTAAATGTCCTAATTAAGCCTCAGTGTCCGTTTATGGGAAACGGTATCGAAGCATATACTGCCGAGGTAGCGCCATTGGCAAATTGACTTCAAATTTTTAAACCTGGTCAGTGTTCTGTTTGATATTTTCTTATTGGTACTTGGTAACTTTGATTTTTCCGTGAATGAGATGAATAGAAGGATTATTCCCTTCTTCTAGGTACTGTGTCCTAAGCCTTGGTTTTATCTTGGTCTTTGTGGAATAAAAAGACTGCCGGCTCTGCAGAACAATTGTGTACCCACCTTGCCAAGAGATAACGATATTCAAATACCTATAACTGAAAAAAAAGAAAAGAAAAGAAACTCCTTCCCTATTTGCTGTGGCTGTTCTTGTGCACTGTGATGAACACTTGAATCTGAAGCTTTTTTGATTGCCAGCTATGCTCAAGGCCTGTAGAGGGTGTTTAGGCAATAATCGAGGCTCTCACAAAGAATCCAGAAAGAAAAAAGAATTGGGCAGAGCTTCTTTATCATTGGACTTGCAGTTGCAATCAAAGGACATCTTTGTCCGGATAGTTCATGCTGGTGGGAGGGAGGAGTTGTATCAATATGCAGTTACTGCGTCTCACTTGATGGAAAAATATCCGGGAATGTGCGTTGCGCGGCCGGAAGTTTTCAGAGATGCTCAACAGTCCTTTTTATGGCCAGATGAGAATTTGTTGCCTGGAAATAAATATCTCATTATTCCATTTTCTACTGCTCGGAAATTGAGAAGAACACAAATGAAGAAGGCAAAATTCACAGGAAATGCTGAAGGTAAAGATGAGACGTCAGATGTAAATATCACTTGGGATGCCAGTAGAGATATTACAGATGAATCTATTTCTTCTGCAAAGGAATTTTACACCAAAAAAGGTAGATCGCCAAGAGACTCGAAACGTCCTGTGAGGAGGATTATTTGTTCAAGGAGGCCTTTTGTGCCCCCTTTACCGAGGGCAAAAATTATTCGCGGACCCGGATGGGAACCGAGTCTGACCTCTGTACAAGAAGTCTCACCATGACTATTTATCTACCTGATGACTTGCAGTACTGTGAATTCTGGTATGTGGCTCTTCCCAGAAGTGTTTTCTTTCTTGTTCTTTGTTCTGAGCAGTTCCCAAACAGAAATAGAAAATTCAGTGTTGTTTGGTTTCAAAAGAAAAGGGACACCACCACAATAAATTGAACAGCCTTTTGGTCATTGTGGAATCTGCTTGAATTATTTTCATTTGCAACTCTTTCATAATCTTATCTTTATATTGAATCTTGGATATTTCTTCCTATATGTTATTGTGAGTGAATTTTGAATTTTGGCTGTTAATGGAACCTACTTGCCCAAGACAATGCAGTTTTCTTGGTCACAGCTATACACAAGTTCTCATGTCACAAAAAAGTACAATTGAGAAGCAAAAATGGACTTCCAAACACATATACTAACAAAAAATTTAGTTTCATGTTCTTCGTTCCATATATATGGTGAATTCCACTCACAGAAAATCACCTTAGCATACAAAAAATGCAATCATTTCACAAACTCTTTTGATAAGAAAGATGAGTGATTTTGATTTAATCACACACATCCATCAACTTCATTTTAATCATGGTAAATGTACAGTCACAAGATGGAAGGCAAAAGCTTGGTCAGGATCCATGTATAGAGAACTGCAAAGGTAGCACCAGCTGGAATTGTCACGACCCAAGAAGCCACAATCTCTCTCACCGTTTCTGCTCTAACACTGTTTAGTCCCCTTGCAAACCCTACCCCCATGACTGCGCCCACCAATGTATGCGTTGCTGAAATAGGCAATCCCAGCTTTGAAGCAACTAGAACCACGGAAGCTGCAGCGAACTCAGCGGCAAAACCTCTAGTTGGTGTAAGTTCTGTTATCTTTTTTCCAATTGTTGCTATCACTCTATATCCCCACATGGTCAGTCCTGCTACTATACCAAATCCTCCCCATGCAAGAACATCAGTTGGAATAATAATCTCTGTTCCACTGGCACCGCCGTGAATAATAGACAGTGCAGCAGCCAAAGGACCTATTGCATTGGAGACATCATTTCCACCATGGGCAAATGACATGAAGCAGGCTGAGAGTACCTGCATATATCCGAAAACACCATAAACTATCTCCAACTGAGTACCCTTTGGTCCTGCAAAATCAGAGAGAAATCCAATATTTTTGCTTTGGATGTTACTCTCTTTTGGTTCAGGTTGTATTGAAGGAGCTTTCACAAGGAGGTGACCAAGCTGTTTGTTGATGATTCTGTTGAATAAGAATGCACCAGCAGCACCACAGGCTAAAGCTTGTACTAGAGCCATGGGAAAGGTCTTGCTCAGAGGAAGGGCTGCAAATGAGATGCCTGTTACGCCTGCAAAGACTGCAATTGGTGCTGCTGCAGCTGCAGCTTGTCCTGGATTTGGTGCACTGTACACAAACTGAAAATTTAAGGATTGTGAGAACTAGGAAACGCCTAATTGCTAACAGCTCAAAACATGGACGTTTCTAAGAGCAATTACGTTTGGTAGATGATAATGAGGATCAAGCATCAGATCCCTAAGCAAGTAAAAACGCATTTCTTCTGGAAGCTAAAGATGTTTGAGCACCTTCTTAGAAGTTTAAAGAATACAGGTTCAAGCTTCATTTAAAGATGGTTGAGCACTTTCTTAAAAGTTAAAAGAATACAGGGTCAAGCTTCATTTTACTCCCGTGAACTCAATTTTATGGAATTCAACATTATTAAACCAAATTCTACCATTTTTTATCAATGACTTCTATACTTTAAATCCAAAGGAAGGTTAAAGTTCCAAGTATAAAACAGTAAGAACATACCCTACGGATGAATTTATAGACAAGGAAAGACACCATTGCTCCCATGATCGGTGAGATCACCCATGATGAAGTGACCCTTGCCAGAGAACTCCAGAAGACGGCGCCAGGTCCTCCATAGACAAGACCAAATCCAACCATTGATCCTACTATACAGTGTGTGGTGGAGACAGGCAAACCATAATATGATGCAACCTGGATAACATATTAGGAAAATCAAGAATCAACTAAAAAGATAACTAAAGATCATAGCGCGTAAATTATAAATACTAGAGGAAACAACCTTATTCACTTTAGGACATGAAGACTAGCATAAAACACATTTAGTATTTTTATTTGCCCTCGAGAAAATGCACATGGAAATAGAGAATCAAATGGTCTTGTTGGATTCACAGTTGTTAAATATGTCATAAGGTCAAGCTATTTCTGAATTGAGCGACAGAGTATATCTCAGTTACATTTGCTCGATGTTATCACTTATTGTCTATGAAATGACAATCAAATTAATATTCTACCAAGTAAATAAATAAACATCTACTTGCAACCATATATATCTCGAAACCGAGCAATTGAAGTGACCAAGAAAATGAAAAGATAGAACTACATAAAAATTAGCAATTCAAGACTCATAAAAACAAAAATATGGAAAGGAAAAATACAAATAACTAAATAAGATATAATAGAATCAGGATATTAAAGAAAAAAAAGTACCTGCAACCAAGTACCAGCAGCTGCCAAACTGGAAAGCAATCCAGCAAAAAGCAAAGTATCCTTCCCCTGAAACACATTAGCCATAAGAATTCCCTTCTGCATTGTATTGGTCACGTGGGTACCCATCAAAAGTGCTCCTGAAAACTCCAAGACAGCTGCAGTAACCACTGCCTGCCTGAGAGTTAAAGCCCCAGAGCCCACAGAAGTCCCCATTGCATTAGCCACATCGTTAGCCCCAATATTCCAAGCCATATAAAACCCAGATAGCAGTGTTACATATGACAATATCTTAGTCTTAACACTTAAACCTTGTCCAAGAGATTTCATGAAAAAAGGAAGACTGAGCGCAGCAAATACTATAAATATAGAAATAGCAGAAGCTGTGCTTGAAGAAATGTTAAAAGCCTGAGCCATTCCCGGTAAGTTATCTTCTTCTTCATTTTTCACTGTTTTTTTATGGTTCTCAATCTTGGTTTCTTCTTTTTGCTCTTCTCCGCCTCCAGCTTCAGCAAAAGAGGATATACTAGCAAAAGGGTAGGCGAGTTTAGAATTCTTGAGTTTAAAAATGGGAAGAAAAGGCTTTTGAGGTAATTGTTGAGGCTTAAAAAGATGAATAGTCTCTTTAGGCCAACAATTTCTTGAAATATAGAAATGGGAATTTCGTGGAACTGTTTGTGGGCAAAGAGTGTTTCTTGAAGAAGAAAGACAGTAAGAGGAAGTCATGGTCTAGAAGAGAAAGTTAATGGACTGAAGAGAAAGAAAAATATGGATAAGGGATTATTCAGGTAGATTTTTAGCCATGGAAGCAAGTGGAAAAAAGAGAAGAAGAAGAAGAAGAGTGGAGAAGTGTGCATATCAGAATCTTTGGGGTGGGAAAGGAATGGGAGGGTGAGAGTGGATTTGGCTGCTTGCTTTGGTTGATTCAAATGAGTGGTTGTGCTTCTTCAAAGTATTTTCACTTTCTACCCACAACCACAAGTTTCCAAGTCAGAAATATTTTGAGAAAATAAAATTCAAAATTATCCAACTTACAACAGACCATTACCAGTAGCAGTGACCACCAAAACACACTTTCCTTTACATTCCTTATGGCCAACTGGGCATAGAATGTTAAGGGAATTTAGGCACACAATTGTTTCTTTTAGTCTCAATATAATTCTCAAAATTTTGGCACTTTTTTTTTGTTAATTAGACTTTGCCTCCCTAATATTGAATTTTGATAATTAATAGCTTTGATAACAAAAGAACAAGGACCATTCATCTTATGAGGTTTGTATTTTTATGAAGCTTATTGAAAATAACATTCAATTTGCCAACCGCCAACCATTCAAGCATGCTTACATATCACCTAAGTATAAAGTTCAGGTGAAAATTACTAAAAGTAAAGTCACATAAACTCCAAATTCATCTATAATCTTTGTAGGGCTCTTCCATTATTCCCTGTACATTTCAATCAAACAATGCATGGATGTGTTAATATGGATTTAGCTATCAACAGAGCAGAACGGAGATAAAGGACTCAAACACCGACTCCTAACTAGTTTGGGATTATGTACCAAAAAAAAAACAAAAAAAAAACAACTACTTATGCTGCTTTTGAATTCATAAACCGTTAAAAACTGATACACGGTGTTTTTGCTACTTTGAGTTGGGCGTGTAGGTAGCTTGGTTGTTGGCATTTGTATCAAATAACTGTGATTCTCCACGACAAAAAAAATAGTCGAGGGGAAGGAAAAGATTCCGTCCGATCAAATAACTCAAATCGTGAACCAGAAAGAAAACTACAAGAGTTAGACATTATATACCCAATCGGTCAATCCCATTGCTCCATGAAGAGCAACTCATTTGCAGTTGTGTGAATGTCCAAGGCGCTGTCGTTTGGTCGTTTCAGTCACTTTCAGCTAAAAGGTAACTGTAATTGGGACGTTGAACCAGCGGGGTGAAAGAGCTTAGGACAAGAATGAAGGACGTTTGTGGAATTTTTATTAATTTAGATAATTTGAGTTCTGAAGATTATGTGATTAATGAAACTGAACCGGGTTTTATTTTTCTTATTTCATTAAGATTGAAAGAGTTGGGCCTAAGACAGTCTTGGGTTTGAGCCCATTTTGAACATTAAATTCAAAAATTCAATATCTGGCCTTTGTGTCTTGAGGTGTATGTATTTCCAATCTCGTATCCAAAAGCCAGGGCCTTTTCGTTGTTGCAAATAAGGTATATGTCGACTTCCTATTTTAAAAAGAAAATGACTTGGATTTTTCAAAAGAGAAAAATATTTAAAAATATATTACAATCTTTTAACTGAAACTTGCGGGTTTTTAGACTCATTTCTTATTTCGAAATTTTAAGAATTTGGAAGGAAGAGATATGGGTCCTAAGGACAGGTTTCTTTGGGTTTGGCAGACCCATTGTTGAAAAACATTACAAATTCAAAATTTTATTCAATTATCTGAGACCATTTGGTGTCCGTGGTGTAAGTGTGATATGTTATGTGGATTCCAAATCTCGTAGGGGTTCACTCAATGCCCAGGGCCTATTTCGTTGTTGCAATATAAGGTACATTGTCGACTTCCCCCTATTTTAAATAAAGAAAATTTAGATTTTACTTTGGATTTATTATACCAATTAAAAAAAAGAGAAAATAATAAATTTAAAAAAATATAATCTACAAATACTTTTTTAATTACACTATTATATATATATATATAATATTATACTATTGATTACTAAGTAGTTTGTCAATTAATCAAAATAATTTGGATATTGGTCAATCATTATAAATTCAATTATAACTTTCCATTTTTAAATATCCCTTTAATGCCGCAGTTGCATTTGTATATTTTTTGTCTATGACTTCTCAATTAAATAAAAATAAACATAGTCCTAAAAGTTCTTAAAAAGGTTTTGTAAATTCCAATCAATTAAAACATTACTTACATTCAAAAGGTAAAAATTTTAAGAGAAATATAGCTACTACATAAACAATTTACATCAGAAAATTAAATAAGTTCTAATAAAAAAAATAAAAAAATAGATAACCCACCTCCTATGCAAACGACCTTGAAGGCATTTATATTTCAACTACTTTCTATGTAGTATTTCATTCTTATTAGCCCTATTTGCTTTCTTTAATATTAACTGGGGTACGAAAGATACAATATATATATATTAATCTATTGATTACTAAGTAGTTGTCATTATCAATAATTGGATATTGTCAATCAATTATAAATTCATTATAACTTTCATTTTTAAATTCTTTATGCGAGTACATGCATTTGTTTTTATTTTATGCTTTCCATCTAATAAAAAAACATAGTCTAAATTTAAGGTTTTTAAATTCCAATCATTAAACAATAACAAATAAAATAAGAATCATTAGCTACTACAAACAATTAAATCAAAAAATATTCTAAAAAAAAAAAAATGAACCACTCCTATGCAAACGACTTGAAGCAATTTTATATTTCAACTCTTTCTATGTAAGTAATTTACATCTTATTAGCCTATTTGCTTTCTTAATATTAACTGGGGTACGAAAGATACCAATCATATAAATAATAAGTTTTGAATTAATAGAAATTGATTATATATACGGATAAACTTTACTTTGTATAGTGAGGAGTTTCAAATTTTAAAAATGAAATCACGAGAAAATATAAATCAAATAACTCGAAGAGAAGAGAATAAGTCATATGAAGAAAATGAAGAATTAACAATTAAACACATTTGTTGGGAATAATTTGTATATTTTCTCCATAATATTTTTCAAGTTCACAAAATATTGAAGAATCAAAAGTACCCTTAACAAGAAGGTTTCAACTTTCAACTTTCAACATCAATCGGTTATTCAACTGCAATTCGACAATTTCAAAGCGCCAAGCAATTCAGCAACTCCCATGCTCGTGTCGTGCTTCTAACTTGTGGACCATTTCCATTTTACCAACCTTCAACCAAGTATATTTGAACCCAAGGTGTGACTTTGTCTCTGGTCCATCCTTCTTGCCCCCATTTCCACATGGGAGACTATGACTGTGTCAAGCCCATTGTTATCCCATACCTTGGAGCCAATCAAATTTTGCCACGTCAATGAAAATTTTCAGTTTTTTAAATACCAATCTGGGTTTTTGATTTCCACTGGTCTCCTGTATGATTCAACTAAGCAACAAGCTTTTCTTGGCATAGAAATATCAGTTCTTTCTTTGAACAATGCATTAATTGGCGAGACTTATCACAATATGGAGACTTGTTTGTCGTTTTCTATTAGTTGCTATTTCGTATTTTATTTTTTATTTGACAGCTTCTATACTTGATATTTAGGTTATGGTAGCCAGCAATTAATATCTCCATCGTAATCACATCATTTGCTATTTTTCATAAATCCAATAATCAAACGATTTCATGGTAAGTTATGAACCTCACTGATAACAGTTACCTCATTTCATTCTCAAAACATCAAATGACATCATTTGCCAGTAAGAAATCTTAATCGGACGTGATGGGAGCTCCAGCATCAACCAGGCGGCTCCTACAAGAGACATGTGAAATGTACCTGACAAGATTGGATATATACTCTAAAAAGACTTACCTACATTTGACGTATGATTTTCGTATATGGACAAAATCAATTCAGAAAAATATTTTTTTTCTCAGACAAGGAGATTTCTAATCGCTCAATAGGAAATATATATACATGTATAAAACAGTAACAATTTTTTCTTTAAAAGAAATTCTTTAACATATATTAGATGTAAGTAAGCCTTATCATGTTCAATATAAATTAAGAGACGGTTAAGTTTAGATTAAATTTTATTAAAAAGAATAATAATCTTTAGAAAAAACATTTGCAATATTGGGTTTTATTTTCAAATTACATGATCTAAAATTTGTTGCGTTTAGGTCGAATTCAGCCATGTAAAATCAACATCCCTAAAGGAGCACTTGAAGAAACTATAACCATTGGAGCCAAAGGTGTCCAGACATAAATTTTACTTTTTGTAATAATCTCATATATTCTTATAATAAAAATAATTATTTTTAAGATTTTAAATTTTTATATCTAACGTATGATTTGATATGTTATCAATATAATTTTTGAAATAATAATTACATTTTTAACTTTTACTCAAGGTCCCAGTTGCCGTCCTTCCCAAGTTGGGCATCACCTCAGATTCCCAAAATAAATAGGCAAAAGAAAACATATAGTATTATGAAATATGAAGATAACTTGGCCTTTGTGTTGACACGTATGGCTTCGCACGCTTTTGAAAATCCTATAAAACGACAGCCGACCCTCTGCCTCTTTAGCTTGCCAGTTTGGTTGGTCGCACAATGAGGGTTCCTAATCCCTATTGACAAGTGGGGATGGTTGGCTCCATGCAATTCGGAAAAGGATTCTATGGCCAGGGTTTTAAACCGGACATTTATAATCTCCACAGTATAATTTTTTTTTTTTGGTTACAAAGAAGGAGCAAAGAGAGAATATAAATTATTAATTTTAAAATTAAAATATATTAATAAGAATTATGAATACAATACATCCTTATTCCTAAATTATGTCCTAATTAACATTTCTATCCCTTTGTTTTTTAAGAAATTATTATAATTTCTTCGATGTTTGCTTAAACTTGCTATTAATTGGATTATTTTGTCCAAAATAAAATAAAATTATTCATCCAAAAAATAGCATATTTCATCTAAAAAATGTGAGCGACTCAATGAGTAAAACATTGATTTTTCTATGAAAAAACGCGATTGTGAGTTTAAGCAAAAGTCAGAGATGCATCGTAACTTCTCAAAAACAGAGGGACAAAAGTATTAATATAGATAATTTGGCTCAATTTAACCTTGAACTTTGTCTGATTTTCTTTATAACCCACTGAATTATGGATTTCAATTATGACCCTACATTTTACATTTTAG